AATTTTAGATAAACTTTATAAAGCTGAAAGAAAAAGAAATCGTTTCGATAATAATATCATGAATAATATCGAAGTTGGTACGAAATTCATTTTCCTGTTTCAAGTTTCAAGTTGTTTTTCGTTTTACCTATTTCAACTGCACTTATATAATGAAAATTATTATTTAAAAAATAAAAACTAAGATAACACTTTAAATAGTAAGTTGCTAGATGCCGAGTCCCTCATAGAAAATTCATCTTTATTACAGAAATCTTTACAGGACCTTCTTTCCTCGTTTAATTTCAATTTAAATGAAAACTGTAAGACCGATTGTTTTACAGTTGTACACAGCAACATAGTTTTGTTTTTTACAATTGCTTACTTATTAGAGACTTTTTACCAAGAATTTAATAGAATATTTTTTAAAATATGTAGAAAAAGTACGAAAAGATTGTCGCCGCTGTGGGGATCGTTTTCGTACTTTTTCTACAAATTTTAACGTTCAATCTTAAGTGCAAAGATTAGCAGTACAAATAATTTAAAAGGTTATTTTATTCTTTATATTTTTATGCATTTTTATTTATTTTTATAACATTCTGTATACCTCGAAAAATACTTTTGCGTAACAAGAACTTTGGAAATCAAAATTCATAGAGTTACAGTTAGCTAAGTATTTTGGATAACGTATTAAGTAGATACGGATGGTTATACAATTATTTAATGAACATGATTTTGCAGTTTGTTTTCATAAAATTTTACAGTCAATGTTGAAATAAATACATCGCATAGTATTTTTTTCTCTTGGTTAGTAGTCGCTTTGTAAACACAGGACATGACGTTCTTAAATATTATGTTAAGAAACAGAACTATATATAGCTACAAGCTGACCCAGCAAACGTTCTTTTGACATATAAATTAAAGATTGACTACGAAATTTTATGAAAAAATATTAGAGATTATGAAACGAAAATGCACGTTTATATAACTTACAACTTACAAAAATATTGCGGAGTCTAACGACACAGGACTATTATACTTTTTAATTATAAAATATAATCGAGACGCTACGCAAAAAAATATTTTTATTCGCCTTTAAGTGCTTTTTTGGCATTAAAAATCCACGTTAATGCAGACACCAAAAAAATTCGCTGATATCATTGAAAAAACTCGTCTGTGGGTTTTATAAATAAATTATACATAATTAAAACATAACAGATCATTTACATAAATTAAGTATGCATATATAAAAACAAAACTTATGATATTCTTAAGTTTAATACGTTGATCAACGTTTGTTTATAATTAATATTAATTTCATATAATATTGTATGTAGACAAAGCTGGATTTATAATGTGCGGATATAATACAGTTCAATGTTTTAAACACTGTTTTACTTACTTATCTTTATGGCACAAAATGTAATATGTGATTCGTCCGCAATATCTCTGATGGAAAGCGTGCTTTGATAAAAAAAACCGCAGACAGTAGCATCTAATCTACATTTACATATATAGTGGTTGAAACGGGAGTCCCTCAAGGGACTATTGTGGGGCCTTTTCTATTTTTTAGTTTATATTAATGACACTTACGTGGTGTAGAATCTGTACAACACAGTATTATTTGCAGGTGTTTAAGATTAATTATTATGACATATATATCACTCATTAACTAATTCAAAATTGGTTCACTGCTAACCTAGTACTGAATGCTGAAAAGTCAAATTCCTCCATCCCTCCATTCCCTCCAAGTCCATTGTACCCTCAAACGCTCCATTACTAAGGGTGCCCTAACCTAAGGAATTCCCTAAATCAGCCCGTCACCTAAAATCATTTTCACCAATAGCTAGGTTTTTTAATCAGTACATCATATTTTTAGTTTTACACACGAAAATAAATACTAGAGTATAAATAAATCCTTACTAATATTATAAAAGTTGCGAAAGTTTGTATGTATGGATAGTTGTTTATTACTCTTTCAAACAAATACTACTGAATGGATTTTAATGAAACTTTACAGTAATATAGCTTATACATCAGAATAAGACATAGGCTATAATTTATATACATATTTTATTTATATCGGTCTTTCTGTCTCAATGTTACGACTTTAGCCTATTCTACGCAGACGTAGTCGCGGGCAGCAGCTAGTGTATTATATTTACCTTGCCTAACGTGGAAACTAATCAAGGTCAAATTGTATACATTATGAATAATAATCGGCTTGATTTGGTAAGGAGTACAGGTTTTCTTAGGGGTAACTATTGATAAAGGAGGAGGCTTAGCTCGGTTGCACATGCAGTTAGAAAAATAAGACAGTTAAGTAAGGAGGCAACTGCCAGATTAGTTTATTTCATCTACTTTCATAGTATTATGTCATATTATGGTATCCTGTTATGGGCCCCATCGGCTGATAAATCCATCTTCATTTTGCAGAAGAGAGTTATGAAAGCAGTTTATCAACTTTGCTGTTGGGACTCGATTAAAAGTTTATATCAAAGAGCAAATTTTGACAGTTCCATGCTAATATTTTTATTCATTAAAAACGATTTGAACAAATCTTATTTCGAAGAAAGAAATTTTTAATTTATAATAAATAAACTATTAAAAATGCAACTGACAAATGAATAACGGATAAACGCGTACGTAAACGTGACACACGTACATGCCGACAATAATTTCCGCCACTACAAACTGTACATATATAGATATAATTAGAAACCAACTTTAAGTGCGTACGCACTTGAATGCACTTAAACTCGGTTACGACAACAAAGGAGCACGAAACATGCATTCAACTTGTTTTGGTTGAGAAAACAGTTTGCGCATAATCATTTTGTTCAGATCAGCCAGTAGGTCAGTCGATTATTTTTTCTAATTTTTCGCCTTTGCACGTCTAGGGTCATCATAAGATGTCCCTCGACAGCACTAATATTTTTACTAATTTCGTCAAAGGTGTAAATCATCGATCATCAAATTTTATCTGATCGCTAAGAAAGAACCTAACAAAAAAGTGTCGTCGCTCCGAGTTTTATATCGTATCGACAATTGGTGTTCTAAAATATCTTTTGGGTTATTATCTCCTGCAGCAAAACCAAATTTGTAGAATCAGTGGTTGGCAGTGGTATTCCTTGTACTTGAAGATTTTCAAGCAACCCATAACGAATACAAAATGCTAGCCGCTAGTTTGTTTTCAGCTTGTTTCTTGTCTGTCTTAAATTAAGTATAAAGGAGAGAAAAAAGACATTTATTATGTGTTGCGTTTCTGTAAACACCATAAAATCTTTTTATGGGCCAATTTAAACCCGTAATCAACCTTCATCTATTCAACCTTCCTTATCATAGGTTACATAGCAGTTCAAGTGAATTATTTATTTTGACGAAAATATTATATAGACATAATATATACGCGTCATTTCTCCGTGTATGGAAATTATTGACAATAAATGTTTTTATTAATACTTTTTTTAATTTAAAGGGTGACAGTTCGGAAACGCTAAAAAATTAAACATCGTGTTTATATGAATGTATTACGTCTCAAGTTTTACCCAATCATCGTGACGTTAGTATGAATCTAGGTCACCGGGAAGTGCTAATTTACTGACCCCACTCGTTTCTTTCAATTTACAAACAAGCTTTAAATATAAATTATGCGTAGTTAGCTTTATTCTAGGAGCAATTTAATATTTCCTATTTTTTTTCTTATTTAATTTCCTGTCCATTCAATTGTATTCAAGAATGAAAACTTGTTCACGACATGAGTAATCGTTGCTTAGTAAATGTCAGATTCAAGACCTTAATAAATACGTTTAAAGTGAACTTTGTTAAATATATCTTTAATGTTATTTGTATATCGGTATAATTAAGCGGAAAATCTGTAACACATCAATATGTGAAAGAATAAACCTGTGAACCCATTTAAGTATATAGTGCAGTGAAGATTAATTTACATTTTTCTTCTTAAAAGGACAAAAGTTTAAATTTTAGTTTACATAATAAATAAATGAAATAATTTTCAACACTCATAGTATCTATGCCAAACTCATATTAGACTAAAGTGAATTATAAGTCGCGCAATATAGATTACTAATGTTTTATATGATAATTTTATGTAAAAATTAAAATACAAGATGCGCTAATATCTGCAACTAAGATGAAACATTAAAATTTTTAGAGTAAAATTTAAATTTCAAATAGCACTGGCGACATCTGTCGTACAAATTATAATTTTAAAATGATATTTGAAATTGTTTGTACATTGACAAGTATATAACAATAGATTTACCAAGCATTTCTGGGAATCCGAAAAACGTCCATTTTTTTCTACAAATTTTAATTTTAAAATAATTAAAATATGATGAGATTTATTAATATCGGACTATTATTGGTTATTTTGACCACTGGGCGATCACTCGTTCTTATTACTACCAGAAAATAGCAGTATAAAATTTTAATCGTTTTTATCTTACGATATATAATATAATAATTTTAACTAAATTATATAATTTCTACAAATTTGAACGATGTAATTTATAAATTTAACGTTATATATTATTGACTAGTAAATTTTATTTATTTACATGAAAAGTTACTGCTGCCACTACCAACTATAACGTAGTCATTATATGAAGAAGCATGTGGGCATCACTTTTGCAACATCAGTATCTTCTTAATAACATTTTTAAGACAGTAGATGGTTCAGACACTGGTGTATCATCTAAAGGTGAGTGATCACCGTCATCTATCGATATTTTCAATAGCCAGCAGTTGCCTTTAAAGATGATGGGTGGTAGTTCAACTTCACGCGAGTCTTCTGTGAGACCGTCGTACTTCCTCGAACGAACCGTGTCTATTCATGCTAAAGAATTCGACGCGATTCCATAGTGCGTGTGTACCACGCGAACGTCAATAAATAAAAACAAATGTATATAATATATAATAATAATATAATGGATGGATTTAATTTGTGTTAAGCTTCATTTATGCAGACCTATATGAACGTTACATTATGTTTTTGTTTTCAGAAAGCCATCGAGCGGCAGTCTGTACGTTAACGGGCGCGTCCGCAATCAGAATATGTTCCTCCGCCGCTCCTGCTACATACTGCAGGACGACAGAGTCCAGGACATGCTAACGATTCAGGAATCGCTGCACGTAGCTGCCGAATTGAAGCTCGGAAACCATATCAGTACGCAGCAGAAAAACCAGCGGGTATGAGTTTCTTTTTTAACAAAACCAAATTATTATAATATAAAACGCTCAACAAGGATCTAGAATGAGTACAACAAAGACAATCCTAGTTTTTAATTAAAACAACATAACAAACTGCCTAATTCTAAATAAATTGCGTAGGTTTTTCCTTATAAGTTGTTCACACAAAAAATATAGCAGGAATTAAAATTGGACGCCAACTTTAATTTTGTGATTAACTAGGTATATTGCATCATTAAAGTCAATCAAGTTACCTAAAAAGATACTATTATTCAAACAGTGAAAGCGCAGCAACAATGTATTTAATCAGCCTTATCTGGTGTATTCCATTTGTAAAATGATAAGAAACCAATTAATTGATATAATCTTAAATCCTGGCGTAAATCATTATTAAATATCATTATTTTATGTATTTAACTAAGCTTAAGAACTTTTACATTATGAAAAAATCGTCAAATTGCAACCAACAAAAGATGAAATAAACACCTAGAGACCAAACATCTTTACTTACACAGTAGCGAAGTGAAATCTGGGAAAAACTTACATAAACCGCTTGAAACATAATCTACTAATTGAAAAATAGATAAGAGTTCTTTAAAATGTTCAAAGAAATAATTACGCAATTTTTAAACGAGTACACTCCTTATTACAGGTAGAAGAAATAATCACATCCCTAGGTATGAGTCAGGCTAGGAACACCAGAGCTGGGAGCTTATCCGGGGGTCAAAAGAAAAGACTTGCTATTGGTTTGGAACTGGTCAGTGACCCACCAGTTATGTTCCTCGATGAACCAACTAGGTAAAGTTTAGATTTAACTTAACTCTTCGCTATTTCTTGTATTAACTGATGTTTTTGCTTTCAGTCCCGAGACTATTAAAGCTTCATCTGACGCAAGCTTCATCTGACGCATCTTCGCTAATTTATCTAACGCTAATTGGCTGAAAATTTGTTCTCATACTCGAACATTCTAAGTTTCAACCGTGATGTGCTGCCTTGTTAAAATAAATGTAAGTCATAAAGAGGAGCTTTGCCTCCCTCCCATCTCTTGGGAGAGATGCAAAGCCCTTGTTTGGGACGCCACTTGTGTAGACACTTTGGCTGCCTCTCATCTAAGGGGTACTTCGGTCAGGGCCGGGGCGGCATCGGAGGCAGCTGAAGTAAGTAAATGGCGCAAATATGAGTCTTTATGTTCAGATTATGTATTTGTGCCATTTGCTGTTGAAACATTAGGTCCGTAGAGTCCCCGCACATCAATTTTTTTAAAAGTTTATGTCCTAAGCTTAACGCCGCGGCTGGTGACAAGAGTGCTGGTTCTTTTCTCACTCAAAGGTTAAGCATACATAACAACTATTCAGCGAGGAAATGCAGCTAGCGTTCTTGGCATCATGCCGCGTGGATTAGGTTTATTAGATAATATGTAATTTTAGATAGATTTAATCTTGTAAATATTAGATCAATAAAGATTGTAAATACTTGTCAAAAAAAAAGTCATAAAGTAATTTGTCCTTTACAGCTTTTATGAAAATGCATGTGAATCATTAAAATTTAAATAAATAATAATAATACTTCCAACATAAAAAAAACGATCTGAGCATCAATAGCTCAAACATTATTATTCTCCTTATTTCCTGTGAACACAGCCATTTTGGGTCGACAAATTGATAAGATTTTATAGACTGCACGTGGTTACCATGTCAATAAATGAAACAATATACTCAACATAAGGACACCTGTTGCGATAACAGAAAAATGCCTAAATCTAGATATATGATTATACCTGTAGAATGTTAATAATAATAAGTAGTAACAATGATTTTGGAATTGAACACGCGGCTAAAGTCAAACTAAAAAAAATATTTAAAACAATTAAAAATAATTTAAAAAAATGTTAATACTTTATTATTAATTAATACATTACTAGTAAATTATTATTTTTTTATTTTAAATATATGTTCAGATACATACTAGGTGCAGCGTAAATATTTAAAAATCGGATGCCGCTGTAACGCATGTCGCTCCAGTTATCCCTGAAAACAATGAAAAATATCAATTAAATAAAACCAGGAGGGGTTCTCAATAATTTCAATGATGCATGATTTAATTTCGCGTAATAATGCCAAAAATTCATAAGACTAGTTAATAAACAAAACATTACAGTCACATTACATATGAAAAGGACAATTGAATGACTTATGACAATTAATCAATTTTAAGACTTAAACAAAATAACGGTTAAATAAAATGTATAATTTAATGTTTACTGATTAAAAACTAAAATACCTGTAATTGCCAAATAGGGTTATTAATAGGAAAACCCATCATCCTGTGTAAAAAGTTATCATTAGATCCGGGATTTGAACTTAGGTTGTTCTAGTATATAAAATAAAAAGGGAGGGCCCAGATATAGCTATTTACTGTTAAACAAAATTATATTAAATGAAATAAATGCGATATGCATTTATTTAGGTTTTGAGTCCCAACGTTTCACACATTTTAGAGAGCCAAATAATTTAAATCACAATTAATGCGAATAAATTACTTTAAAAAATTTTTTATCACTGCGTATTATTCGCATCAATACAATAAATATATCATTCACTCTGTTTCAGCGGCCTCGACAGCTCGATATCCAAACAACTGGTTTATCTGCTGCACCTCTTGGCGAGGCAGGGAAGGACTGTCGTGGTGACCATGCACCAGCCCTCCGCTGCACTGCTGGATATGGTGGATAGACTGTACGCGATTGTGGCTGGTCGATGTGCCTACATGGGCACCGTGCCGCTTCTTCTGCCTTATTTAGAGCAAATGGCGTTAAGGTGTCCACCCTACCACAATCCTGTGGATTTTTGTAAGTGGTACTTTAACAGAAATCTTTGTCATTTTGTGCTTGAATTTGATTAGAAATTCAACGGAGTCAATAAGTATAAAATTATCATTATATCGCAAGCATTTAGGAGTTTGTTTTAGAAATAAGTTTTTCTAAAACAAACTCCTAAATGCTTGTTAACACAAAATTAATCACAGTTAACGTGTTCTCAACTATGTTCAGCAGAGGACTCTAATGGATGAAAATGGTGATCATAAAATGGAACTTGTTTTCCACACAAATACTGGCATATCAGACATCTATCGGCAAAACTCCGTATTTTTTACGTTCAAGAAAAGCTTACAACAAGCCTATATTGAATAAAGAACTTTTACTTTGAAACGGACACATAAAGTTTACCGACAAAGCGCTGACTTCCTAGGAAATATTTATTATAAGTTGTAGACTATATGGAAACCCAAGTTTCTGCCATCCGTTCCTTTTATGTCGCTAACTAAAAAAACTCAAAATAATAACCAACTGGTCTACTTAAACAAGTAGTTGAGCCTGAGAGGCATTATCACCAGGGTGACAAGTTTGTCATAAAATACGTAACCGGTCATCACATAAGTAATGCGAAATTCCGCTATTGTACAAAATAAATTTATTCAAGCTGATCCTCTGTTTTAGTAATGAGGTCGTTTGACTGGTTACGTAAAAGCCGAGTGTGGTAAAAACAGTCCATCCACCCCGACTGGATATACGGCTTATTGCAGAGTTCAATGACCTCGTATGATAAATAAGTAAATCGCTTTGGTTATCATAAAGTTGTAAAAAATTGTATGATACAACAACAGAATGCTATAAAATGTTATTATTAATTTAGTCCAGTGCAAATATGAAACATATTAGTTTTTTCAATAAATAATACTTGAGTAATGTAATCAATTTAATACAAAAAAATTTAAAAGCTTGAAAAGATACGAACAAAAACCAAATTCTTGCCGAAAACAGGGATTGAACCAACCTTTAGATCTTCAGTCTAACAATCTCCCTACTGAGCTATTTCGGCTGTGTGAATGCTAACGCAAGTAATACGTGGATTGATTTCAGTTATAGAAATATGTTCCGAGAATGAAAATGAACTAGTTAAATACTCAGAAAATGGGAGATGCGCTCAATGGATAAATAATATAACTAACGAGACTGATAGTATTTTAATTGGTAAGTTATATCTATAATTATTGAATGCACATAAAATAAAATACAAAAAACATTCAGAAATATGAACTCGATTCATTTTTAATTTTGTCATACCGTTTTTTCTTTTTACAATAATACTAAATGTCTTTATGGCAAAATTGTACATAATGAAGTCTAAATTATGTTAATTCACAATTCCTATAGAAGTTAATAAATTAATAATTATTTCTAGAGAAATATAAGTTAAGTAAAAATGATGAAGTGTACCTCACCACGCTACCACCGCCCAAGGCAGATCCTACCAGTAAAATCCTACTGTCATTAAAAGGCACCTACCCTACATCTTCATGGAAGCAATTCTCAACATTAACAAGGAGATCTCTTTTGGTGAGACGAACATTCTCTTTTCCTTTAATCATCATTATTATGCGACCGCCTGCCTAAAATTTACCCTCCTTGGGGAACACCCAGATGCGGAACAAGTATCTGTGAGTCACACAAATATTTGTCCCGTGTGAAAATCGAACTCACGACCCCCGACGCCGAAGCTAATAGGTTAACAACGGCTTACAGATAATGTTTTTCGGCTGCAGCTATAAAAACAAAGTACCCGGAGGACCGAGCTTTGCTCGGTTTGTTATTTTTTTTGGTAAATCGTGTTTTGGAAATTACATTTAGATACAAATTACTGAGTAATGAAATATGCATAATATTTTTCGATCTTGCCGACGTAATAATAAGAACATATGAACTGATGTTTTTCACAAAAGAAAGAACGTTAAAAAAAAGGGAAAAAATAACAAAATAACAAATCGGCAAAAAATTAAAAATAAAGAAAGCAATGATCTGGAATCGAAAAAAGTAAAAAAATAAGTGTGTGAATGATCGTGATACGAACCACGGCCGTCTACATTTTTTTTGCGGCGAAATTAACCGTCATATTCGAATGATATTTTTCAAACCCTGAAAACAGGGATAAAAGGACATTTTATCGATTTTTCGCCCCCAAATCTACGCCCATACTAAATTTCATGAAAATCGCTGGAGCCGTTTCCGAGATTCCGATTATATATATACATATATATATATATATATACAAGAATTGCTCGTTTAAAGGATAAGATACAAAAAATCATATAAAAAAATATTTAAGTGTAGCTCCCATACAACACTGAGCTATCACGTACACGTACTTTGCTTTTTATTATCAACGATTTCATGGTCACAGTTGAAAATGAAATCTTTTCGTTCAAATGCCAACATAATACTCAAATAGAAAGAACCAAGTGTGAAACACTCGCTTCGTTGCATACTCTATTGCTGTATTTTGAACGTGCGTCACCGAGATTCTTTCATATATAGCTTCATGTTAGTAGGCTTGTGTGATACACATCTCAATTGGTTAGAAGAAACAAAGGGCTTGATTTGTTTTTTTATTCCTTATCTTTCAGGCGTACTGGCGCGATCCGTCCTTAACGCTCATGATCACCGGTATCCATTTCTTCATGGCACTTTTTATCGGGTTCTTGTTTTATAACATCGGTGAGGAGGCGCAGTATGTCAGAGACAATTACAACTTCCTCTACTTCAGCCTCATGTTCCTTATGTTCACGGCGTACAGCGCAGTCTCTATCAGATGTGAGTATTGACCATTTACATAATAAACATTTCTTAAATTTTATTAAAAATTAATTTTATTAAAGTAAATTCAAAACCAAACATGCTCACATTCAACTTTAAACTTTTTTATCAGTCTGACAGTGTCTGATCAAAGACGTGAATACCTAGTTTCTAGTGCAGAAAACCTTTCAAGGTTGAGTGAGGGTGATGACAGACAGATTGGTAACATATGACGGATCCGTCTTAAACTGGGGAGTTTTTGGGAGTCGGTAATGATAACGTGACATTAGTTCCAGAACAGCTGCCGATAGTACGTCGTGAGCACTTCAATCGGTGGTATGCGACTGGAGCATACTATGCGGCAACCCTGGTCTCGTCGCTGCCGACTCAAACGGCTTGCACTCTCATCTTCGCATGTGTCACCTACTGGCTGACGGGGCAGCCGCTCGACTACCGACGCTTCTTCAGTTTCTGCGGCACCCTGCTACTCGTGTCTTACACCGCCATTTGCATCGGCCTTTTCAATGGATCTCTTTTTAATGTTAAGGTTCGTAGAAATACAATGGAATTGCTCCTATTCAGAAAAAGTTTGAATAAAACTAACCTTACGTTAATAATAGACAGTTTGTTATAATAAGAAACTCTTCTTAAATGAAATGAAAAAATATTGAAAATATAATTATACAGCGTGTCGTTACAACCGCGACAATAAATGAACACACTTCTAACGCTACTTGCGTTAACGTTACCAATAATCATAAAAAAATATAAACGTTAAAAAAATCCATAATTAAAAAAAAATTTTTTTCAAACAAATTAAGTAAGTAAAAAAGACACAAAATTTGTAACATCCTATACAACTAAACTGACTGATTCATACATTCAGAGACTTTTTCATTCGTTGCCACAGCGTCGCATTACAAGCCTCTCTTTATAACAGTATGTTTTGTCTCTTTTAAATTCATTCCCATTCAAATGCTTTACGACCTTCACAAATGAACTTAACGTTATAGTTTTATACGTAAGGATGTTCTAAAATTCTTTGTTTTAGAAAATTTAATAACTCGGTAAATATTGATGTTTAAAGAATGTAAGTTATTAATACAATTTTAAAAAGTTATCCTCTATATGTGTGTTCATTTATTGTCGCGGTGGTAACGACACGCTGTATACTGGAAAATAACCGCAATATCAGGATTGCTAAAAATAATATAAAATGCTCAATGTGGAATATGACCCGAATCTGAATGTCTACTGATATATTAATGATCATGAATCTTGTTATTTCGGCAGAATGGTGTCGTCTTTGGGCCTTTCTTCATCATGCCTTTTACGGTGTTCTCCGGCTTCTTCCTACGATATAGTGATGCGCCTGTTTTCTTCCGATGGTTATTCAATTTATCCTTTCTGAAGCACGGACTCGTCGGACTAGTGATATCAATATTCGGAATGGATCGACCGAAACTTGTCTGCAAAGAACTTTACTGCCACTACTCGTACCCAAGTCAGTTTTTGCAGGACAATGATATGGCCACAGAGAAATATACTTACGTAGTAGTATCCCTCTTTTGTATTGCATTCGGCTTCAGTCTCTGTTCGTATATAATCTTGAAAATAAGAATGAAGAGCAAATGGTGAATATCTTGAATAAATAAACGCGGTAAAACGTATTGACCAAACTGTGATTAATCCATCGTCGTATTTATTCCGTTACATTGCTGACATGTTTTAGGTTAATGATGTCCGAATGTATGAAAATAAATCTTGCACGGATGTTACAGCAAACAAGGTTATCGGCATTGCAAATAGAAAATATAATTTGGTGAAAAATATATTTTATGAATGCAAATTTAGTAATACATTAAGTGGCAATTTTATGATTGAAAATTGTTTAACCTGTATCACATTTAAACGCGTGCTGGTCAGCTACAGATCAACAGATTGCAAATTTTTACCTTATTGAATCAAGGTAAAATCTTGATCAATCAAAATTAAATAGTTAAACCAAAAATGCTTAAGCCTAGATTTGTATACATGCCAACAGAATTATGGAATTTTTGTCAACAAAATCAAAGGCGTATTGTAAAAGTGTTATTGAAATTATCTACATATTTCAAAATTGCATCATAAGACAATTGCTGATATTTTAAACCAAAAATTGAAACCAGTATCATTACGACTACAAAGCATGGCGTTTTAAATATAATAAGTTTCCGAAAAATTAACCTTGTAAGCTTATTTCACAATTTTTTCAATTTTATCTATTTACGTAAAGCCTGTAATCTCATTATTAGCTCTTTATTAATTCTTTCATTGAAAACCAAACAAACAAGTGTCACAAAACCCATTAAGACTAGCTTTCAGTTGTTCTAGTCTTTATAGAGTAGATTAATAAGGTTTATTTAGCCACTATTTTTCAAATGAATACGAAACACTGAAAAAATGTTTTGATTGCGCTTAATCAAAATAACAACCTTAAACCATGACTTTTTTAATATTTACATCGATTCTTGATGAAGAGACATTCTTTAATGAAAATAATAAACACTGATACAAGATGTCATTGTCTGTATTATTACTTTTCAATTAATAATTGATGAAAAATATTTAGAATCGATTGGAATAAGCTGTAAGTGTTTATATCTAATCTTAAGACAGCTGTTCAAAGATTGTACATATAGTTTAGTAGTATTAAACGAAATAGCCAGTTTCATATTAGGACGTATTTAGAAGATAGTTAAAGTATTATCAATCGTGTGTGTGTGGCAATAAAGAAAATAGTTTTTTTTTTTTAATATTCTGATAGTTAAATGCGTAAGTACCGTGTACTTAAGGCATAATATCTGTGATCTAGAACAATGAAACGTGATAATTTAAATATTAAGTAATCATTGTCTCCATGCCACTAGCATTAAGTTGGTAAGGTTCATTAATGTTATTTGCATATAAGATTATTAATGGGTATTTCTACAATTGCTAAATTTTTAAATACTGTCTGGAACTTTTAATATTATAGTGGAAAATGGTAATAAATTTACATTCCTGTGTCAATCGTATAATTTTTTGTGTCCTAAATGTACTCTGCTCGTATATATATTTGTCCAATTTATTTGAATTTATGCTACAAGGCAGTAGGTACTAAACCTACTGGTCTCGGACTAATTACACCGCTTTAATTTTTACGGTTACTTTAATTTTTACGGTTCCGTACCTTAAAGGTAAAAAAAGGAACCCTTATAAGATCAGTCTCTTGTCCGTCTGTCCATATGTCAATACCGATTTTCTGAGCAAATTGAGGTTTATAGTCCACACGTAACAGGTGTACTAAAATCACGTTCCTGACGACACGATAAAAAGATATGGACAAATTTATATTTTCGCGAAAATTTATAAGTACCAAAATTAATCTTAATTTTATTTATTTTATTTATTTTTCGAAATAATCCCATGCTGCTTGCTAGGATCACCCGTCCCAGAAAATTGGTGGTGATTATTTACCAATTTTATTATGGCGGTATATTGAATACGTACGGAACCCTCGGCGCACGAGTTCGACTGGCACTTCACCGGTTTTTATTGATAGCCGTTGTATGGCATCATGACAATCTTTTCAAAAGAAACATAAAATTCACTGGCACCACAGCACACCCCATTTATTCTTTCTATTTTATTATTTATTTACTTTTTATTTTAAAGCAAAATTGATTTAATCGAATACATATTTTTGTTTATGAATAGTCCTTTGGGTCTTAGGGACGTTATTGTAATGACAAAAGAAATGTCGAGAATGTTGTGTTGATTCATTTCCCCCCATTGAATTTCGATATTTTCGACGTAAGCTGTCAGTAAGAACTAACTGATACCCGTTGCTTCTTCTGCGTTGCTTATTACATTAACTAGTACACCGCTGGCCTCACATCTCCATGGCAAGAAAACACATCACTGAATGCGTAGTGCTTATAAAAATCGTTTAAAACTAACAAAAATTTGGAAACGCTCCCATACTCAAAGGACTATTCAACGTCCTTTGAGCGTTCTTATAGAAAGGAAAGTGCAGCTGTCGAAGAGTGCATTAAATATCGCAACTATTAACTAAAACTTATTATTAGCTTCTAAGCCTTAGCTAATGCATGCGCTTTGTGACCTCTCTTTGGTGGCGCGGCTTGCATTAGTTCAGTGTCGATCAAAAGTACAGGTTTTGTTTACAAAGTTACAGGCTGAGTTTTTCTCCAGCAATAGCCGCCTGAGATTCTCCGACAGTTCGAAGTTGCGATCATTCGCTACCACGATCCGGATACCGGAACAGTCTTCGACGACTATTTGATTGTGGGACGTGAGATCGAAGATTATCGTAACAGCGATCTTGGGTGACTCTATCTTTTCGTATATTTTATCTAAGTGGCTCCAAATTCGAGCCCCTTACCTAATTTTTCCCTGTCAGAGTTTAATTCAGTAATTATTTCCTGATGGTCAGAGTTTAATTCAGTAATTACTTCCAAGGAATTTATCGGTAAGGAAACATTTTTTAGTATGGCTATATTTATAATGCCTGGATTTTGAGGTTCGGAGGCAACCTGGACCCTCTAACCTCATTAGTGTTACTATTTCATGCAAAGTCCTTGGAATTGAAGTCGCTGGATAGTTTCTTGTTTATTTCTATTTTATTTTATTCGGTACACCAAACAGCAAACAGTAATATACACATCACAATAAAGTTACATAAGGTAAACAATAACGTATGTTATTGTTTACCTTATGTACAGTATTGTCAACCAAACTAATCCACAAATTGAGCTCAAAGATTTTGTTATATTCATAAATATTACCGAAAATGTTTTTATGGACATTTGCTCACAAGTCTGTGACCGGCTTTAGCAGCAGCGACATGCTGATATAGATAATGAATTGCGCAAACATTTTATTTATTGTACGAATTAAGGAATATCATTTTGTTTTTAAGATTGTAAAATATTGAAGATTAAAAAATAGTCAGATGACACGGGGGCACAGTTACTACATACACGCAAACTATTGACCTTGGCCCTGGGGCACAAGACAAATAAATCTGCAAGTGTACCGCAGTTGGGTGTTTTTTCCCAAAAGGGGAATTCAGGTCAAAAAACCTAATCTATACCACTAAGAACATAATTCACTTGTACTGCCGATCCCTCCTAGATAGGGCTAGGGCAGGAGGATGATGGTCATTGCGAAAGATGAGCGAGCTCAGAGTTCATAATGTAGACCAAATTGTTTTGCTCGAAGCTTAGGTTACCATTTTAACTGTAGAATAGACGTAGAAATAGTAAGTGATCATGTTACATCCATCCAACTGCTAAACAAGATAACAACACGTAAAGTAGTCGCGAATTGCTGTTACCGATATTAAATCGTTTTTTTTAATTACTCGCCCAGATTATGGTATCTTGCTTTCGAAGATTATAAAAGTAAAAGCGCACAAGAATCATAAAGATTATCGCACATCCGATTCACATTATGTAGTGACACAGACCAATTTTTCAATTCACCGTTTGTTCCAATTACTGGTGCTTGTATCTCGAGCATTCCATTTGTGTTTGAGGTGTAGTGGTGCTGGAAAGTAACTGTACAACAAAGTTTTAATTTCCAAAATGGACATTGAAATTGGAAAAGATAATGTTAGTGTAGAAGATGGTTTGTTAGTGGCGTTCACAGAGGTCGAATACAGTATTGTAAATAGTTGTTTAGGTAAGTTTTTGTTATTTTAATTTCTTAACATTCGTTACTTATCAACGATGAAAACAGAGAGGTAAACAAAATAATTCCCCTGTATTGTGTCAGTTTCGAGCGTGACCAAAGTAGACGTCGGGATCTTTGTCAGTAAAATTATCAGTCCCTGCCTATTTTATTACGTAATTGCACATTGATATATTCATAACTTACAATTCTACATCAATGTTCAAATTAAACACAAAATGAATAAATAGATTTTTAAATATTTTGTGCATAATTATTTATTTATTTAAATTTCGTTACTACACCTTAAGTTAAAGGCTACAATGGGCGGAATACGTAATAGCATTATCTACCTTGTCATGGTGAAGAGTAGATGGCAGGTGCTAAATGAAGACTATAAAAATGAAAGTTAATAAATAGTACCCGGAGGACCGAGCTTTTGCTCGGTTTGTTTTTTTTTTTTTTGGTAAATCGTGTATTTTGGAAATTACATTTAGATACAAATTACTAAGTAATGAAATATGCATAATATGTTTCGATCTTACCGACGTAATAATAAGAAAATATGAACTGGTGTTTTTCACTAAAGAAAGAAATTTAAAAAAAAAAAGGGGGAAAAAAATAACAAAATAACAAATCGACAAAAAATATAAGATAAAGAAAGCAATGATCTGGAATCGAAAAAAAAGTAAAAAAAGAAGGTGAGAGAGGCAGGAGCCTTGTGGTACGCCGGCCGTGGGGCGGCGGCTTGTGGAGAGGGTGCCCTCGACTCGATATCGAAAAGAGCGATTCAACAAAAAAGGCCCGGATGGTGAAAAAAAAAATAAGTGTGTAAATGATAATGATACGAACCTCGGCCTTCTGTTTCGTGGCTGTTTGTTAGCGGCCGCCCGATTACCGACCGAGCTATTATAACATTTTTTTTTCGGTGAAATTTACCGTCGTATTCGAATAATATTTTTCATTCCCTGAAAACTGGGATAAAACAACATTTTCTAAAAATGAAACCTAGTCAGTTCGATTTTTCGCCCCCGAATCTACGCACATGAAAATCGCTGGAGCCATTTCCGAGATTCCAATTATATATATATACAAGAATTGCTCGTTTAAAGGATAAGATAAGATAATCTAACATATGTAATATAAATAGGTGCATAAGTATGTAGGTAAATATATTCATACATATACATAGAAATAAATACATATACGGATAATAAAAACACAAATTGAATAAGCGAAATAAAATCAGTGATTTAACAAGAATTCTCGAATAATTTTTTTTAAACATGTACTTATTAGGCGCTTTTAATCTTATCAGGGAGGGCGTTCCAGAGGAGTGTAGCGTGAAAAGTAAAAGAAGAGTTAAAATATCGTTACGTCCATGACTTTCAATACTCTTGATCTTATTTAAAACTTGCTTGCAGTGCAGTTAAATTTTTTCCTTTATTTTAACTTAGCTTTTTTAATATTAATTTGCTAAATTACTTTTCTCTTAGACAACAGTACCAACTCCCATGTAGTACATAGAGGTCAAGGTGCAAACTTGAACTTTAAATAAAAACGTATTACCAGCCAAACCAGTATTTTAACTAAAGAGTTTAACTCCTACTTTATATATGCCGTTTCTTTTGTAAATTTTTAACATAATTCAATTTTTATTAGCAAGCAAATTATATATAAAGTTCTCAAGACTACGTTTTTAATATTTTGCAGTATTCAACAATAATCAATCCCAAAACTGTTAACAAATCAATATCTAACTATGTCGTCACTACTTATTTCGAGGAAACTTTAATATACGTAGATTTCGCCGCGATTTGTGTAGTGGATAGTGAACCCCTTACGTAAGAGTATGAGGGTTCGATCCCTACTACTGGAAAAATATTGTGCGATTAACACGATGTCTTTCTAGTGTCTGGGTGTTTAGATATCTATAACATGTAATTATTTACAAAAGAACATTAATTTCGGTATATTTATTTGTTATATATACTCAAAGTAAATGCTTTCTTCAGTTTCAGACTATATACTGATATAGTCGGTTAAAAATATATCCAGACAGATTTAGGCCCGGCCATCTGAAAGAATTTGAAAAAAAACCATATTGCTTTGAAAACAAAGTGTTTTTTAACCATCCTTTTGGCAAATTAAATGACATTTAACTAGCCATTTGACAACTGATTAGTTAATTTTACGATGATCAGTCTTTCAGAAACTGAACGTTACTATCATTGTCAAATGTATTACGTATTTTTCTTTTTATATATAGACGAATTATGTAGTGGGTAGTGTACCTGCCTCTTGCGCCAGAGGATGTGGGTTCGATCCCCAATACTGGAAAAATATTGTGTGATATTTTTCCAGTGAATATTGTATACGTATAATATGTATTTATTTACAAAATAAAGCATGTTTAAGTATGTTTATAAATTATCTAGTCCCCATAGTACAAGCGTTGTTTAATTTGGGACTAAGCATGTGTAAAAATTTGTCCTAAGAATTATTTACTTATTCAATTTTATTTGAGTTCCATGAGTACGGTTTTCGATCGTGATCGTAAAAATGTACTCGCTTTCCCATTTCTGCTTCCAAGTTATCACGTTTCTGTAATAAAAATACAAATAATTCAGTAGAGGACGCTAGGCGCGAACGTACTTTTATGAAAATGGCGATAACGTGCGAGCGGTTCATCTAATCATCATCGTTAATGAACACCGCCTAGGGCAGTCGTAACAACGGAAGAGTTACAAATGCGTTTCCGGCCTTTGAGGTATGAATAGCCCATCTTCCTGAAGACACTAAATCGATTGGTGAAAGGAATGGCTCATAAAAGGTAATAGGGCGCACAAATTAAACTTAAATGCACCAATGCAAGTTTGTCAAGTTTTGCGCTGTACACAGTTTACAGGTACGCTACGTGCAGGCTACGCGGGGAAGGACAATTTTATGTGCGAAAAATTGTCAAACGAGCAGGCCGTTGACCTGATGTAACACTTGAGGGATTAACGTATTGACAGCTTTTAAAAAGTAGGTGCCGGTTAACTCACTCACCAGTCGAGACACGAGAGAAAATTCCACTTCACGGTGAACTTCTGTCAGGCCGTATTACTTGCTCGAACGAGCCTGACCATCCATGCAACAGAATATGCTGCATGGCCCTACCACATTAGAATAACCAAAGATATATTCGTATCTTTCGTTCGCTCGTAGTCCACATCAATTTCTGCCTGGCATCCACTACGCTATACGTTACTGTATAGTGGAAAAAACGTTGTTATTATTTTTGAACATATTTAAGATATTTTTTAGATCAATATTTTAAGCGATAACTTGACCTTTGCACTCAACGGTACATACACAGAACCCGCGGAGCCATTTGACTCAAGCGCATTTAAGTTCTGCGATATTTACCAATTTTAAGCATAATTAAATATCACCATTAATGATCACAGACAATAATAATAATTAGAACACTGCTAATTACAACTTCCATAACGACTAAGTGCCAATAAGCTGTGATTCTTTAAGAATGAAATGTTTTGTATAACGTCCAAAGGAAAGACGTTTCTTTTTTAAAAGGTTGATTACTAGTTGCTGCTGTTTAAAGGTTTTGCCTTCTTTAAACTTAAGAACAAAACCGGATGAAGATCTAATTTACTCAATTTTTTGTGTATCTATTATACACTTGTCAGAAGGATGTTTGGATTAAGAAATTCCAAACTGAAAACCAATATTCAATTTTGTTGCTAATGACATGGGAGTGATATTATATATCAGTTTATTAATCATTTATGAATGCCAAGGTCGAACATAAGCACCAGCCTTAAATAAAAATGACAGTATTGTCTGTTTTATTCTATTGAACGAAGTTTATTACAAACAATTGAATTATCTGTAATTGTTATAAATTCTCTTCACACGCCTCTTGTCTCTACAACATTGACATTTGACTTCAAGATAAGCTATAACAATGTGTTATAGCTTAACCATTGTTTTTTCACCTTCAGTTAAATTGCTATAGCACTTAATGGAGCTAATAAGTCAATTACTTAATACCTGCATCTCAACCCAACCTCCATCCTACTCTCTTAACCCCAGCGTTCCACCATCGTCCTCCAATCTCCACCTTTTTGTTGTTAAAAATTTCCGTCCAAAGCATTGTTTCAAAGAGGCCGATCTCCTTGCTCATCGTTAATAATACAGACAGGACATGAGTGGAACAACCTGCCGACCTTAGTCATCCTTCGTACTTCGGGTTACCTTCTTTTTATAGACAGTAGCCTTACCATTCGGAAAGATGAAAGTCGCAGTCCCGTTACTATCTTAGCTTTAAGCGTATAGATTGCCCGAGGCATCGTGTTCATAATTATTCTAAGTACCCTTAACATACACGACGTAGGTAGCTTTGGAAGTATGTTGAACCGCAAGTACTGTATATACATACATAAGAACGGTATATAAACCATGGTTAGCTGAACGGTGGGAGTGGGGCAGTCGACAAGGCGCATACGGCTAAGACAGTCGTGTACACACACGCCAAGCGCTGGAAAATTGCAACGCTTAAAGTTTCGCGTCAGTGAAAGTGATGGACGTTGAACTAGGCAATCGGAGTCAACACTGTGCTGGCGATGTGGTCGCATTCACCGATATCAAATATGAAATATCGGGTAAGATATTTGGTTTGTAAATCATTAAAGACATGATATAGGAAAGTTAGGATACTTATGTCAACAAAGAAAGAAAGTAATAATTCAGAGTTCCCAGCTCTGAATTTTTATGCTTAAAGTAAAAGTCCGCCATTACTTTTGCTCAAACACCAATACAACAAAAAATTCTATCAGTCCAATTTTTAATCGCCGACGTATCGTTTCTAAATAGTAACATTTATCTTATAAATGTTTGGCGTTGCGTTTAATGGTTTTAAACGCAATAAAATATTCGAGAAGACAATAAACTGAATGACTTTAATATAAGTAAGAGATTTTTTACTTAGTAAATAACGAATGTCCAAATGAAAAAACAATATGATTTAAATAACAAACAACGAAATATACAATTGATAATTTTTGTAGTATTCCACAGCGAGTTAGCATTTCACTAACATGAATCATTATATTTTTTATTGAATAATGAAATTAACTTACATATTTTTCCTATTCAGCCAATATAAATTTTAAAATCAGAAACCAAAATCTAATATTTACAAGATTAAATCTATCTAAAATTACATATTGTCTAATAAACCTAATCCAATGTAAAATAACATATGCGAATATGTTATTAGTCTCATCGTATTTATTAGTTATTAACTTCGCCATTTTTAGGGTCCCGTGGATTTACTAAGACTCCGCTGTCTGCCTGTCTGTCCGTTTGTCACCTGTATCGCATGAACCGATTCGACAGCTTTAATAAATTTTCATAGATGATGTATTTCTGTTTGCATGGAACCCTTCATGCGCGAGTCCAACTCGTACTTGCCTGATTGAATAATAAAATATCGCAATTGAAACATAATAAATTGTATTATGCTGAATTGTATTATGTATTAATGATTGTATTAGGTATTAATGACTCGTTATATTACATTAAGTTCATTGATTGGATAATTGCCTCAAAAAACAAGTTTGAACCTTTACAAGTCAGAAAACTGCCTTAAACAACGATAAAAGTGCAACGGCGTGATTAAATTTTATCTATACGAACTTTAAAGGTTATTATTATCTTCAATGTCAAAAAACACTTAATGACTTCTTGTAGTAATTTTTTACGGTTGTTACTTCGTTTGATAGTTCGTTTTTAAGAAACTTAAAAATTTGTGTATTAATTTCTTTTTTTTTTTACACATTACCAATCGTGCAATAGTATTACGTACGAAAGAAATTATACTTCTTTAACATAAAGATATTAATTTCAATAGATAACGGTTTATTTAAGTACCTAACTTGAAATTATTGAAAAATGTAAAAAAGGTCTTTTTGGTTGCCATGGTAATCCCGTGAAATTGGTTCCGCAGGCATTGTCATGGCAACTATACATGAAGGTGGTTGCCTCGCATTCGATTAACATAATTTATTAAAAGCTCAGCATAATTTATAAAAAGTTAAAAAGCATTAGCATAATAGCTTTAACGAAAAGCATTTTAATTACAGTTTTTCAATTTTTTTCAAACACATATACGAAATATTTTTCGACATGTATTTCCCCTCTGATCTAAAGACACGGGAATCTAGCTTAGGAATTATGTTCTTTCTTAACTTCAACAGTTGTAAATATTTCTCGTATTTACAAGCGGTGACCGCCTGTTAAAGTTTTAATTTAATATGACATGATAAAAGATAAGTAAGCTTATGTCATATAATTTTTTATGTCAGACAAGAATCAGTAGTTTATATCAGCAAGAATAAAGTTGTTTTTTCCGCACTGGGTTCTTTATATGGCCACAGGACCTCACTTGGCAAGAAGATGTGAAAAATTATTTTTAATCCAAGGCTAGCAAATAAATGAAATGTTGACTTAATTAGCAGGAAAATAATTACTGTTGGAATACATTTCTCTCGAAATGTTATTTATAGTTTTATTATAGTAATAGTACGAATGGAGTTAATTTAATGGACATGACATTTTGCTAGTACTGCTTTATGTTCGTAATTTTAAAATATTCAATGTTTTTGTTTGTTTCTCACTTTATTATAAGATAAGTAGAATGTTATACATATGCTGGACTTAGAATATCGTCTTCACATTATATTTGGAGAGAGAAAACATTTAATTTTTATAATCGGTTTATTGTTTCACTCACAATATACATCAAGAATTCTTTGAACTGAGGTATAAATCATTAACCATTAATAAAGCTTTAACCATTGTAAATTGTCTCAAAATTATACAAAACGTCATGTAGTCAAAAGCCACTTTTACAAGGGCTAACCTTTCCCTTCATGCCATGAAATTATATTGTTTACAAATAATATATTAAATGTTTTTTTTTTATGTGAAAAGTTGACAAGCGAGTAGGTGGTTCACCTGATGTTAAGTGAATACCGCTGCTCACGGACATCTCCTACACCCGAGGGTTCCAGATGCGTTGACAACCTTATACCAACCGAAAACTGAGCTCCGGCTACTTCACTCACCGCGAAAATATTTGTTATACTTCCACTTTACGCCAGTCTTCTGTGAGGTCGTGGTTCTTACCCGGACGAGCTTGCCCATTCGTGCAACAGCCGAGGCTGCTGCGTGGCCCTACCACATTTACAAGTCAATAAGTTCAAGGTTAAATGAATCAATCATCGAACCTTAGCTTATACCAATGAGTCATTATTGATATAAGCAATAGTATACACTACGACGAAGGACATAAATACAAATCGCATTCATTATTAAAAAAAAAAAAAAAGTGTGTGTACTTATGTACGCACGTATGAAGTTATACTTCTTTAGCGTAACAAAGAAAAATAAATAAAAATTTTATCCTGTGTGCTAGTACTCTTTGTTTGTGAAAATGACATTAAATGCAATCGTTAACGGTTCTTCTTCTTCTTCTATGGCAGTTGGCGGTCCTTATGGATATCGCCAATGACTCAATAATGGTAAAGAAACAAATGGTTTCAAATATCTAAGAATATCTTCTGGTTGTTTATTTTACCTAGCTTTTATAATGAAATGATGAAGACAATGATTTTATGAATATTTAATATGTATATTTTTATAAATAGAATATCTAAATAAATTTACATATTGTGGCAATTACCTAGAACAAAGAAAATAAGATTGTAATTATTATGCTAAGTTCACAACTTAATATTACAACTATTAATAAAATTACATAAGATATAAGTAAATGAAGAATTTACATATGTTAGAAGGTTTTTGATGTTAGATGGACGCAGGATGTTAGAAGGAAGATGATCATGGAAGGAACCTGGAATTCTGGAACAGTTGAAAAATATGATCAGGTGAATCATCATCTAGGCCACATTCACAGATGGAACTATCTTTTATTCTTAATTTGGAAAAATGAACATTAGTGCAGACATGCCCAATTCTAAGTCTGCAGACAATAGAGGTGGGATGCTTATTAGCTTTAGAAAATTTAAAAAACCATGGTTTGGTTGGAAATCGATAACGGTTATAACTTAGGATTATAGACAAATGTCAAAAAGTTATTATTGGTTGCCACGATACTACATGCCATGTCGCTTTTTGGGTGTTGGTGAGCGTGCGCATCGTAAAAATTTTACTCTCCAATTTTTTCCAAATACGCCAAAAAGAAGCATAACTTCAAAAAATATTTTAAGTAATGTCGATATAAATAAAAGCACTTGTTGTACTCACTTTTCCATGTTTTCAAAAAAAATCTCTATGGTAACTGATTCTATTGTGAAATTTCATAAATAAAAGGGATTTTACCTATGAAATTGGCGTTCTTCGTCATTTTTCATCATAACAGATACTTTAAAAATTCGTATACTTAGGAAATATGAGTTCCGTCGTGACACTAACGCGGCACAAAGGCACTTAACATCAACAACGTTTTTGGAGAGAACTCTACAATCGAACTCACAACCGTTATTAGTTTACCCGGTTCGGTTCTGGAATTTTTGACTTGAAAAGTTGAACCTGGTGAAATTTTTTTTATGTGATCCGTAAACTGGTCAACAATGATGTATTAAAGGCGATTGTAGAAGCTGATGATACTCAATGTACAGCCGAGTTAGCAGCAGCTTTTGATGCTAGCACCAAAACAATATTGGTCCACTTGGGACAAATTGTCAAGGTAAAAAAGCTTGATAGGTGCTGAACTTAACGATGGCAAGCGCAACGTACGCGTCGAGTCGTGCCTCGAGATCAACCGGCAGAGAAATGGAAGAATTTTGTACCGGAATGTCTATTCGACATTTTCCAAGCCCAATTTTCAAAATGTTGTCAGTGCATCTAGAACCCTCGGATGTAGCAGGTGTCTACGGGTGGCGGTATTCACTTAGCATGAACAGTTTGCTCACTTGGCAACTTTTCACATAAAACAAAACAGAAACGCTCAGCAAGTTGGTTGGATCTTAGTCCACACCAAAGCAATGCCCTTAACGGAAAATAACCTCTAGAAAGGTAAATGGTCACTGTTTGGTGGTCTAGTGCCGGTCTGATTCATCATAGTTTTTTACAAAACGGCGTGGACATTACTGCAAATGTGTACCGCGAAGAACTGAAGACAATGATGGAGAAACTCGCATATCTGCAACCAGCTTTGGTCAATCGATCGTTCCCAAGCTGCAAGAGTTGGGAACGTAAGTTCTCCATCATCCGCCATACTCACCAGACCTTGCACCTAACGAGTATTACTTTTTCCAAAATTTGGATAACTTTTTAGCTTTAGCATTTTTTTTTATTCTATTCCCAATGCATTACAAAATGCCTTTGAATAGTTAGTTGCCTCCCGTCTACCTTATTTTTAAGGTCCCAAGGAGTAAAACGGGACCTTATTACTAAGACTCCGCTGTCTGTTTGTCTGTATGTAGTTTAAATTTTCACAGACGATGTTTTTCAATTGCTGCAATAACAACAAATACTAAAAAACAAAATAAAATGAAAAATAATTAAGGGGGCTCCCATACAACTAACGCGAGGCAGTTGTATTTTCATAGTTTAAGACCTAACGAATTAATATTATTTATAAATTATGGAGAAGTTAATAAATTTATGTATTGGCACGTAACAAAATAAAATAAAAAAGAAGAGAAAATCAGTGAGTCCGCTTATATAACGTATAGAAAAACGGTTTTCAAATGCACATACGAATTTTTTTCGAAATACAGCAGGCGTAAAATACAGCAGCAATAATTAAGAGAGTACTAACTTTGATATTTAAATAACGTTTGGCATCTTGATATTTATAATTAAGGAACGTATTAATGCCGCAATATCCCATATTATCATTTAGAAATGCTTCACAGTCAGTATGTATTAATAGATTAATTCTTGCGTAGTTCTGATTAAATATTATCTTATCATAAGTCAATACATATTGTTACAATCGTTTTATTTCTATTAAAAGATTTTATATTTACATCAATGAATTTATTCACTTTATCTAATATAACAGACATGGTTTGCATAAATGGACAGAATGTGACCGAATTTTCTGGTTTTAATGACAAGGTATTTTGTAAATCTAGAATGGCATGTTCGCGTGTGGGACATATCCCACAGATGGGTAAATTATTGGGTATTAGGGCATACTCCTCCAGGCGACCCCACTGCGAATTGGCAGAACTCATATAACTTCGAAATGTTTTTTCGAAAATAAGCAATTTTCCTCACGATGTTCTGCTGCAGCGCTGAGCATGTGATAAATCAGCACTTAAAAATTAACAATTTCAATGATGCCGGCAGCAGGGATCGAACTCAAGTTGCTCGATTATATCGAATTAAAATTAAATTCACTAATATATGACATTAAAAATTGAGTATCACATGAAAAGATTACTAATACATTTGGTTGTCATTTCTTCCTGTATATTCCTCTGTATTATAAGATTTTCTTTTTGTAGAGGCGTTTCACAAATACAAAGTAATCAAGGTCAAGTAAGCAGAACCGGTACGCTTATCTGTAGATCATAAAAATGCAGGTCCCGATCGGGAATATAACCCAAAAACACTTATTGCCAAGTCCATCACTTCTCAACTCGCTTAGTAATTGCCGCCAAGGAGCAATTAAAGATATAAGAGAGGGTATGCACATTACATATTATTAATAAGTGTAAATTTATACAGAATTTTTTTATAAAATAAGGAGACAAAGAAGCAAGCGAGTAAAAAATACGTAAGAAATTAATACGTCGAAAATAATATAAGAGTTCTAACGTTTTTACCTTGATTCTAACATTTTAACTATTACTGGACTTGAAAATTAACAACTATTATAATGACAAGTAGCACTAATGGTTATATCACTGTCCGGGAACGCAGCCGAAATCCAAGTGACCGCTGCTCCATGCGACCATGTGTCCCTTGGCTCGAGTAGATAATTTCATATCCGGTATACAGTGTTGACAGCGCCAATAACAAATAGCAATCTGGTAGAGGGTGTGAATATATAGGATACCTAATCAACCAAATTTGATAGAATCTTTGCAGAATAAAATATAATATAAATGAATAAAATGATATATTCCTTTCTGGGCATCACACGCTGTTTTATGAGCATTTAATCATTTTAGAATACCGAGAAACAGATGAATAAAAACCCAATTAAAATTAAATAAATATACAGATTTTAAGTATAGTTATTACAATTTTATATTTAATCTAATGCCATTAATCTCAAGGTGTTGGTACTGAAATAAATGTAATTACCGAAAATGACACCTATAGAATTATGGCTTATTATATTAATTGTTCAATGTAGCCTATAAGAATTTCAATCATACAAACTATTAAAAAGTTTAATTTTTATTTTTTTATGAAGAACACAAGAAGATACAAAGCTTTCTGTCGCCTAAATGGTCGTGTAATATTGTCGTGTGTCTTACTTGACTCATACCTAAACTGACCATACGCCCCGTTTTAGCTTTTTCTGAAAAGTTCAGTGTGACCCTAGTAGCTATACCGCACACGTAGAGACAATTTTGAGATCAATCACTAGTTAAATTAGTTTTACCTCTTTAACAAGTAGTTGTTAAAGAGGTAAAACTAATTTAAAAAGTTAGTAGTAACTGGTTTATAAAACAGCTAGACATTTAGTATCCTGTACGCAGCATTACATTAATTAATGTCTGCATAATAAATTTGATAGACATACAGTAGTTTGTTATGGAATATATACATAAAAACACACAAGTCTTAATTAAAAATTAAAGCTTGTATATTTGGTTGCTGAATCAACAAAAAACTTACTAAGTGTCTGTGGTCAAATGTCTGATCGTCGACTTCCTTATGCTTTTAAGCAGAGATCTCTTGTAGAGTCGTTTAGATTTACTATATATGCAGATATAATCGTACATATTTGTGAATAACGACTGCATTGCCTTCGTACATGCTTCTTTAGAATTCATAATTACAATTGTCAATGAAATTTGCACCGGAAGGTAAAAGCTTACCTTGTAGAATATAATAGCATCAAACTATTTTATTTTAAATATCATTAGAATGAATTTGTATAATTTAATTTTTATGTCCTAGGCTAAATGCCGCGACTGGTGACAAGAGAGCTGGTTCTTTTCTCGCTCAAAGGATTGAAAAAAAATTGAATTTCATTCAACGTAGTTATTTAAATAAATATCCATTTATATATTAAATAGATATGGAATTTATTGTTTCTACACAAAATTAATATATAAGTATTTTTTGTTTTTAATATTTGTCTGTGTTGTAATAATTATCGTTTATAAATAGATATTAAAAAGGTTAAATTTTCAACGGGACTATTCTCAAAAAAAATTTACAGCTATTTAAATAACATATAAATGTTTAAACTAAATATGGTCAGACCCATTGCACACGCAGAACTTAGCAGACCTGCATATTATTATAGTACATAAGAAAATAATTGCTTGAATGACCAGACAACCTTGACCTTGTTGCAAGATTAATGTTGTACTTGTGATTAATGAAAGATACAACCTTCCGCCCTTTAGATAAATATAACCTGATGACTGTCCTTTTGCTTATATGAATGAAACACGATTTGTTTTGTGAGCAGTTGTCAAGCCAGTAGGCGTTACACCTGATATGATTAAGTGATTACCTCCGCCCATGGATATCTATGAAAAGCTGAGAGATGGCTATAAAACCTGCAGATAGGTTTACAAGTTTACAACCTTAAAATAATTAGGCCCCGGCTACATCACTCACCAGACGAAACGCGAAAAAATGCGAGGCCCAACCACAGATGATATTTGATAAAATAAATAAATTAAGGTAATAAAATAAAAAAGTGCAGTATGTCGGACTGTAAAAGAACACTAGTTAGTTAAACTATTTTGATCTCCTATAAAACACCTCAATGTTACTACCCTGTACACAGGATTTCATTAAATGTGTTCATGATTAGTAACTTTAGGCTAATAATAGCGCAAATAATGAATTGTATAATTAAAAGACACGATTTTTTTTTTATTTACTTGATTGCTCATTCATCGACCAAACTTCAATTTGCCTCTTGCGTACTATTAAGCAGAGTTCTCGTTAGATTCCTCGTTAGATCCTCTAGTTAGATTCCAGAGAGTCGTTTAAATTTGCGTGTGTACTATGTGAAAAACTATTTCAATGCCCTTGTACGTGTTTAATTAGTATTTAAACTCAAGGAAACCCATGCCAAAACCCATTAACAGCATCAATGATACGAGCATGTCGTGTAAAAAATTACCACTAGGAGGCCGTAAGGAACACTCGCACTCTTCTTCTTGTTTTGGCGACTCTTTTACGGTGTGCCTCTGAAACTCCGCTCCGTTACCTCATTATGTCCGCACCTGTCCTTCTTTGGATGTCTTCAATATATTTTTAAGAAAAAAAAAACAACTCGTACGTACCATTGACTGATGTGTATTATATTATATACAAAACTATTTTATTTATAAATAAAAAGATAATTAGTTGATGTTATTCTGAAGATAATAAACAAAAACCCGATGGTACCGTTTTGACAATCAATAAGTAAAAAAGTGTAAAATATTTGAATTTGTAACGTCCATTTTTTTCGGGAGTTAACGTGTAAACCTCGTAAAAAAAATCCGGACATTCCCGTATTGTATTTAAATAATATAAAACTGTTTTTACGGTTAGCGGTTTCGTCTGGCCATTTGTCAATCGCTAACAAATTTTATTGGTAAAAAAAGAGGGTAAAAAAAAAACAAGATACAATCGAAGTAAAAACTAAGTTTTGATATCTCTAAAATCTAAGATTTTCGTCGGTGTGGCAATCAGCCGTTTAGCTCAGTGGCTAGAGCGTCATGCCGCGAATGCCGAAGACGTTCGTGTCGATTACCACAGCGGCGACAATCTTTTCGTACTTTTTCTACATGTTTTAATGTCCAATCTTAAGCACGGCAGTACTCGCTAATTATTCCAACTGACGAAGTCTTTATTGAATCTTTTCCTTTATCATTTCGAAGGTAACCTATGGACGAAGAAAAGGACATGCTCTCGAAGCGGTGAACAGACCATCCTGGACAACGCCTGCGGTGCTTTGAGACCCGGGCGGCTGACATTCATCTTGGGTCCCTCCGGCGCTGGAAAGACGTCTCTCCTGAAAATACTTGCCGGCAGAAAGTACGTTTAAAAACCAGAGACAATGCATGGCATTGTCTAAGGTTTTCACAACGTGCTCTGCATTTAATTACTTTATATCATCAACAATATCATTAATCATAGGCAAAACTTTTCGCAAAATAGAATATGAAGAATAAAAGTTCATTCCTCTAAGTAACCGGGAACCTGGGACTTTGGACGTGTTAAAAACCTATCTACCTATGCAACGATGTCCTTCCATTCTAATATTATATTGCCCTTCAAATACATTTTTAAAGAAGAATTACAACCTTTATCAACTACAGTAAACAGTACAGTTTTTCATATTTCTTTTTCACGTAAAATTGTCAATGATTTTCCCTAAAGTCTGTGTCACTATGTAAAGTGTGTAAAAAAATTACAATGTTTTGACATTCATTATGTGCTGACCGAGGAAATAACCTTTAACAAGATGACATAATATTTAAGTAACTACTAGATTTTTTTTGCCAATGGGTTGCTTATTTAAATAAAAATAACCAAACTATAGGCGACGTTCATTGATCAAAGTTAAGAAGGGAAAACTCCAACTTTTAATCCAGTACGCGAAAAATAAAATTTAAACATATTTAAATACAATTGTCAAAACAATTTAAAACAAATGTAACTTGTTATTGAAGTTAACCCAGTTATCATGACATCCGACCCGTGCTACTGATAATAGCATAAACTTAAATCGTGTATAAATGACACCATTAAATAGTCCCTGTATGTATTTCATGGTTAAATATTTATTAATTTATTTACCTGGTTCAGCTCTTGTAATCTCAAAGTAAGTTTTTATATCCGTTATTTAAATACATTTTCTGTAAAATATATGCTAAATAATCAATGAATACATTTATAATAAATAAGATTTCATTACATTAAAATACTTTAAATTTAATGTTAATGTAAACAAGTTCAAATTATTGAAACTAACGTATCTAATATGAATAGAAAAAAAATTATGTGCCAGTACCTACTCTTTGTTTGTGAAAAAGATTAAGTGCAATTGATAACGGTTCAATTAAATAACTTGGATGTATGTATACATAAATGTGAAAAAATTGTTATCGGTTGCCATGGTAATACCGTGAAGTTCGTCGCTTTGCAACCAACTTCATCATGTCGATGTGGCGCATCGTTTTTTTTTATGCGAGAAGGTGGCAAGCGAGCTGGCGGTTCACCAGATGTTAAGTGACAACTGCCGCCCATGGACATTTGCAACACTCGTAGGGTGGCAGATTCGGTTCAATCTTATAATAAAGTGGGCCCCGGATACCTCACTCACCAGACGACACGCAGAAGTATAGCACTTCCACTTCACGCCGGTCTTCTGTGGGGTTGTGGTACTTACCCAGACGGACCTGCCCATTCGTGCAACAGAGAAGACTGTTGCGTGGCCCTACCACGGTTAAATGTAAAAATTTTACTCTCATAGTTTTTCACAAATACGCCAAAAGAAGTATAACTTGAATAAATATAATATTAATGTGGGTATTCATAATGATAATAACTAAGTACCTACTTACTCGTACCATAAGGATGTACGCCTATTATATGTGCATGTGTCTATGATGCTTGTTACCTTTATTTTAAAAACACACAACATAATATTTTGATCTCTGTTTGCTTCAGGAAACGAGGAGTGAAAGGTTCTATTAAAGGAATTGGCAAGAACGCCGTGCTGGTAGCGCAACATGCTAGTCTCATAGACGCGTTGACTGTTCGCGAAACTCTACAGTTTGCTGCCGCACTCAAGTTACCGAAAACAAGTCGAGTTGACCGCTTGAATACGGTACGTTATTTACGTTATATACTTTAAAAATCTAATTAATCATTGCTGCTAACAAACAATGTTCTAAAAGTACCATGAGAGAAGTCGGAATGAGCATGACAACGCGACCTCACAGAATACCGATGAAAAGTAAAAATAAATGAATTAGCGTTTCATCTTGTGTGTTAATTCGTCTTCTAATGTAGTAAAACACCTCCAGCGTCAGCTTCAGCATCAGGAGAAACCGCATTCTCGTTTGTCAAAAATGTAAGAGTAACGGCTTATATAATGTCCCATTGATGAGTAAAGGTACTCTGTACAGAAGGTAAAAGGCCATATTCCACCACCAGACCTCGCCTCGGATTGACAGATGTCTCATTGTTATCTTCGAATTACTTTTTGTTATTATTTCGAAAATATGCAGGTTTTATCAAGATGTTTTCATTCACCACTGAACACATTATCAAGTCAAACGCTTAAAATTGTAATCAAACATTTTATTGATTTCAACTTAACTTGATCTACTATATTGAATTAAAAGAAGAGCGCTCGGACACTGAACTATCACGGCTCTTTAAAAGTAAAATAGAAACAGCTGATCTTTTAACTGTAAATTCCTCTCGTTTTTATGGTAACTGGCTAAAAATTTATACCTATGATATCTTTCAGTTTAAAAAATTTAAAGTTCATAATTGAATAGTATTTTTTGTTTATCATTACATTTATTGGTACATTTTTAGATAGAAAGGATCTCAAGCCAATTAGGAATACGTGAAATATTCAACACAAAAGCCAGTCTTCTATCTGGCGGGGAGAGAAAAAGGTTGACGATCGCTGGTGAATTGCTTACAGATCCGCATATAATGCTACTTGATGAGCCCACAAGGTAATTTTAACGTCTTAATTATGTCTTCATCTCAAGGTAAAGATATTTACATTCAAACTTGTCTCAAGGAGTTATCAGCATCAAACCCAGTGATTCAAAAGTTTAGACTTACGTTGTACCATGGTAATTTATCAACCGGCTTTAAAAAAGGAGGATCAATTTGACTGTATTTTTTTTAATGTTTATTACCTCAGAACTTTCGACTGAGTGAATCGATTTTGATGATTCTTTTTTATTTGAAAGCTGGTGCGTCCCATATTAATTTCATTGGTATTGTGGATTTTGGACTCTGGAGATACGTAGAAAACTCCTAAAAATCTATTTTAAAATGAATACAGAGCGAGATATTTAAAGTCAGTTTTGTTTATCGTTAATAAAAAAATGAATATACAACTAGTCAGCTTGTGTTACGAAACTTCAAGTTACATTTGTGTTCATTCATCACATTTCTACTTCTAAAGTTCAGATTGTGTCATATTATACCGTAACAGATGCTCAAATTGACACTATATTTAGAGTATCTTCATTTCAGCCTGTTTACGTGCACTGCTGAACATAGACTGCAACGAAGTACGATTCTTAGCCACCTGCGTCCATCGACTTCCCGCACATTTGCACAGGTCGTCACTCCATCTAGTGGGGGGTCGTCCAACACTGCGATGGCCAGTACGAGGCTGCCACTCGAGAACCTTTCTTCGCCAACAGTTATCGGTTTTACGAGCTATATGGCCGGCCCATCGCCACTTCAGCTTGCTAATCTTCTGAGCTATGCCGGCTACCTTGGTTCTACTGCGGATGTCCTCGTTACAAACTGTTTAGAGTATGTAAATAGCAATTATTTTCAGTGGTCTCGACTCCGTGTCTTCAATGTCAGTCATCAGGGCACTTCAAGCAGTAGCCAGGACAGGACGAACAGTTGCCTGTGTCATACATCAGCCCTCCTCCCAGCTGTTTATATCTGCTGATGACGTCATAGTCCTCGCTTATGGCCGTACGTTATACGCCGGCGCTATAGAAGACGTGCCCAACATATTAAAGAAGGCTGGATTAATTTGCCCTCAGTACTACAACATGGCAGATTATCGTGAGTTTGTACAAAGATATTTTAAGAAATGTATTAATATTTTTCAATTCAACTTTCTCTCGCGTCCTGACTTGGAATTTAGTACACCGATAAAGCTATATAACAGCTTATAATGCGATAATCTCACTACACGTTGAGAGATCATGGTAATAAAGATTCTTTCTTATCATAGGGTTTTTTAGCTAACTTCAAAGCAACCATTATTTTCTCGTATGAAATTTAATTTTAGCATGTTCATCTTAACAAAAATAAACCTCGGAATAGTCTGCACATTTGTCCAACAGCGAAACGTGCTGAGTGGTCTCACCTTAGTGTTTTAGAAAAATGTGGAGATGCACACACGTCTTTGATTATCACGCTTCGTGATACCTTTGTTCATCAGTGTGTGATTTGATTTGATTATAACTTTTAGACAATTTATATGTTAAAATCGCATTTAGATTACATATTGAGTGCAAATTAGCGCCGAAAATAAATGTGTGATTTGAGTTATAAATTTTAATGAATAAAAAACGAGTATTACTAATTCAATATGGCTTATTGGGCATTTCACGTTTTTTATTTGTTTAAACTGGAATAAAAATCCCGTTCAGACTTATTCAGGTTCATATTTCAATTTGATTTCTATCAGCCATTTTTGTAAAGATATCGAAATCTCACAGACATAATGATGTCTGAGTACTTAACCAGTCTGTGAAGTTTTAAAGTAAACGTACAAAAATTGTATTATTGGTTAATTCAAGCAATTTTATATCATCAATATTCCTATAAATATATTCCTATAATTTAACTTCCTCAATAAAAAAGAAAAAAAGTGTGTTTCTGACTTTCAAAAACCAGTGGTTATGAAGTCACACTTCTTTTGGGGCGTTTGGGGGAAATGATGGAAATGCATTTTTACGATGCGCAACACCTAAATGTGTTACCAATTTCATGGCGTTACCATGGCAACCATAAACTTTTTTTACATTTACCTTTAATTCCAAATTATTTAACTAAACTCTTAGGTATATTTTGCATTTGACGCATTTTTTCACAAACAAACAATAGGCACGCGGGTTTATTATTATTATTTTATCAAAAATTTCCTTTCATGTTTCTTTCCCGGTGGCTATTTTTACTCAGAAAAATACGAGCAATCGTTATCACAACATCGTCATCTAATTACGACCAGGAGTTTTTGCTTCGTATTTTCATAAAAATTTCATTGATCTTTTAGTAATTGAAATTGCCAGCGCCAAAAGCATCGAGAGCTTGGCCATTTTGGAGAAAGAAGCCGTACTCTACGCGTCCGAAATGAAGAAAATTGCAGAAAAAGATAACGCCTTGAAGAATGGCAAAAACTCAGGTAATTAGTTATGGCCAATTGTTTTTTTAAATAACTTTATTTTATATTTTTTTTATTTCAAAACTTTGGTAAATGTAAATAACTTTAACTCCGGCGTAATTCAATTAAAATAAATTTTAAACGATAGAGATAAATCTAATGAATTAATCAACAAGCAGAATTCGGCGGTCGCTTATAGTTTTCGAGAAAAAAAATATTTAAAACTTGTTTTTTGTACTAAGAAATCCACCAATTTATTTGTTTGACTTCAAAAATTCAATACACAGTTCTGCCAACATGATAAATATAGGAAGCGGGCGACATCATACACGTATCGATATACCGATTTTTTTAATTTAATGAATCACAGAACCGACACAGAGCGAATCCGACTCGGATAGATTAGGTTAGAAGGTTCAGACGGGAGCGGAGCGGAGCTCCCGCCTTAACCTTCGATGTTAGGTTTTTTTTTATGACCACCAAGAAATACGAGCTGAATTGACATATTGACAACAAAAAAATGGCGGATTTCTATAGTAAAAATCACACTATTTCATTATTTATTTTTTCGAAAACTAGAAGCGACCGCCGAATTCTGCTTGTTGATAAATTCATAAGTGATTTTTCTCTATCGTTTAAAATTTATTTGATTTGAATTACGCCGGAGTTAAAGTTATTTACATTTACCAAAACTTTTTGCACACTAATGTACTTTACATTTGAGTGAGAATACAAATTACGAACGTCGAAATGGCAGTATGCAATTCATTATAGAACTGAACACGGTCATTATATTTTTAAATTAAGATTATTAGAGAATATAAGCAATGTTTCACGTCATCTAAAATTAAGTTTGCCTAATTTGTATTTGTTTTATAGACACCAAATATGTAAATCTTCTTGAATTAGATACTAAAATGTATTACACATAGGTACATAATTACGTTATTATCTACGTTTTTACGTTTCTTTTTGGAGTAACTATTCAAACGCAAAAAAACAAACATCTAATTGTTGATCCAATTGCTTCTTTTATTTCTAAACAATAAAATTAAAACAAATCAAATTCAGTACTATGTTATTCAATATATATATTAACTATTAAAACTTGACAAAAATTTATGGAACTACGCATTTAATAACGCTTCAACAACGACTTCATCAACAAATAAATGATAAAGCATTTAAAGTGATATTAGAATATAACGAGGGACTATAGAGCTAGAGGAAGAGACTATACGATGTATGCTATATGTATACTTTATCGCATTGCTTCAACAGTTCATTCTTTTGATATTAATAGAATGTTTTAATTAAAATAAAGTTTGATAAATACCTATATTAATTTTAATAGCAGGTGTCATCTGTAGTTTTCAAAATTCATTTCAAAAATGTTGTAAGATAAAGCGGTCGTTTGCTGTCAAGGAAACACACGAGATGACGTGAAACATTGCTTAGCTTAATAAAAAACAAAGTAGATGAAACACTTTGAGATTTTCGTCGTTGTGTAAACAGCGTGTCGTTACCATCGCGATAATAAATGGACACGCATATAGTGGATAACTTTTTAAAGTTGTATTAAACATTTAAATTCTTTAAACATCAATATTTACAGAGTTATTAAATTTTCCAAAACAAAGAATTTTAGAACAACCTTACCTATAAAAGCGTAACGTAAAGTTCATTTGTAAAGGTCACAAAGCATATGAATGGGTTGAATGAATTTAAAAGAGACAAAACATACTGTTAGCACTACTACTGTTGGCTTGTAATAAGACGCTGTGACGCGAGTTGGATGTTACAAATTTTGTTTCTTTTTTACTTAATTAGTTTGTTTGAAAAATATTTTTTTTTAATTATGGATTTTTTTTACCGTTAATATTTTTTATGATTATTGGCAAGTAGCGTTAGACGTGTGTTCATTTATTGTCGCGATGGTAACGACACGCTGTATAAGTCGTTTAACTTAATGGCTAGAACGATGTGCGGCTTGGGCGCATACCGGATGACGTAGGTTCAAACCTGGCAGTGGCGAAAATTTCTCATCTACTTTTCTAAAAAAATTTAAATGACATACTTAATGTCTATATTAAATTTACAGAACTATCAAATGAAGCGGAGGCGTTACTTAATGCGAACACGTCCTACGTTTGTGATTATGCCGCCTCCTACGGTCAACAGTTGAGGGCTCTTTTGTGGCGCGGCTACAAAGGAGCACTACGTGATGTACATCTGACGCAGGTAAAGAAATAGTTATGAACTATAGGAATGAAAGATTGCGATTGCGATGCAGTGTCCGGGCGCTCGCTTATAATTCAATATCCTCGAGCTACCTGGATTGAAATCCCGGTACCGGCACCAATGAAATTGTTGATTGCAATTTTAAGTGCTGACTTATCACGTGCTTAGCGGTGAAGGAAAAGATCGTGAGGTAACCTGCATGTTTTCGAAATAGTAACAAAATATCATAAATTCGGTTGGATGGTGTGAAGAATGATATGTCTGTAAAAGAGGTCAATATTGAGATGACGGCTGATAGAAGAAAGTGGAAGGAAAGGACACGTTGTGCCGACCCCACCTAATGGGATAAGGGCAGGAGAAAGAAGAAGAAGATAGGATTATAGATGTTAAGAATGTATATCGAAGCGTAGGAGAAAGAATAACAAAATGTAATAGAATGTTAAATAGAAAAAAAATTCGAAGTGGGGTCGTGGACTATGCACTAATAGCTACTATATAGAGGATGCTTTTACCCAGTGAGACAGTAGATTGTTACTTTACTTACTCTCCATATGGACGTCCGTAAATAAACTATTAAAAAAGGTACTAGTTTCGTGGTATACTAATCTCCCGCGTGGATGGTGTTTCGTGGTGTACCATGGAGTTATTCTGTGACAATTCTCATCATTGGGTTTTGTTCGCAAACAATGGTCTCATTTGTTATAGCTATCGCTCACTATGGTTTAGCATAATGTATTTGAGTCATCGATAAATATTTATCCTACGTTTAACCACCAAAAGGCAGCACCTATCTGAACGCTAATAAAACATTGTTATAAACAGGTTTATTTGCGCTCACGAAAGCATCTTCTATCTCGTTAAATCATATTTCAATTTATTTTAAGAGGTGGGACGCAATATTTAAACTAAAAAACGTTCTGTGTCTTACAAGTACGAAAAAGGTTAAATACACGTACCAAAGACTAGATCTTCATCTTAGCTGAAGAAGGCCGTAATTTTCATAGTTATTTATTATTGTATTTCTAACTGTAAGTTAGTTTGTGATTCGAAAAGATCAATTGTAAAAATATCAGATTTTTACTAACTTTTCTATCATAACATTAAAATTTTACATTATCATTATACATATAATTTGAAATCACCTGCATTGCTAAATTATTTTTAACACACAAATAATATTTATTTTATTACAAACTTTAAGTCTTCACCATGTAAGTAACTATAAATTTTAATAAAATTAACTAACATCGTAAAAAGTTTGACCTTGAAAACATTAACGACTTTAATAAACTTCAATAAAAATTTGTTACTTTGTAGATATAATAAAAAATTGTTTTAATTAAAAATCTCCATGATAAGAAAATATCACAAGACATTATAATTTAAGTATAACATTATATTAATACAAAGTGGCTTCATGTTTCTTAACTACATAATATAAATTTTATTCAATATCATTTTTTAAACATATTTGAATAACAGTAATATTATGCATAACGTGCAGCATAGAAATAACTTGATATTTCAAGCATAAGCACTGACTCAGATCAGTGTACTATTAGCATTGCATCACTGGAGCAATAAGGGCTTTTGCGCATTTCAAGGTGTATACTTTGTGACTCACCAGGAAAAACACAGACTTTATAATTTTTTTTTATATGAGAAGACGCAAGCGAGCTGGCGCTTGATGTTAAATGATAACCGCCACCCATGGACATTTGCAACACCCGTAGGGTTGCAGATGCGTTGCCACCTTTGTAGGTTAAACGTTTAACACTCACTGTACACAGGAGGCGTTTGCTCAGCAGTAGAACCTATAATGTATACACTCATACTTTACTTTATAAATCAATATTTTTTTTTATAAATCAATTGAAAGAAAGTGTTCCATTCAAAATTTACATATTTCTCAAGCTTTCCATTAATTCAACCATTCTGGATCCTGATCAGAGAAGTTTAGTTAATATGATAAATATTTCAGATACGTATAGTGACGCACCTATTCGTGGCATTGCTGCTTGGTGCTCTGTACAAGGGAGCGGGTGCAGAGGCGCACCGGATGAACACTAACACTGGCTGTTTATTCTTTTTCCTGCTATTTCTCTTCTTCTCTAACGCCATGCCAACTATCCAAAATTGTAAGTTTGTTTCGTATTTAGTATTAAGGAAAGATAAGTATACGACTACACCCAGAAACAGACAGGACCTAAAAAGCTTCGAGTTATTTATAGTTAAGAGGTTGGCAAGTGAGCAAGTGATTTCACGTGCAGTTAAATGACTACCGCCACCCATGGATATCTATAACACCTGTTGGGTTGCAGATGCATTGCATACCTATTACAAGGTTATTAAGGTTTCGTTCATTTACGAAATTCAACCAAAAATATTATACCTTGATTGATAACAAAAATTTAATCAGTTAAGCGCAAATTAGTTCCTGGTAGTCTGATCAAGTTCGGCTAATGACCGTCGGGGGTCCCGCCAAATAACTCTACATACTCAGTTAGTGCACCAACAAACACCATAGTTCGTCCTCACCTTCCAACCAACACAATGCGTACACTACACCCTCGTTCCAGGGCGTTCTGACTTGTTAAGTCGGTGGCTGGGGACACAGTCAACGGCTATCGGGGTCACGGTCCGCACTGAACCTCGATGGCCCGTAGGCGACATGATATAATTTACGCACGTATGAGTACATGCGCGGCCCTAACCTCTGAGGAGAAACTCAAACCCGTGGGTTCTGGCTAGCCCACCGGTTCTGCGTTCGATATTTAATTATTATTTAAATGGGACTCCTCTCACAGTGGCACAAAGCATACGGATTTAAGCAAATTTCATTAACTGATTCCTTAAATTTCTGGTATAGTACCAATTAGCGTCTTTATACTGTTTCCTCCGTGTCACCATTCGGTACTAACGAAATCCAACAACAAATTGTTTTACAGTTCCGGTGGAGTCGACAGTTGTGATACAAGAGCATTTAAACAAATGGTACTCTCTGACAATGTACTGCGCATCAAAGATTTTGATCGACTTACCAGTACAGGTAGGTATAAAATATGTAGATATTAACTGAGCATGTCTAAATATTAACTAATTCTGGGAATGAATGATCAATTCAATCAATCAATTCAGACCTATAATTATCGCTACTCGGCCTTTTGGCTAAGATCAAAGTGTAGAATAAATGCAAGTTGGCCTAAATGTTACCGGTTTTGCTTATTGTAGATTATATTCTTGCGAAATCGATTTTGACTACTTTTTAGTAGAAAAGCAAACATAATCGTCCTTTTGTTACGTAAACTACTTTTATCTTCTCGATGTTGGTAATGATACAAAGTACTCACTCGCCGAATACTTATATTAATTATATTAGGTAGGTACTGGCATAACAAAATATTATAATATAATAACATAACAAAATATCTATTTCTTGTTTCAGTTATTATGTGCGACTGTATTTATATTTCCCGCATGGTACTTAACCTCACAACCTTTAGAACTCTACCGAATGAGTCTAGCGTGGCTCATATGTGCTTTGACTACAATCTTAGCACAAACTTTTGGACTAGTCTTTGGAGCTGCGTGCGGAGTGAAGGTATGAGTTTAACTTATTCACACTTGATGTACATATTTGTTTAAATATTCACAACTTTTTATTAAAATTAAATTATAAATACGTTTCATAATCAAAATAGTTTTGTTTTTTCAGCTCGGAATGTTCGTGATACCAGCTGCCAACATCCCAATGCTAATGTTTTCGGGATTTTTTATACCCTACCACGAAATGCCGACGTATCTTCGCCCTATTGCAGTTATTTCCTACTTCCGCTACGCATTCGATGCAATCCTACAAACGGTCTACGGTTTTGAAAGGCCAAAACTACCTTGTCATACCGAATTTTGTTATTTCAAAAATCCTGTTAAATACCTTGACTTCTTGGGCATTTCTAAAAACTTAAGCAATGATATTGTCGTGTTATTAGCCTGGATTATTATATTACAAGTGTCTCTTATTTGTGTTTTGAGATATAGAGTGTACAAAGCATGTAGATAGGGTAAGCCTGACTTTTAAGGATATTTGATCTGCATTAGGTGTTATAGGCATAACGTTTTAGTAAGGATTTAGTAATAAACTTTTTTGTACCTTAGTATTAATTTATGTTATCAACCGACTTGAAAAAGTAGGAAGTTCTCAATTCGACGTATTTTTTAATGTTTGTTACCTCAGAACTTTTGACTGAGTGACACGATTTCGGTGGTCCTTTTTTTACTTGAAGTTTTTTAGTCGAGCTGGTTCTTCCCATGTTTTTCGATATAAATTTCATTAGTATTGGATCTTGGGCTCCGGATATACTTACTGAACTCCTGAAAATCAATAATAAAGTGAATACAGAGCGAGATATTTAAAGTCGGTTTTGTTTTTTACTAAAAATGCTTGTTATGTATTGCTCAGTGACAACTTTTTTGTATTGTAAATACGTGCTGATACGAAGTTTGTAATAACTTTTCTGTTAACTTTTTCTGGTTTACTCTTTTATTACAGAAAATATAACCTCAAATAAATAACTATCATAAACTCATTTTAACATCTGAAATATATGAATCTCCATTAACGGAAGTTTGTCGTTTTATTGTATCGACACTATTAAACATTTTTCATTTTATTATAACACTAACACAGATAATTTTATAGAGCTGATCTCTGCCCTTAAATGAAACTAATTTTGTAGAAAAAGGACTAAAAGTTCTTCGCCCCTACGGAATGGAACTACTGCCCTAAACGGCTGACTACCAGAACAACGAAAATTCAACGTTCTTTATTTACATTGTTTTTTGACATTTCATGCAATCCTTGGCGCATCTTTAAATTTTTATAGTGCTAATCTCTGCAATGCCATATTAAAATTTGTATAAAGAAGACTGAAAAGTTCTTCGCCGCTGCGAGAATCGAACCCACGTCTTTAATCAGCCGTTGCCAGTATCATCTGGTTAACCGCAATCTGTGCTTTGTATCATACATTTAAAAATAAAACTCATAACGATTATATTTTTTTTATTTTGTACAACACAGCCAGAACATCACTGAAATACAATCGATTATGTTATTCGTAAATATTTTTAAAAATATGTGAATGAAATCAAAATATCAATTTTAAAGCAGTAAAACGAATGAAATATGCTAGCTAACCGCGAAATTCAAATTTTTTTGGATGCTTCCCATTTTGGACATTGATATATCGTAGAACATTGAGAATATAATGACTGTAAATAAATATTACAAAATGTAAAGCTGATATAATATGATACATAGTATAAATAAAAACTATACTAGATAATTAGACATTGATAACATTCACACTTTAATATATTTATTTTGTCCCAAAAAAGGAAATTATTTTATAAATATATTTAACAAAATTTCTACTTTTAATTTTAGAACTTAATCTAAACTCTAAACAAACAAGGGATATAAATACTGAGATGATTTAATACTTTTTAATAATTGCATTGCCTAAAAATTACAATTAAACCACAGAACACACAAAAGAGTCAAGTAAAATAAATAGTATAGTTATACTTTATGTAACTACCTTTACAATGTTCCATTTTATAGAAATAATTAAAATATGTAAAGGCTAATTGCAATCATTTTATTATGACATGTATTCTTCAAATAGTAGTCAAGAAAATGCAACTTTACTTTTATTAAACAGAAAAAAGTGCGAAATTATAACTTTGTAGCTGTACTGTACCAATATTTATTGGCGGCATAAAGCTTAGGACCTGTGGAAATAACAAGCTATATTAGCTGACATTGATGACTACAAGACATATTAATAACTAATTTTCTTACATAAATTTAACTGACAGCACGACAGTTTTAGTCCATAGTACATACATAATCACATATTCATTTACAAGACCGTAATTTATAAATAGTCTAGCCAGACATAAATATTTATAAAGCACCAAAATAAAAATACTACCCACATAGAAACTGACCAATGTCAATATAACTGACATAATTTCAAAGTTAAAAAACGATGAAAAAACCAATAAAAAAAGATAAACGAATTTATACAACACAAAATAAAATTAGGAACAAAGTAACTACATTGTAACACCAAATGGCTTAAAGCCATATTTTTGTTCAACACACATTCACATTTTTTAACATATTTTCATCAAATTAGCAAACAAAGGGGTAATTGTCTAATAAAAAGCCATCAACTTATGTATTGATGGAGCCATAAAACTAAAATTGGATTAGATTGGATTGGATTCTAATAAAAAGCTTAAAATTTAACTTATATTTTTTAAGCAGAGCTCAATAGCCGATTTAAGCTAAATGAGGCATTTTACAGAACTAAACATTTTATTTATTCATTACAACAAAATGATTCAAATACTTTCCTTTCCTTTCTTTCTTAAAATTGTTCTCGTCTCCACCCTACTATCATTTTCAGGGCTATTGAAGTTTGTTAGTCTACTCTTATGAAGTGCAAATTTTAAGTGAAATGAACACAGAAAATCATAAAATTACTGATTAAAGTACTGAACACCTCGTTAACTTAAATAATTTTTCATATTATTTGGAATGTCTTTGGTAATAATACTATTATAGAAGCCATGAGCTAAAATTTGTTACATAGTCAAAGAAAGAGATCTGGGTCAATCTAAGAACTAATAATTTAAGTTTGAAATTATCTATGTTCGATTTCTAAAACGCCACATTTATTAATTTACAAATGTTGGCCAAGCGATTTTTGATAAAGGCTTTATCTGAATTTGTATAAAAATATCTTCTATTTTTGCGTGCGTATACAGTCTCTTTTTGTTGCAAAGTATATTATTTCTATCAAAAATCATTTCTTAAGACGACGGCAAATCGTTCAATTTTAATAGATTCCTGAAACAACAGAAAACAATTAATTGATACAACAAAATAAAACAGTTTTAGTCCAAACCATAATCAGCAAGAGGTAAATGAAACAACACACCTTGGAAATAAATGAATTCATTTATTTCCAGGGTGTGTTGCAAGGTCTGACAAATTTTCCATGCTGCTCTGATCCAAAGGATGATCCCAATTATATTAGGGCCATACGAAAAACTGACTAGTATAGTTGTGGTTTAGGTTCCGTTCATTTACTATTATTTATATGGTTATTCCATCATAGAAACAAATATGGTAAGCGCTGGTATAGAGGGACAATTTCCCAGTGGCATATATATGACACGCATGAAAAAAGTACTCGATGGCGCGTTGCTAAGCTATTGGCTCCGGTGCCGCGGCTTTTGGGTTCGATTCCCACACGGGTCAAGTATTGGTTCTGCGTAAACACAAACGAACACACGTTCCCATCCCACGGACGGTTGGCATTTGGCAGATGATCAGCCGAAAAAAACCGAGCACTAACATAATTGTCATGTAGTCCGAACCCCACCTAGGTGGCATAAGGGCAGGAGGAAGGAGAATTAAATAACAGAAAACCATTAATACCTGCAATACTCCTGGGGCAGTGTTAGAGTCTTATACCACAGATGAACATTCAGGAACACGCTCCACGTCCTCAGCGGCCCCAACAATAAGGCCATCGTGCCATACTCGAGCCAGTAGAAGTAGGCCAGCAATAGCTGGATGGACAGCAAGAACACGAAGGGCAAATTCTTTATCAGCCGCCTCCAGCCCCTCGAGTTCTGCCCATACAGACGAATCTCCAAGCAGTAGGCCAGGACGAAAACTAAGGGTATCTGGACGAACATCAGCTGAACACTCCCGTACATGTAAGTAAACGGTTCCGGTATGTATGCGCCCTTGATTAATATACCCCACGCGAAGACCGCGCCTATGTAGCCGTCTATCAGCTCGCCAATCACCCACGGCCCGAACGGTACGTACAGCGCGTACAAAACGACCGGATATAACACGCTGTCGATCTTCGACAGCAACCAAATTCGGCGGAGGATTCTGGAGCCAACTCTCCTGCGATACTTGGGCGGCCTCTTCTGCAGCCTCAATATAATCAACGGCACAACGTTGAACATGAGCAGTGCACCGAATACTATCTGAAACTAATTTTCAAAACGATCAGAGCGTGCGCTAAGCCATAATGACATTTATATACGAGTAATAATAATAAATAATAAAATAATAATTGCACGTTCTTATGAAAATTCAAAAATTTACAAAGACATTAACACGTTCGTAAGTTACCACCGGTTCGGAAAGCAGTTTCTGTTGAGAAGAAACCGGCAAGAAACTCAACAGTTGCTCTTTTTAAGAAAAATCAGTTTACAATATAATAGTACAGATACAATAGTCTTGTTTTAGCCTACGTGAGGATCAACAGTATTTAACCCCACACATTGGCGTCTTCAAGATATTCGGCAATAGTATAATAGGCTTTAGCCATAAGTTTACTTTTAATTTTTCGTTTAAATTCATCATGTGGCAGACTTAATATCGACTGTGGGATTTTATTATACATGCGCACACTTTGCCCCATGAACGACCTTTTTACTTTTTGTAGACGAAGTATTTGGAAAAGCGCAAGTGGTTCACCTGATGTTGAGTAATTACTCTCGAGGGTATTTCACAAACCATCTATCGAGCCAACAGTGTGGCGTATGCCCCGGTTACCTCATTCATCAGACAAAATTGAAAACACTTCTAAGAGCCCATAGTACTTCCGGCGCTCATTTTCCCTTCTTGCAACAGGAATAGCCGCTGCGTAGCTGTACCACATATTAGAGGTGTTAAGCATCACAAAGTTCCCCTAGTGGTAAGTGAATATTGCGACCCATCGCATCTACATGCAAATATCCTAGATGCATTCGCTTTATGAGCCAAGGGAGATGATAAGAAATGCCCTCATAACCAAATCAGATCTACACGAAACGCACCAGCTGTACGGTTCTATTATGCTGCGGGGTTCTTCCCCGGTTTAATTCATAAACTCACCACTGTTCCCGCATCCACCATAAGCAGAATTCTCGAGGTGATCTTGAACTGTTGCAAAATCCGGCCGTCCAAAGAGAATGGGTGTTCGACTACCGCTTTCCTGCCAACCTCGTCCATCGCAAGAACGTGCAAGTAGTGGACTCCGTTGTCGTATAACTTCGGCTGCCACCGGCACACGTATAAAGGCCGCTGGCTGGCCTCGCAGTCGAACCAGTTTATCTTGTCGAAGGACACCTGAACCGTTTCTATGTCCACGTCGCTGAACGCTAGGACACGCACGTGAGTGGAGTCGTGCACCAAATTCAGAGGCTCGCGGCCTGGCATCGCGTATTGAGCGTGCTTCGGGTTGGTCACGAGTACTACTGGCCACGTGTTGTGAGCCTGGTCCACGAAGGAGAACACACCGTGGTCGATGGCCGCCAAGCGGTACATCCGGTTGTCTTTCCAATCGCCCAGCTCCAGTTCTAGGAACCCCTTCCTCTGTATGGTGTACATGTTGGGAACTAGGCCGCCCATCGAGTGTAGGTGGCCGCAGACGTATACTTGAGACCCCAGACTGCTGCCGATGAATTGGCGCAAGTTTAAGACCTGCGAGTCCTTCTCGAGGGATAGTATACATGACGTTGGGTAGTGGCCAAACCACACGATGTGGTCGGTATTCGATTCCGCTTCAAGCTTCAGCCTGTGCAAGTGGTGTTGCTCTTCAGCGTCAAGGATGCCGATAAAATTGAATGGCCGCCGGATGCCAGGTTCCGGGCAAGCGTCGATGCCCAAGAAGGCAACACTCACTCCGTTCTCATTTAAAATGTGAACGTAAGATTTCGGATGTTTCACACCCTGAACGGAGTAATTTCTAAAGTAATTCTCCTCGGCATTTATCGTTCTAATGTTGAAATTGTCTGCAAAGGAAGCGGTTTATTTTATTCAACATTATTGTAGTAATACCATTTTTGATGTAATGAAACTAATCTTTGGCCTGCCTGTATATGCCACAAGAGAAGAAGAGAGGGAGACAAGAAGTACAAAAATATTATATATTAGCTATTCTGCTCCAGCTACTCTGATCCAGCAAACATTGTTTTGTGGATATTCGTATAATCCGTTCTTAGCTGACCCTATTCCAACCAAATTTCAAGTCTTCTCCTTCATAAGGATGATTCCAGAGATATTATGATGAGTCAATTATCAGTGGAATCTCTACTATATATATATTTTTTTTCTTAATATATCAAGATGGCTACTGAGTGAGCAGTTCATCTGATGATGCCTCAAATGGGAGCTCACAATACTAGAAAAGTCAAAAGTTACCAACCGCTGCAAGTGTGGGCCTACAAATACCTCACTCACCAGATGAAACATAAAAGTAAATACTTTTATATCACACCAGCATTCTGTGTAGTGATGGTACTTCCCTGGTTTGCAGAGCTGGGAAGGTGTATAATAAATACAGAAGGTATTTTATACAATGTAAACATTAAATTTAACCCCCTTGAAAGCATACAGAAATTACTATTGCTATATATAAAATGGATACTTACCATGATTTCCCCTTATATCTAACCAGATGGTATTTTTACTAACTCCAGATTCTTGGATGATGTTGTGATAATAAATCCATTCAGTTTTAACTTGGGAGCTACCCAGATTATCCTTTGCTTTGGCATCTGTGAGATCACCAGTCGCTAATACAACAGTTGGCTTAATATTTTTAACAGTATTATCACAAAACTGTTGAAATTGTGATATTCTACCAGGATCTCTGAATATACTAATATGTATATCCGAAATCTATAAAAGAAGTAAATAATAGTAATCATAGCATCTACATATATCACACATTAAATTACAAAATCAAACAAAACTTTATTAATAAATTAAACTTTATAGTGCTATATTAAAAATAAGTGTTATCATCGGCAAGTTAAAAATAAATGAATGAAGAATATAAGATTTTTTTGTATTACAATTGGTTAAAATTGCCAATATTACAAATACTACATGGTATCCATCATCAAACATCCAGCGGGCAAACTAAATGATTTTATGTCCTAAATTTTATAGTTAATCAACACTTCTGTTAACAATATTAATTAATCACATTTTTATTTTATCAGATCTAAACAGAACGAGCATATGGTCACCTAATTTTGTATAGGCACCAAAATTCATTATAATAAACATTGTTTAATTTATAGTTTTATTGTTGAAACAGTTTTGGTGCATATTTACACCTTGATGACTATGAAGAACATGTATAAATTACATTACAATCTCATTGTGTACCCAATGGACAAAAGAAATACTTAACGGAAAAATCTTAAATGATTATTAAATTGAACTAGTTGCTGCCCGCTACTAGGTCTGCGTAGAATACGCTACAGGCATAACATTCAGACAAAAAAACAGATATACATTAAATATGTATATAAATTATAGCCTATGTCTTATTCTGAACGTATGAGCTATACTATTGTAAAGCTTCATTAAAATCAATTCAGTAGTATTTGCGTGATAGAGTAACAAACATCCATCCATACATACAAACTTTCGCCTTTATAATATTAGTAAGGATTTTTTAAATTCATTGCAGCAGAACAAAATAAGCATTCATTGGTTTTACTTCTACTATCTTAATAGAAATATGTTTTCTAAAATATATCAATGTTACATTTTTTGATGGCTTAGAGAAGAATAAGAACTTTGATTATTTCCAATAAGATGTACTAATTTCGATTTTTAATTGAGAATCGCTTTTCTCATAAAGCTCCTAATTTCTAGCATTCTGAAATCAATATTTTAATACCACTTTTAGTTTTTACTAGAACAAGTCTTCTTTGAACCTACTTTGATATTAGTTCTTAAGTCTAAATATAAACTATACTATTAAAAATATGGTTAAATTATGCGGTCTTCTACTCACCTGTAAAAACCAAATTAAGTTACGGCTCTTATCAGTAATTTGACCATATTTTTTGCTTAAATATCGAGTGTAATTCATTCCGACATCCCTGTTTTCAATATAAAAATTATGATCTGTAGCAATTATATTTAGTAAACTAGCCATGAAAATTGATAATATTAATAATACACAAAGTAAGGAAATTGCAGCTTTTGAAAAAATCATTGTGTATTGTGTAAACTTATGAGGTAACAATTATGACATATCACTACTTGCTTATATTTAAGTATGTATGACTCAGCTGTCCATTTAAATTTTTCATAATACTGAAAATTGTTAACCAAAATATCTATAACTATTACTGCATTGATTTTTCAGTAAAACAAATATACAAAAATTCTGTCTGTAAGAACCGGGCCGAGTTAGCAGAGTTGCCAACGCCAATATTCTAATACCCATTATCCAATAATTATAATCAGGATTAAATTACTGAAGTTTCAGAAACCCTTAAGTGCTAACTTTTCTCATAAAATACAAATCTTAAAAAAATTATGTAATGTAAAATATTACAATATTATCCCTAAGTAATAATTCAGTCATACTTTAATTAAAAGCCCTTTAAAATATGACCAAATAAGTAAATTAACATGTCACTCAGTTTTTCTTAATTTCAATAAAAAAATTCACATATTAAACATCTTGATAATATTTAGCCGCTTTCTTTATGCTAAGAAAAAACAAAAGGTAATAATGAAATAGTCCTAGTGAAACCACTGGAATTTGTTTCGTTTGTACATGGAAATGTTATCATATATTGGCAATATTATAATTCATAGAATAACAAATGTAAAATCACCTATAGATAATACATAGAATCCAACCGGGCTATGGATTTAGTAAGAAAAATTACCCTTATTTATTATTTGTAAAGTATAACAGTAAAGTAAAGTTTTTTTTATGTGAAAAGATGGCAAGTGAGCGGGAGGTTCACCAGATGCTAAGTGATAACCGCCGCCAAATGTCAATTTGCAACACCCTGTACTGTAATAAAGTGGGACCCGGCGTTCACGTTCTCCAGAAGAAGCGCAGAAGTACTTCCAACTTCCATATCAGGTCGGTTTTCTGTGAATTTGGTGGTACTTACCCGAACGGAGCTAACCATTCGGCAACAGCATTGACTGTTACATGGTCCTACCACAGTAAAAGTACTACTATATTATGTAAATATACTTATTAATGTCTCACGACTGGACAAAATCTTTTGTACAGAAGGAATCAGGGAAAGTTCATGCGTCGCACTTCGAATTTGCGGACTTCTTATACCTTCGAAATATCCTTTTTGTTATTAATTTGAAAATATGCAGCCTCAATAATAATAGCATGCTTCTCGATGATTTCCTTCACCGTTAAGCACGTGTGATAAGTCACCGAGTTAAATTGCAACTAACAATTTCATAGGCGCGATACGGTTTTTTTTTCTCAATGTTTTTTAAGCAACCCTACACTGAACTGTCACAGTAAAGGATTAATAATAATTATTTAATGTATATTTTGTAGATAGTACTAAAACGACAATATTGACCAGTATCGAATCTTTTTCCGTATCATAAGGGTAAAACGGGACTCTATTACTAAGACTCCGCTGTCCGTCTGTCTCATAGACCGTTCTCAGACAGTTGAAATATTTACAGATGATGTATTGATCTTGCTGCTATAATAGAAAAAGAAAATAAATGGGACTCCAATACAACAGACATGATTTTTTTCCGTTTTTATAGATAACTAGCGACCAGCCCCGGCTTCGCACGGATGCAATGTATTATACATATAAACCTTCCTCTTGAATCATTCTATCTATAAAAAAATATGGTAGGTTTCGTTATTATTTCAACTTGGAGGGGACAAAATTTCGATGACTTCGAAAATTCGATGACTCAGTGGCGCAGTTGCCAAAGTATTGGCTTCGGCGTCGGGGGTCGTGGGTTCGATTCCCACACGGGACAACTATTTGTGTGACCCACAGATAGTTGTTTCGCATCTGGGTGAAATTTATGTCTGTAAAAACGTCCTTACTCTTGATCTAAGATTATACATACTCTTTTGATGTCAACTCTTACCTGTTTGATTTATGTATTATGTTTGAATTTCTTTAAATTTGTAATGTTAGTTTTATTTGTTCAGACTGAATTATCTTAATTGATTAATTCCGTAAAAATCACTTGGAGAAGTAACATTTCTAGCTATCTAACATAACTCTTGTATTTTACATAAATTTCATAATCATTACGTTTGGTATAAAATAAGTTCAAAATGTTAAAGTGGAAATAAATAGTTTTATTATCAGTCCTTAAGTGTCTTTTTGGCTTGAAAGTGATCCCATTAGCCACTTCTACCATTCAAGACTTACAACACAGGATAATGTTATCCTAATGTATGGGCAATGTTTTAAATAAAAAAAAATATTACGTAACGTAGCATTGGAAACTTTGCATGCATTTTTATTATATTAATATTTTGCTAGTTGATAGTGAAACTTTGAGCATATTGCCTTGTACCGTGATCAGTCACCGAACGGTAGAATATGAATCTTAAGTATTTATCAATGAAAGGTATTTTGTAGAGACATTTTTCAGTTTATTTCCCTAAACTGCCTAATGCCAATAGATGGCATTTTCATATATTCTGTATAAGACATTTTAAAACGAGTTTTTATTTGAAAACCACGAAATGAGTTTTGCCTACATAGAGAAGTTAGAATGGATTTCTGAGAGTAAGAAAAGATCATGAATTAATTGGATAACACAAATCCATCGAGTAATTCACAATAGGTGACGATAGAGTGATTTTGACTGAAAAAATATTGTTTTTTATGTTTTGAGCCATTAAGCAGATGTATAAGAGGTTGAAATAAAAAAAACTGAAGTTTGTAAAAAGCGCGATTTCAAGCTATTTCGCTTTTTCCCTTGAAATAAAAAAGTGCATAATTATTTTTTTAAATATCCCGACGATCGAAACCAGAGACTAAATTTAGCGTTAACGCAGGTAATCTGCAATGATGTTTAATAATATACAGCGTGTCGTTACCACCGCGACAATAAAATAACACACGTTTAACGGTACTTGCCAATAATCATAAAAAAATATTAACGTTAAACAAAATCCATAATTAAAAAAAAATATTTTTCAAACAAACTAATTAAGTAAAAAAGAAACAAAATGTGTAACACCTATACAACTCGCGCCACAACGTCGCATTACAAGCCTCTCCTTCTAACAGTATGTTTTGTCTCATTCAACCCATTCATATGCTTTGTGACCTTTACAAATGAACCATAGAGTAAAGTAATACTACAGAAAATGAACTTTACGTTACAGTTTTATACGTAAGAGTGTTCTTAAATTGTTTGTTTTGGAAAAATTAATATCTCGGTAAATATTGATGTTTGAAGAATGTTAACGTTTAATACAATTTTAAAAAGTTATCCTCTATATGTGTGTTCATTTATTGTCGCGGTGGTAACGACACGTTGTAGATGACGCTTGTCCATACTGCGCGGCGTTTAAAAATTGGTCTTTTTTACATTACATGACATAATCAAGTGAATGTTACAGAAGATGTACAACGTATGATACGAAAAGAGATAGCAGTCTAGAGAATTGCAGACTAATTACACTAATTGGTGTAATTTGAGCGCCTCAGCTTCGGTGCGCTAGTGTCATATCTTTCTCGTATTTGTAATTGGCTAAATGGACATTCAACAAGTCAAATCAAATCAAAATCAAAATCAAAATCAAATGTATTTATTCAACATAGGAGCATTACACTCACTTATTGATAGTCAAAACACTACCACCGGTTCGGAAAAGAAAGCCACTGTACTGAGAAGAACCGGCGAAAGAAACTCAGCGGGCTTTTTTTTTTTAAATAAGCAGTTTGACATAAATTCATTAAAATACAATATAAGAACTAGGATTGAAAGAGCCTGGAGCGATCAGTTCATTACCAGAGTGTGTTATCATTTAAATAATCATTAATATTATAGTAGCCTTTAACACACAGACGTTCTTTTACTATTTTTTTAAATTTAGCTATTGATGCATTTTGAACGTTTTCTGGAATTTTGTTGTAATAACGTATACATTGTCCCATAAATGATTTACTTATTTTACGCAGTCTACTTGTGGGTAGGATCAATTTATTTTTGTTCCTAGTATTTATATCATGAAGATTATTATGTCTTGAAAATTTATCCTTATTTTTATGGACACACAAAACAAACACACAAACAATTCAACAGTAAATTGTTAGCACTAAACCAATGTACTACAGTAGATAGAGTATTGTTTACATCGTCATAACTTAAATAACGTCGGTTTATTTTAAAGATTAAAGAGGTATAATCCGCAAACAATACTATCTCATGATTATTACTAACAAGATAAGGTAGATCATGTATGTAAATGAGGAAGAGAAAAGGCCCAAGAATAGATCCCTGCGGGACCCCATATTTACCAGGGCCCCGGGAGATCTCTTGCCATTCACGTCAACTCTCTGAATTCGATGGCTCAAGTACGATTTCAGAAGATTGAGTGCGGCATCTCTTATACCATAGTGGCGTAGTTTCCTGACCAAGGTCTCATGCTGTACACAATCGAAAGCTTTGGTTAAGTCACAGAATATTCCTAAGGCATCCTGCGACTCTTCCCAGGCTTCAAAAATATTCATAACGAGCTGAACACCCGCAGCAGTTGTTGAGCGACCCCTAGTAAACCCATATTGCTTTTTATGTAATAAATTATGAGAGCTAAAATGCTGTAACATTTGATTCAACATGATTTTTTCAAAAATTTTACTAAGAGTTGGCAGTACAGAGATAGGTCTAAAATTATTGGGGTCGGAAGTACTACCAGATTTAAACACCGGAATGATTTTACTATGTTTCCTAAGGTCAGGAAATTCGCCACGATTGATACAAATATTAAAAATAGTTGCTAGGTAATGTGATATTACATCAATAATAGAACTGATCACCTTAACCGAGTCATTTTATTGCTAAGCGGAATCTAGTTAACAGTTTTTATTATGTTAATTTTAATTGAAATTTGGGATTTGGTCGAATTTGTCGGTATAGACCAGAGTCGATAATTGTTAAAAGTAAAAAATTATAGTTAGCTGAAAAGGGTGACAATATAACAAAAATAATTGAAGGGTGATCTGAGGTCGGGAACTGGCAAAACTACAAGGCCTATGGAAAAAAGTTAAATGGCAAAGTTGTAGGTAATGACTAAACTAAACTTTTGTATACACATTTTCACATAACCTCAAAATTTATGTGAAGAATTCAAAATTCAAATAATCAAGTTTTTGGTTTTTTATTTTTATCTTTTACAAAAAGCTTTTTTTCTTCACAAAATGAAAACTTTCCTTTTTATGTCCCAAATACACTAATTTATTTGATTTGAAATTTTTATTTTTTCATCTTATTTTGACTCAATATCGTAAACGCACCCTAATTTTCAATCGAAAATCCTCGCGTCAAATATATCAACTTTTTTAAAAAAGTCGGTAGGCTTTTTGTTTGTTGAAATCTCAACTTTCATAATATGGTATTAAAACGTTCTCGTTAATGTTACTATGGTAAATGTTCTCAGAAAATGCAAACACGAATAACGTAAACACGATTTGAACTCAACCTAAGTTGGTTTAAGTTTAGCTATCTATTTTTCTTATGATTTGTTAAATATATAGTTGAAAATTGATTCGATATACATTCATAACATCTATAATCCTATCTTCTTCTTTCTCCTGCCCTTATCCCACACTAGGTGGGGTCGGCAAAACATGTCCTTTTCTTCCACTTTCCTCACTCAGCCGTCATCTCAATACTCACCCCTTTCACAGACATTTCAGTCCATCCAAATCCTTCTCGGTCTTCGTCTAGCTTTACACCCTCCAACCGCATTCATATTCATCACTCTTCTGGTCACATGACTTTCATCCATTCTAAATCATGTCAAAGATCTGTTATACCCATACCATTTCAAATATCTATAATTCTTTATTAATTGTTAAATCGAATATCGCATGTATTATGATTATAAATTAACATATTATTTTGCATTACAGTTTAACGAACATCGTAACAAAAACATCAAATGTTGGAAACATGAAGTTTTGCAATAAGCGAAGTTGTACAAAATTAAAATGTATAATGTTCAAAGTATTCTTCAATGGTTCATTGTTTTCTAAGCGGGCGTTAAATGTTATTGACAGTAAGTGTAGGTACCCGGTTATGCACGGTAGGCGGGGTGTTTTGAAGTATATTAATTTTAACGCTCGCATTCCAAGCGAGACGCCGCGAAGTCGCGCAGCCGGCGTAAGGCGCGGCGGATTGCCTACGAGCGAGGCTCCGGAGTCCGGCTCCATCCTACAGCCTACAACGGGCCTCGGCCGGTACCCGCGCCACTATCTTGCCGCATTCCACGGAGCCGCAGTCGCGGCGCGCCCCGCGCGTGCCTTCATGCCTTCGACGACCCACGCGCCCTCTTCGGTATCGGTGTTCGCTTCACTCAGTCGTTTCTACGCGCTCGCAGAGAATGTGCATTCGCGCCACGCGACGCACCGCGCTTACAAGATCGCGAACATAGTGTTTAGTGCAGTGCTTATGGATGCGCATCGCAGCGGATTAATGTGTAATTGCGTTATTCAACATTGGATTTATTTATTAATGGTGAGTGAGATGGAAACCAGCGACGTTGTGGATGGTCGCTGTAGAAGCGCGCGCTTTCACGATGCGGCCACTTTCATTTCATACACATAGCTCGAATTCCGCGCGCCCGCGCCGTCCGCTCCGCGGCCGCTGACCCTGCGCCCGCGCGCCCTTCCATGACAGCAACACTGCTGTTGTGCTCGCCAAGACGTCGAAGACTCTTTAAATCCCATGAGTAAACCAAAGAAATGAGTCCTAATTCTACTACTGTCACACAAAATGATAATAAACCTTACCACCTTATTTCGTAATAAATGGCACTAAGATTCATAATTATGCTAATTGATTTAATAATATGATCGTTATATTATGTTATATTTTAAGGCTGTCGTGTTCATTACTCACACTGAAAAGAAGCATGAAGTAAGCCTTCACATATATGTAACAGATAAGATGTACACATTGTATCAGTTAAGTTCATTCATTTAGTGAAGTTTTCAGCCGAAAACATGGCATGAAAATGATTTATTATGCAAAGATTTATCTGACGTAGTATTTGACGTTGAGATATCTAGACATTCCCGAATAAACCTAATAAAGTCGTGAGTAATTAAATATTTATTAACACAAAATTGGTTTCAGTAATGTTTGATACTTACTAAAGACGATAAGTTAAATTGTGGGTCTGATAAAATCACGTAGTAATAGATAATAAAATTATTGATATTGCAATCGTTACCGCCGATATTATTGTAATTACGCACTAGGTATCGACTATGTATGTGGGTTTTAGAAATTCTATTCCATTTTTAATTATGGCATTTCTTATTGTTTTTTAAAGAAAAAAAATGTTAAGGAACCGTACTTATTGAGGTTTGAAACTAAACAACATGTTTTGAGTTCCAAATCCAGGAATCTTAGCAAATTTCAAAAACCTTTATATATTGATTGCGTCTTTATACGAAATGCTTTACATGAAATTGAGTAAAGATGCTACAAATACTAAATTGCGTGAATCAGCAGCTAGGTATATATATATATATATATAATATACTTATAACCTGTCCAAATGTATTTAGTTTAAAATTAAATATGTTTGACTAGTTTTTCAAGATTCGGCTTGAAATTATAATATTCATTAATAAGAGATCACAGAGTAAACGTAGCTATATCTTTGTATCTTTGTAGTACCTATGTATGTACATAGGTCTTTTCTAAACTCAATACTATGAATGTTAATAACTTTTTATATAATATAGCCTGACCTGGTTTCTAGTTATTTCGCTATAATAATAAAACAAAAATAGCAATTTTACGGTGGTAGGGCCACGCAGCAACCTCGGCTGTTGCACAAATGGGCAGGCCCGTCCGGGTAAGTACCACGACCTCACAGAAGACCAGCGTAAAGTGGAAGTATGACAAATACTTTCGCGTTTCGTCTGGTGAGTGAGGTAGCCGGAGCCCAATTTTCAAAAGGTTGTCAACGCCTCTGTAAACCCTCGGGTGCGGCAGATGTCCATGGGCGGCGGTATTCACTTAACATCAGGTGAACCGTCTGCTCGTTTGACAACTATTCACATAAAAAAAAAGCAACTCACTCAAAGTAGTTAATAACCATACTTTTACATATGACCAGTGATTTATACATTTAATGATTCATTAGCTCATAAACAGGCTAGGTACGAGTACGACCGCATTCCTTTGATAGCATACTGTGTAAATGAAACTGACGATGACAAGGCGTACGTAATCATTGCGTATAAAAAACTCTTTGTATGTCGGTGGCATATTATTTTTATAGTATGTATTTTCAAACTTTTCCTACCTCTATCTAATGATTATCATGGTTTTACTGTTATAGTTATACCACTTTATTGAGGAATTGATTGTTACGTAAATACTTAATGTTTCTAAATATAACTAACTGGATGCAATAAAACGGAGAACCGTTTTATAAAAAAATATTTTGTTTGTAATATATATATTGTATGTTTGATTTGACACATTTTACTTCATAGTTTTGGAACCTTAACAACCGTTAAGATAACTAACTAGTTGAACATGCAAATTTTAATCTGGATTATATATATTACGATCGACTTATACTGAAATATATAAGACGAGGTAGATCATAAAGTAATAACAAAAACCTTGCAAATCTATATTGAATACTTCGACAAAATTCGTTAATGTTTCTATTAAATTTTCCGGAACCATCAATACAAAATGCGTTGCAAATCTTTGATGACATAATACACACATCAGCATTCAGTTTTGTTTATAAAAAAACTAGCGACCCGCCCCGACTGCGCACGGGTGCAATGTATTATACATATAAACCTTAATCATGAATCACTCTACCTAGTTAATAAAACCGCATCAAGATCCGTTGCGTAGTTTTAAAGATTTTTTTTATTATCTATAAAAAAAATATTAATATATTATTTGATAAAAATGTATTATATAATATATTTTTATCAAATAGAAAAAAAAAGTTTTAAAGATGTATATAAAGATCGATGTATGCTACATAGGGACAGACAGACAGACAGCAGGAAGACTTTGTTTGATAATATGTAGTGAAGTATAGATTGCTTTTAAAAGTGTAATTAAGAAGTGTCTACTTCTTTAGCGTCTTAACAAAAGGAAAAAACCGGCCAAGTGCGAGTCAAATAGCGCACGAAGGGTTCCGTACCGTTATCTGTAAAAACGGCAAATTCAAATTCAAACACTTTTATTCACATAGACGCTTGCGCGTCCTTATGAAACGTCGAAGTTTTACATAGAAATTAATACGTTCGTAAGTTACCACCGGTTCGGAAAGAAGTTTCTGTTGAGAAGAAACCGGCAAGAAACTCAACAGTTGCTCTTTTTTAAAACGATTAGTTTACAATATAATAAGTCTTATTTTAGCCTACGTGAGTATCAAAAAAAACATGTCTGTTTTATGGGAGCCCCTATAAAAATATTTTTGAATGTTTTTTTAGTATTTGTTGTTATAGCGGCAACAGAAATAGATCATCTGTGAAAATTTCAACTGTCTAACTATCACTGTTCATGAAATACAGACTGGTGAGCGACGGACAGACAGACAGCGGAGCCTTAATATTAGGGTCGCGTTTTACCCTTTGGGTACAGAACTCTAAAAATAACTAAAATTTTATACCCTGTGCCAGTACTCTTTGTTTGTGAAAAAAACATTAAATGCAATTGATAACGGTTTAATTAAATAATTTATCATTAAAGGTAATATCAAAAAGTTGTAATGGTTGCAATGGTGATGCCGTGTAGTTGGTCGTTTTGCAACCTAATTTCATCATGTTGCCGTTCGACTGTTATTGTGCGAACGCATTTTAAAAATTTTACTCTCATAACCTTTTCCATAAACGTGACATAAGAAGTATGTATAACTTCAAAAATATAATTAAAAAAAACTAACAGTGGCACTCTGGGACTGCCGCGCTGAAGCTATTGCATAGCATCTTTTATCAACTTATGCAATTATAATTATTTAAGTATTTTTTTTTTCTTTGATATTTATATTAATAAATGATAATATTTTTAATAATATAATTATTAATATATGTATATTATAATTAATCTACCTATATATATAAAAATGAATCCCCATTTCTCTAATTCTTGGCCGGCCGATTGCTGCCATGCCGCCAGACCGGCTGGACCGATTTCGCTAATTCCTTTTTTATAATATTCCTTGAAGTAGGAAGATGGTTCATACGGAGAGAAAAATTTAAAAAATTGCCTGAAAAAGTCTAAAAACAACGCTATTCTATATTCCCGTACAATAGATTCGTAATAATACTTAAAAGTCAATTTGAACTTTAATACCATACCATAAAGTTTAAGTGTTAGTGGAGTGGTTCCGGGAAGGCAAAACAAGTGAGTGACTTTGGTAAAATGTCACTTGAAATGTAAACGTCTCTTTGCTGTGCATCACTACATAGTATAAAACAAAATCGTCCCGCTGTCTTTCTGTCCCTATGTATGCTTAGATCTTTAAAACTACGCAACGGATCTTGATGCAGTTTTTTTTTTACTAAATAGAGTGATTCAAGAGGAAGGTTTATATGTATTATTATACATTGCACCCGTGCGAAGGCGGGGCGGGTCGCTATAATTTATCTTATCCTTTAAACGAGCAATTTTTGTATATATATATATATATATACAAAAATTGCATATACACATAATATATATAATCGGAATCTCGGAAACGACTCCAGCGATTTTCATGAAATTTAGTGTGCGTAGATTCGGGGGCGAAAAACCGATCTGGCTAGATTTCATTTTTAAAAAATATCGTTTTATCCCAGTTTTCAGGTAATGAAAAATATCGTTCGAATACGACGGTAAATTTCACCGAAAAAAAAATAGCTCGGTCGGTAATCGGGCGGCCCCCAAACAGAAGGCCGTGGTTCGCGTCACTATCATTTACACACTTATTTTTTTACTTTTTTTTTAATTTATTTCTTTTGTGAAAATCATCGGTTCATATTTTCTTCGTAGGTAAGATCGAAAAATATTATGCATATTTCATTACTCAGTAATTTTTATCTAAACATAATTTCCAAAATACACAATTTACCAAGAAAAAACAGCAAAGCTCAGCCCTTCAGGTACTTTATATTATTTACAAAAATGATAAGAACTACAAAGTCAGTCACTAAGCTGTTTGGATAGTTAAATTACAATATACTAACATTTTTAAACATGTGATGTCTTTCGAATGGAATATCCGAATTTAATAATTAAAAAAGTTTATATTAAGATATTGAAACAGTCCTAAATATGAAGTAATTTATTTTTGTTAGGATTATTACCAAGATAAAAATAAGGAGCCTTTTCTAGCGGCGGCATTTCAATCAAAATTTTAAAATAAAAGAACACTTATTGTGGCATAACTATAATAGTTAGACATATGCTGTACACTTTTTGTAAATAATAATGTGTTCTGCAACTTTGTAGTACATTAAGTAGTAATTTAGTAAGTATTTAGTTAGTAATTTATTCTATCATCAATATTTTTCGCAGCGCATGAGAGGTAAAGAATATTTTATGGTAATGTTTGTGCACTTTGGGTTACATTATTGAAGTTTTATTAAGGATTCCTAGTTTTTTGAAAATATGGCCTATGTCATACGGGGATAATGTAGCTTCCCATCAGTGAAAGAAATTTTCAAATCGGTTCAGTAGTTTCTGAGACTATTCAATGCATACAAACAATCAAATCTTTCCTCTTACATGGTAGGCGGAGTGGGTGCTGTTAGGTTTTATTTTCGTTACGGGATTTTTTGATTCGGTCGCCACGCTGAAAGCTCGCGATAAAATCAATGCAATACCTTGAACAAGCATTATAAATCGTATGTTCATGTTCTTTTGATTATTAAAATATTATAAAGGATCCATTATAATCAATCCATCGAGAACCAAAGCGATTGGTCGCAACTGTTCTCTACGCTTACATAACTATTATCTGGCGGCTAGGGAACATGATGTACCTAGGTATTTATTGTTCTTCTTGCCCTTATCTCTTGCCCTTATCCTACACTAGTTGAGGTTAGCAAAACATGTATTTCCTTATACTTTCCTCTATCAACTGTCATCTTAATACTCGCCCCTTTCACAGACCTATCATTCTTCACACAGTCCATCCGAATTTTTCGCAGTCTTCCTCTAGCTTTACACCCTGCAACCACATTCATTCAACTAATACTTTTTTTTAATGTGAGAAAGTTGCAAACGAGCTGGTGGTTCACACCTGATGTGATAACCGCCGCCCAACAACCCTATAGGTATTGCAAATGCGTTGCCACCTTTAAATAAAGTAGGCCCCGGCTACCCCATTCACGAAACGAAACGCAGTGTAAAACTTCTACTTTAGCCGTTCTTCTATGAGGTCGTGGTACTTATCCTGCCATTTGTATAACAGTTTGCGTGACCCTACTCCTACTCTTACCACTGTCAAAACTTATTAAAATATCTAAAAATAAAAATAACATTGAAACTGCAATTTGCCGTTGTACATAAATATGTTTGATCCAGTCTGCTGCAGGAAAACTTTGACAATTTAATAAAACTGTAATTGTTTTGTGTATGTATACATATAACATAGATTTTAATATGTAATAGGTTTTATTTAGTTAATCAAGTAACTTCAAATCAAGTAATTTTGAATGGCAATACAAACAAACCACGCATTACCTATGTTGTGCGATTTTTACCCGACTGTGCCAGAAGGAAGGTTATGTTTTTCGAGAGTATGTGTGTATGTATAATTGTTTGGCGCTCTCTGCAGCCTGAACGGCTTGATCGATTTTAGCTTGAGAAGTTTCATTACATTTGTGTTTACGGTCAGAGTGACACTGAGTATATCAAAATAAAAAATATCACAAATGCACTCCGGTCTTTTAGTTTTTTAAATTATATTCTACTTGTTAACGCTTAAAAATGTTGGGTACATTTAGAAGGATTTGCAGTTTGTACCCAAGTCAGTAATGATGTACGAGTATTCGTATTCTTTATTTGTTCAACAATATAGGTAGTCTTAATTTTTATATTAATGGCAGAAGTTTACCATTTTATCTTTGATTAGATGCTTGTCATTTTATGTTCGTTCATTCAAATTGTGATCTCTTCCTCTCAGTATATGAATATTTTATTGAGATACCAACTTTAGCAAGGTGTCGAAAAGACCGGTCGAACGAGGTTTACCGGCAATTTAAAAAATAAAACAATCATATTTACATAAGTAAATTCTTCGGGGCCGCTGTCTATAGACGACATTCCTCAAAATTCCGTTCATTATCGTCATAACAAGCAAGTGTCAAAAGTGGTGGCGAGATGTCGAAAAGTAGAGGTAACGACGACCGTCGGTATGCGAGGACGCAAGATGCGGCTGGCGTAGGGGGAGGGGCGCTCGGCATCTGAAGGTCGTCCGCATTCCACGCGTCGCCGTCCGCGGCTACCGCGCTTACGTAGCGCCCCTCTCCCCCCATACCCCGCCGACCGGTCTGCCCCTGCCCCGCCATGCCTGACCGCCATCACAAACTATCGCGCATTGACTAAAACAAAAAACGTGTTCTTATGGCTATCAAGAGCTGAAGAGCCGCAGAGGTACCGGATGCGATGAAATTTATTCGCATCTAGTTTTTTTTTCTCGTGAAGCCAGTGGTGCTACATTCCGAGAAACATTTTATGTGTATTATACCTTTTAAATATAAACATATAATTTTTAAAATGTTAAAGTTTAATGATTTAGGCATGATGAATTCTCACTATGGGTACGTCATTTAAACAAATAATTTTATGAATAACAAAAATATAGAAATATCATGATTAACATTATATTAATTTATTACAAAAGGTGCTTGTCACGATGGTGTCCCATATAAAATTTTTAAAATACATAAACAAATAATATTAAACTAAATAATATTTTTTTAGTCCGTGGTTACAAACTTTATTATTCTGGTTCTTCTGGGAAACTCAATGTTGAAGAACGATTTACGCATCTATTTTGTTTTCTACTTATTTTATAATTTTGCACACTTCGCTAACATTTCTATTTCAATTATTTCAACTTTTTGTAAAGTAGGTACTTTTTCTATAATTATTGTAGCATCCCCGATATTACATGGTTCATTGTCCAAATAATAAAAATACCAAAAATCCCGCAATACATTTTGCCATTTTAAACCGAATACGATGTGAAATATAATATTCAAAATAAGTGCGAGTTAACATAACAATGTCGGCCACAAAAGCAGGTAGCAAAAAGCGAATTGTATTAAAAAAAAAGATTGCTGTGGAATGCACAGATGGCGTGGATACGTATATCCCATCCGACGGTAGATTTTTTTGAATAAATACAATGAATCTTTTTGAGAACATATAAAACTTCTTTTATTATAAAATACTGACATCACGTTATAGCAAAATTAAATCCTTTATTTAGTAGCCAATTAACGTCGTTACTTTACAGGTGTTTAAATTGTTACTATACTGTTTTTCAAAATAAAAGGTATAAGTAAGTTGATTATAACTTTTACCGTCTATGAATTCTAGTATATTGATTTTATGGACTATATAAATATTTTGTGTAATTAAACATGTATGTATTTAAACTTGTATAATAGTACGACATTTATTGTCAACTGTGCTGGGGTTTGTTAACATGAGGTTTTTTAGTCCTAAATGAGAAAAAGCTCAGTTCATTGCGCGTTAATTTTAGCATTTTTCAGAACAAAATTTATGTTATAATATATAATTATAATAAGCTTTCTCAATCAAACCTAATATTCAAAATTCAAAAGGGCTCAACACCTAATTTAAACATACTTCTTGTATTACACTAGTGTCATAGAGAAAGCAATATCCCTACTTCCTTACTAATATTATAAACGCGAATGTTTGTATGTACGGATGGATGTTTGTTACTCTTTTACGCAAATACTATGGTACTAAATGGATTTTAATGAATACTTTACAATAATATAGCTTATACATCAGTATAACACATAGGCTATTTTATATACTTACATCTCTTTATGTATATGTGCCTTTCCGTCTGAATGCTACGCTTTCAGGCTATTCTGCGCAGATGTAGTCGCGGGCAGCAGCTAGTAACATTATAATTGTAAATGTAAGTTTGTTTGTTCCACTTTCACGAAAAAACTACTCAATCGATTATCATGAACTTTGTACACATATTCTTATAGGTATTAAAAAGGACATAGGATTCTTTTTATTAAAAAAAATATTTTTTTAAGAAATAAACTTATTTAAGGGCTTCATCGCGGGTAAAACCTAGTCATAGTATAATATTCTAGGAAACAAGTGTTGCGTCACTTTGGCTATGCTCATAACATTAGGTCGATTAAGACACATTTTAAAAATGAAAAAGTAATCTTAGCATTTAGAACTTGGCAGTCCTTACCGTGTAAACTCATACGTAATGGAATGGAAGCTCAAAATATAATTTTTCATTTACAGAGCAAGTAATAGTGGTCTCGAGATGCGACATGCGTGCTCTGTGTTCGGTTCGCGGGCCGCTGGGCGGGGACATGCGCGCGCTCGGTGCCGGCGCGCGCCTTTTGTCCCTTCGAATGCCCGGCCAGCCTCAACCGCTTCACTTTGTCGTCGAAGCGAAAGCGAGAGTCAAGGAATTGAAAACCCTGGCCAACTCCCATGCCCAGCTACAAGGCATGACCGACACGGAGCTGTTCGGATTGGCTGTCATGCAAAGTAATTCTTATCTTGACGATATCTCATGAAGCCGGCTTATGCTTTTTTTAGCTTCAGTTTAAAAAGAATGTAATGTTATGGTTAATAATAAAATATTTTTTACAGATGGCGAGTATCTGTTTGTTGATTTGGAGAGCAAACTATCAAAATATGCACCAAAGAGTTGGCGATCGTCTCACACACATGTATGTAAATATAAGTTTTTATTTTCCAATAAATAAATGATTGAGCAGCAAGGTTTTAAAACGCCTATTCTATTTCCATTACAGGGGCTGGATGCAAATGGAAGACCATTGCTCGAGTTGCATCTCGTCATCCAGTTTCACGTTGAAAGTCCGTTGCTATTACATGACGAAGTTGGTAAACATTTATATTTTCTGCAACTACTCCACAATTTACGATCAAGGGATGGATTACCGGCCGAGATCGTTTTATTACTCATTGGACTGGCGCTCCAAGCCAAGTTCGGAGATGCGGAAGCATATGACGATCAGGAATATTTCAAACTTGAAGACTACGCGCCATCTTCTCTCACCGGAAACTGGGTCGTGGAAGCTATACGCGCTTGCCATCAAGAGCATAGAGGTTTATCAAAATCTGATGCTGAAACAAGATTCATACGCGAGGTGTGCTTGCTACCGGACACAATAAATTCCCATAGGTATCGTTTAAAACAAACCAAAGCTGAATCAGAACCTGGATCAGTTTGGTTATTAGTAACTGCGAAAGGAATAAAAATATTACCTGATAGTGGTCCGGTTTCCAATTTCATATGGAGCTCAATAGGAAAGTTAAGTTTTGATAGGAAGAAATTTGAAATCAGAACTGAACAAGGAAAAATCACATTATATTCGTCGAGCGAAGAAAAATGCAAATATTTGTTTGCCCTTTGCAAAGAGACTCACCAGTTTTCAATGAAAATTTCTTCGAAATTAAATGAAATTATAAGACGAGAAGAAGAAGAACGAAAAATGTGTTACGGTTATTCTAAATCATTAAATTTTCAATTTTGCCAAAATAAAAATGAGCAAAGGATATCCCTAATATCGTCAACTAGCTCCAACACAACATCAGGAATTGTGAGTGACAGAGTACAATCAGAAGACGAATTAGAAATAATGATTGATTCACCTCCAGCACCTTCTACAGAGAGTTTGGCATTTGCGCATTTATTAGACTGTTCAAATTCATATCTTATACGTCATATGGTACATGATAATCAACCACTGAAGAAAACGTCATCTCTACAATTACAAAAGTCGAAGAGTCGCATTAAAAAAAGCAAGGACGAGGGAGAATGTTCATCTAACACCGATACGTCAATGGAGAGGCAAAATGCGGCATGTCAAGAAGAATGTACTTCTTTGACCGATCAAAGTCCCAATGAAACATTGTCAGACAGCCCCGTCTCGGGCAAAACCAAATGTCCCGGGTCGCAATGTTCTTCATCATGTAGTACAGTTATTATGAATCGAGCTGGACTAAGTACGCTAAGCCGTGGATCGAACGGAAGCAGCTTAGAATTAAGTTACAATCATACTGCACAAAATTCAATGATCAGTGATAATAGTACAGTAGGTTTAGATGTAGAATATTCCCAAGATACTGCTTCCGCGTTATACGATGGCTTAGGTCAACCTGTGACTGTTGCCGCATCCAGCGAAACGAGCGGAGTTTATACGATGGGTAGTTCCGAGCTGACGACCCATTCTAAAACGTACCATATGTCAGAAGACAGCAGGACCGAATATGGGAGCTCCCATTATGATAGTTACAAAACACCAAAAGAAAATGATCTAGCTGATTTTGATAGTGTTTCATCAATTCTTAAAAACAAATCTAAAAGATCCGTTATTACATCTAGTGCGTTACGGTTACAAGAGTCACTATCTACTGCTGACTGTATTGATGGCGTAACCTCATTCTGCAGTCAAGACCATGATGATAAAGATGACATGTTCCGTGAACGTGCTAATTCGAACGTTAGTGCTGTTTCTTTTCATGGTGATGGTAGCGACCCAACCGATAATAAACATAATTTATTAAGTGCCAGTGAGTTGAGCGATCTAATAGTAGGGCGGGGTGTATATCCAAAAAATCAATCAGTTAGTGATACCTTCGATTCCGTATCGGATTACGTTAGATTGCCTTTACCTTTTTCTGGTGACAGTTACCTTCAAGGACACGAAGACACTGCTCCATCTGATGAAAACTACTTAGATAACTCCTTCTTTGATCGTCCTCCAACGCCTCCGACAAGAATTGATAGTAGAAAATCGCATAACCTGTCGTTACCGAATATTTTAGAAATTGATGGAAATTTACCGATAACGCCAGTATTTCCAAAAAAACCACCGCCTCCTTACGAGTATAACCATAGAACGCTTTCATCTTATAATACAACGAGCAACAAACCGCCGCCTGCGTATCCCGGAACAGCTGCATTAAGTAAAAAAAAATTGGGAGAGAAAGAAGAGGTAGCAGCTAGAGTAGTGACTTCCAAACCAATGATTACAATTCTTAAAGCGGAGGCTGGCGAAGTTAACACCTCTAGCGAACGAACCTTTGCAAGTCCTATGGTGTTAGAACATAGATTCCAAAAATCGAAAAGACATCAAGCGTCTAGCCGGAGAGCAGAAAGATCTAAACTAGCTCAAGGAATAAGCAACAGTTTGTCCCCGTCGCGGGAAATACCTCTCCACGGAGTCGATACAAACGTATTTGTCGCTATGATGAAATTACCACCACCTCCGCCACCACCAAGGCATTCACGGCTGCCCCCACCGCCACCTACATCACGTCTCCCGCCACCACCTCCACCGCAGAATCCCGTTTTCCATCAACAGTTATATAGCGACGTAGATTACGTTTACTATCCGCTGCAGGATCCTGCTGTTTCGCAACAAAACTACCTCGATCACAAACTAACGGAGTCACGAATGTCAAATATCCATAAGAGTAGTCTTCAATACCGAAGTACCCCATATCTATCGACATCCTTATCAGCATCTTCCACCTATGGTTCAATACAAAATCTATCGGACTCTTACATCCAAACACCAGGTGTTCGAACGAGCTGGTATTCAATGACAAGTCGAACATCGCTAAGTAACCACTCTGTGAATTTTGACAAACCGCCTCTGGCTTCGGGTATTCCGGATATAACAGCCTTTTCCCGAACTAAATCTCACGAAAACATTCTGAGCATTAAAGATCCGCCACCGGTGAAATTGAGACGAATGCCACCTCCTCCGCCACCGCCTTACGAATATAAGAAGAAATTACCAACATATCTAAGGGAAGGAAAAATTCCGAATTATAATATAAATCTTAATAGTGATACGGCTTTAACAAAAGTGAAGGATTCTAATTGTGATTTAGATATTAAAACACTTAGGGAAAAAAGTAAAAACTTAGACTTGCCTCTTATAGCGGCTTTGTGTAACGACCGTTCTTTGCTAAAACAAACAAAAGCGTTTGGTGCCCCAAAATTGGCGAAACAAACAGGTAGTGACTGTGAAAGTGAACTAAAGTGTGCCAAGCCTGTTCCAACCACCACCGATAATGTAGAACGTAAGAATAAACAAGAAACTAATTCTAGGAGGCCAGTACCCGGGACACAGAAAAAAATTGTAATGCGTAATCCAACAGACAAACTACCAGCACTGCCCGGCACTGAAAGTCATACTCCTAGAGCTATGTCTAATACATATGTAATGCATCCAAGTGTAGTTATTAAAAATAAGAAAATTCAACCCAATACGTGACATCACTATTGATTTCATCTTTTTCTTGTGAATGCTTCCAGTGCTATGAGCTCATAAACATACATCAAAATCTAAAAGACTGAAAATAAATACCTAGATATTTTTCGTTGAATCGAAATTTTGCATTAAAAAAATTGTTAAAATTTTTAAGATCGTAATTGCGAAATTTCGGAACAATGACAACAATATCTTCGAATAATATGAGTCAAATATATAGAAACAGTAATTGTTATGGAATTAATTTCAAAACCCTTTAATATTTATTGATTACCGAAAAAGTATTCCTATAATGTAAATAGTGCCTCATGATTATATAATGTCAGAATAAACCATTCCAATTCAGGTGTTGTTTGCTAGATCCATATAAATTATTTATAAACTAAATAAAAATTGAACAGAAAATTAGGAACATCGTTTTAAATGTGGCCTCAAAACTTTTTTATGTGTATCATTGCATGTTATGTAATATTAATAAAATGTAACAAGCGAATGAATCCTTAAATTTGTCGAAATTATAAATTCTTCGATAAAGAAAACTTCGATATTAATAATATAATTGCAAAGATCAAAATTATTTTCTTTCTTTCATGTTCTAATTTTTTTTTTGTTTTTGTATAATATGGCAGCAGTTTCTATCATTAATGCAAATTGCATTAACGCTGGAAGCTCTGTGTTAAGTTTTTAGTTTATACAAATAATCTATTTATTAAAATCTGTTCTAACTATTTAAATTCTCTATTAAATAGTGAATTTTTATTATTAAAGATGATAAGAATGAATACTCACTCAATGATTAATTTTAATCAGATGTACAAATGAATCAGCTCTGTAAAAGTTAATGTGTACTAATATAAAAAACGACAGTGGGTACACTGTCGCGTGAAAACAAAATAATACAAAGGTAGTAATTTTCAAGACTATTTATTGACAGCAGTCATGTACATATACCACAATAGCTATATTGATAAGTACATTATATTGTTTATACGTGTACAAATGTATAATAAAGAATCTTAAGGATATCTTGAAATTTGTTCTCCTCTTAATATAAAAATTATCATTTTCAGTTCTTTGGTTTTCGGAGATCAGGAAAGTTTAATCAATTCACTGACATAAAACAAGATATAATACTCCTTCATATTAAAATAAATATATATATATATATGTATATAAAATGATTGCTGTTCGTCAGTATCGTTAATACTCGAGAACGGATGGTGAAAACCGATTTAACAAATTTTTATTTTGAAATGTTTGCGGCAGTCTAGAGAAGAAATTATGGAAATACCTATTGCATGGAAAATCGAAATACCAACAATTTCATTTTCCCATACAAACTGTACGTGTCAACCTATCAACTGTATCTGTGTAACCTGTCAAATCCTTCCAAATTCCCTAGAAATAATTTATATGGCAAAACAACGTTTGCCGAATCAGCTAGTTTAAAATAAAATATTTATATTGAAATTAATAAGTATAAGTTCACAACAAAGTATTTCTTGGGACAGTAGCCAGATATCATAGAACAGATGTTTAATTTAATACAATTTTTAATTAGATATATCTTCGGTTTAATATCTAGCCTTGAGATTCATAATTATTAATATAGAGGTTAATTGTTTAACTATCATTTTTTGTTATTTTTCTAACTTTAAAATAATTGCGGAGTTCGGAGGAAACGTTACCTTGTCGAAATACAAAACCTGTCCAACTAGAGAGCTGTTCGTTCCAGCAACTACAGTTCCGCCGTAAAACATCGTAGATAAATCAGTCGTAATGGGATTACTCCCTAAATTACCGACAAAAACGCAAGTGTTTCTGCGGGGATACCAACGTTCGATAACAACTAAGCTTTCTTCCGTTTTACGAATTTCCATATTTTTCAAAACATTGCCTTCCTTGTAGATCGCTCTTAAGTAAATTGTTGGCGTATTTAATCTTATTTCAATTAATTTTTTGATAATGTTTAAGTACTGAAAATTAGGTTTCGTATCGGATTTTGAATTCCATGGCAAAAAAGCGGTGCTATCGTTATTATTGTCGGTAAAGATCATTCGTACTATATTATGAATTTTATTGAACTCGTGAAAGTCGGTTTCGACTTCACTTTTAGATAATCCTCCTAAACCTATTTCATCCCCATAGAATAAACTGACAGTACCTGGCAATGTTAATTCAAGCGCAGTCAGTGCTAGTGTATTATTTAAATGCTTTAAAGATATTCTTTCACTATTAATATTGCCTATATTCCAGTGGATCCAAGGATAATGTGGCTTAGCCCATAGATTACCATTGACAACATTGTCAATATGATTTTTCATCTCTTTTACATCCTTATCCAAGACCAAATGTACATCAATAAGGTCTATTCTATTAAGAAACACTGTGAGGGAATCTTCTTTGGTCAGTTTATATGCTTTTTCACTGGCAATCAATATTTTTCCAATTCCAATTATTTGTTTCCAAATTTGAAGTGATTTTTCAAAGCTAACCTCCTCAACATAATTCTCAAGATTTTTCAAGTAAAATCCATCAACGTTGTGTACACGTGACCAAAAAGCAATTGCAGCTGACATCTGGTCATTAAAGCTAATTGAAGTGTCATTTGTGAACAGCATAGTATAATTTGAATTTGGAGATGTTACAGGAGCAACCATACTTAATACTGGTATGTCTAAAATGATGTACATTTCTTTTTCATGTACAGCTTGAACTAGATCTTGAAAATCTTTTAGAAGTCCTAAACTTCTATCAATTTTTAGTAAGTTTGTGGTGTTACTGTAATTTTCAGGATATCCTTGGACTTCAAAAATGTAATTTAGTCTAACTGCAACGCAACCTAAGTCTTTAATGTAGTCTAATTTTTTTATTAGACCTCTTAAATCACCAAGTCCATCATTATTTGTATCTTTAAAACTCGCTGGAAAAACTTCATAAAACACTTTTCCTTGGTGCCACGGAAGATCAGGGTTACAAGATTTAGGGATGGTGACAACCATTGCAATAATAGCTCCCAAACAGGCCACAAGACCAGAAAGGACTACCCAGAGTAATATCTTTCTTATAACAATCCAGTTCCAATTCACAAAATTTGGCAATTTTCTATTGTTGACAGTTATATTTCCATTGATTTTGCAACCTTCAGGCTGAAAAAAAGATTTTTTTTTAGGAAAAATATACGTTAATCTATTAACAGTGAGCATAGATGAAACTTTACCTAACCGCAAGCCCATAAGTAAATAAGTGGTAGAGCCTGAGCCAAATTTAATGGTAGCTGTGAAGTGAGGCGTGATGCATTACGCAATAGAAATATTCGGTGTAATATTCGTGTTTATTTTTATTTGAGAAATTGGTAATCGAGCTGGCATTTCAATTGATATTAAGTAATTACAACCGCTCATGGACATCAACAATTCCTTCGGGGTGGCATTTGTATTAAAAACTTTAAAATAATTGCACCCTAGATATCATTATCAATCAGTCGAAATCGATAGAGTGAAGTATATAAAACCTACACTTCACGCCGGTTTTCGGTGAGGCATGTGAATAGACATCAAATTAAATTAAAATATTATTGTTGATGCCAATATTCGAAGTCTGATGTGGTGTTTAACTAGCAAAGATTTGTAATACTTAGTGGGTTCTCTACTTATACTGCTTCATAGTAAATTCGCAAAGCACTTCATAGCGCCTTTAAATTTTATCAATAAATTTATAATGAAAAAATATTATAAACAGAAAAAAACGGTCAAGTGTGAGTCGGACTAGCGCACGAAGGTTTTCGTACCATGATCTATAAAAATGGCAAAAAAATCTTGTCTGTTGTATGGAAGCCCCACTATAATGCTTTTTATTCGGTTTTTTGGTATTTATTATTATAGCAGCAACAGAAATACATCATCTGTGAAAATTTCGCCTGTCTGACGGTTCATGAGATACATACAGCCTGATGATACAGACTCTTTGAGTATGGAACCCTTAAAAAGAAAATAATGAATTGATTTAATGACTATAATAATGTTCACTTTATTTAACCAATTCACACAATTAGTACTTGATAATTATGTACAGATAGTATCTTAATTATTATCATGTATCCACCTGAGTCTGGGGTAAAATTAGAAGATTTTTTGTCATATTACATACATAAAGTATTTGAACGCAAGTCACTAATCAAAATCAAAATGCCTGTGAATTATTCAGAGCATCTTATCATCAATGATGTGTGCTTTTTAATTAAAACAAATCTGTCGTCAAAGTAAGCTCACTTGCTTGCTGCTTCACTTTCACTACGTGGCGGGGTGTGCTGTTTTTTCCTAGCCCGTAGCTCTAGCATTACATCACAGCCCAATGTTGGCGGAAGAGCTTTGGGCGGAAATAGTCGTTACCAAGACGTTACCAAGGCTTGGGTGAAATAGTACCGCACAAAGCGAGGCCCTATATATCCATAAAATGTTGGCAGGGTACCACCTGACTTGTGCACGTAGGTGAGTCAGAAGTCATATGCTGGGGCTTCGACATGTCTAGTCCTCCGTATTGATATGGTGGCAAGTGCAATTCACGGACTGCTACCAAGGGAGGAAGTTCCCCGCCTTCATACTCAGATCGTAATTTATTTTATTATGCGTACTTTACTTAGTTGATGTTTTTGCTTGCAGTCCGTAGACTATTAAAGCCTTATTAAACGCAGAACTCGCGGGATAGCCATAACCCTCGAGTTCTGCGCGAGTCTAATACGGCCCTTTTTTTGTTTACTCTCGAACCGACTAAAACCGCCACAATGTTCCACCTAGGCGCATATCGGCAGGGTCAAGAGAAAGCTTTTGCACACTTCCAAGACCCTGCCAGCGCTGGCCGCCTCAACAGCTCCCTCTCGGGGAACAAATCCAAACTCCCCGAGTTCGCTGACCGGGGCCATGGGAGCCAGGAGAATCAGTGCTAATAAGAAGCAAGCCACCCAGCCCCCAGCGGCGGACCTTGTCTGTGGCTCCGCCACTCACCACGGCCGCGGAGAGGCCTCTCCCCTCGCGGCCGCACGACCACTGTATCAACGGTGCAGCCCCGCCTAGTCGCGAAGGGTAGGGAGAGCAGCCAAACGCAATACCGGCACTCCTCTTCCCCCGCGACTCCTCGGTAGCAGAAGACAGGGAGATTGGCTCCTCCTCCACCACCGTCAACCTGTCCCCTGCACGCTCCAGCACGCATCCAGAGTGGAAGATTTGAAGCCCTCTTATATTTTACTAGTATTATAAACATGAAACTTCATTATATGTATGGATGGATATTTGTTGCACATAATTTATAAAACATTGTGTTAATCCTGCAGTCACGTTTGTCAACGGTCGCGTTTATATAGGATTGTTAATACGCTGTGTTAACTGCCAGACGACTGTAATTGTTTTCAGGCGAAAACAATTACAACTTAAAGAAGAACAGAGCTTTGTCATGCGCGAAAAGTGCGAGATTGACTTGGGATGTCGCTCATGCAGAGCGTGGAAAGCAAGCAGGGGTAGCAGTAGCCTTAGGGAACGCCTACCGTGAGCCGAGGTCGTAACACCCATAACTTTATATGGAATGCCTGTCTGACCAAAAAGACTTGCTAGTAGTTGTCGCTCGAGATTTGAGATCTAGTTTTCAGAGATGAATGGTTATACAGATCGTAAGAGAAAATATAACTATGTCCATTGAGGTGGCAACAATGCTAGCTCGCAGTCCATCGCAAGATATACTGGCGAAAATTCAAGCAGAGGTGTTTAACCGAGTCTGCCCCCCTTTGTCAAAGCGGTGATAACGTTACAGAGGAGGCGCACACGTCTATCAAACGTCAATAAAATTGATGTACATCCGCAATATGACTCGCTCTTCTGTGCGTTATAGAGTCATTAATAACTATCTTGCTGCTGCTCATGCTCAGTAATGCAGGCTTTGAAGACTCAAAGCCTGCATTAGTGGTGGTTTAGTGATTACTGAGTAATATCGGTAATGGCATAGATTACGGGAAATTCTGCTAGGATGGGAGTTGGGAGGGACCAAGACTTTGACCTCTGCTAGCCCTTCCTGGAGCACCAGCGTTGCAGCAAATGAATTGTGTGCCAGCTTGCCACCTTCTCACATAAAAAAATCTTAACCTGTATATGCTTAACATGCAATTTGCACATTAACACCCGGTTTCAGAAAAAATATAAATACTAAAATATATTTACAAGTACCTAACAAAGCTTATTAATTGGTAATTTTCATTACATTACAACAATGTATCAGCTAAATTTAAAACAACTGTTGAACTCACTTGTCTGATAATCATATCTCCATTTTTGCTCAATGTTTGATAGTCTAACATACTTATATTATTAATTAGCTGAGCGCTGACTGGATCTTGGACAACAGAATTAGAGTCCCCTGATGAACTAGAATCTCCAGCAGATGCATCTAAAAAATCAATTAATAAAATAATAAATCTATTAAAAAGTTGTAATATGACATTACTCAGCTTATGACCATTATTTTCAGAAGAAAATTGATGATATGAGATGAGATTGATATGAGATCTCTTATTTGGTAATTTTTCATTACTTCTTTTTATCATCTTTTTTCCTGAAAACTTTATATTTTGACTAATACTTCTAATTTCCATATATTCATAACAGTAACTATTACTTGCACCTTATTTGCTTGAAAGAATGGTAAGGTGACTAATCTACCTACCACTCAACAGTTCTAACACTCATGGGGTTATAACTACTTTTCCAAACTGTTAAAGGGTGAAGAAAAATGTGTAAAAACTAGTTTTTCATATTTAAACATATTAATCCTCTTGCCAATTGTGTACATTCATGCATGTACAGTACATGTCATTTACAGTCAACGGCATCAGCTAAGGCTAAGCTAAGGGGAAGCCTTTCAGTTTCTTCACAAAAAAAGGTTGAAGATAAATTTCAGAAAAAAAAATTGTGCCCCCCTTGACCAACACAGGCTACATAGATTTAAAAGTACTTGTATTACTTTCATTGTAAAGATTTAAGATCATAAATTGAAGCAACATCAGTCTTACTTCAACAGTCAACACTTAAATAGGGTTGGGTTTTGAATTGAATCGCCCGAATTCAAGTACAATGTAAGTTTGGCAGGGTTAAGGAGGTTCGTACAAAACACTCTAACGCATTTTTTTCTGCCGGAGACGCGTAAAAAATTTAATTAGCTACTCTTTAAAATTTAAAAATCTTACGAAACGAGAAATGGAACGCAATTTTGATAAATTTCAGTGTTTTCGAAGATGCGACACTCTCAACCGACTCAGACAGATTAGGTTAGAAGGTTCAGGCTGAAGCGGAGCTCCAGCCTTAACCTTCGTGGGTATTTTTTTATAACCATCCAATAGCCCTTCTTTTGTTAAGTGTGGTTAAGAACAACAAGTAGGAGGGAAAACCCTACCATTCATATTAGATTCCTTGACATTCTTATTACATTCTATTAAATAAATTAAATTAAAAATTATATTATTAATAAAATTAAAAATTATTAAAAATATTATTATAATAAAGCATTTCCGGCGTGGGGGGGGGGGGGGGGGGTGTGACTCACCACATCACCCCGAAGGAGACTCGTTTCAAAATTTTACCCCTTAAATAAGGCAACGTAAATATGCAGTCTCGCAAAGGTTATTATTATGACAGTCACCTGAATTCTGCATAGTACTCATTTTAGGATCATCCGCTAAGCTAAGAAGTTGGTCTTCGTTCATTTCCTCAGAGAGTGGATGCTTAAAGTCCAACGGCGTTGGACTAGGAGTCATTGGTAATAATAAACACGTAGAAGATTTAACGCCTCTTAGATAGTCCAAGGTTTCTAAATCAGTTCCTTCATTGGTGCAGCTGGTCTCAGGCAAATCATCCATGATTGCCTTTCTTCCAAAACGGTTTAATAAATATATAAATCAGTAGTAACTGCCCTTTTTATACACATTAATATTAATTAGTAATTATATTTACATAAGTATGATATGTTAGGCTTGCCAAAAAAAAGCTATTTTGGTAAAGGGTAGGCTAGGGATGTCGAAAAAATATCGATTTATCGAATCAATATTAAAATCGTATCAAAATTCACGACGTTTTTTCAAATTCGAAACCGGCGGAGTCTGTAGGTGTCAAATGTTTAATATATCTCTTCATTTTCCACATCACAAGTAAAAGACTGAGAGAAGGAAATCACTACGTTTAAAATGGTAAAGGTTAATAAGCTAATATGTCTTTTTAAGTCAAGACTTCGACAGTAGTAAACATTCACTATTCACTTTGTTTACACAAATTGAAAATATTCATTGGCTAAAATATTTTTCTTAGAAGATTTTGGGCCGGATATGTCGATAGAACATCCCTGCAGGCCCTTCATCTAGTTTCTTAATTATGTGAATGTTGGTCAATAAAATATCTTCCAGTATATAGATGACGTATATTTACAAATTGTTTGACTTGTTATACCGGACGTTAAGGTTACCCATGGTACAGTATCTGATGCAATGAAAATCTGTGAGCCATAACGGATCTAATATCTGATTTTTTCCTCAGACGTGAAAATGAAAAAGAAAACGCGTCGACCCACAGATTATCAACTTAAGACGCCACAAAACCTTTCGAAAGTATGCTGTAAAATAATTTGAATGAAATTGTTACTGAATAACTTTGCCTTGACCTATTATTGTGCCTATTTTAGAAGGCAGAAATATTTACAGGTTTTGACGTTTGACAATAACTAGGGCCGTTGACACTATCGCTTGACTCTGAAGTCTGAAGTCAACTGTCAACTTTACATACCTACGAGTGTCATGTCAGAATTGTCTGTCAGACATGACAGTTGACACTCGTAGGTACAACACAGCATATTGGCTGTTTATCATAGGTATTTTTAATGTTTTAATGCTTTGCTATTATTGTACAAAGGTCGACACTATGATGATTAGTTAAAGTTGAGTGAAAGTTATAAAGAATATATTTTAGTATTTTTATAGTTTTATTGGTTCAAAGGTCGGGGTATTCAATATCGTCTTAAGTTTTAGTTCAGTTAAGTGTTGTTTCATGAATAGTATTTTATGATATAAAGAAACGGTATTACGATGATTTCGCTACGAAAATCAATAGACCGTGATATTGCAGTTTTCCTCAAATTTTCTAGAGGTTTTTCTAGTAAGCAAAAAATCGTTAGAGATCTAGAATATCAGTATTTACAAAGAAGCAAGGTACCTACTATGCACTTTCAAAAGTCTTTGCCACGACTGCCTATACCTGAAATTTCAAAGACAGGTGACCGGTATTTAAAAGCAATAAAGCCTCTTTTGATTGCTGACCAATATGAACAAGCTGAAAAACGGACATTGAACTTTATTAATCAAGAAGGAAAACGCTTACAAGATAAACTTATTTTGAAAGATAAAGCTAATAAACACACTAGTTACATTTCTGAGTACTGGTTTGACCTATACTTACGTGACCGTGTAGCCCTACCAATTAATTACAATCCATTAATAGTTTTCCAGTATGACAAGAAACCAGAATACAATAACCAACTTCTGAGAGCAACAAATTTATTGATAACTGCTGTTAGGTTCATGAACTCACTAAGAGATCAGATTTTAGAACCTGAGGTTTTTCATCTTCAGCCCAAGAAAAGTAATACACCTTTGTTTAGAAAGGTCACCGGATTTCTACCAGAATCTCTATCATGGTTTGTAATTTGTATTATGTATTGCTAAACAAAGGGTTCCAATAATGTAATTTTGAAAAAACTGATCTAAAACAGAGATATTGTTAAAGAGTTTTCTTTTTTTCTTTAAACCCTAGTAACTTTTATAACTTCCATTTTTAATAATATTTAAATCAACAGGTATGGAGCATATTTATTTAAGGCATTTCCACTAGACATGAGCCAGTTCAGTGGGCTTTTTGGTGCGACTCGCATACCGTTACCAAATAAAGATAAGATTATTAGAGACCCAACAAGTAGACACATTCTAGTGCAGAGAAATGGAAGTTTTTATATCTTTGATGTATTGGATAAAGATGGTTTGTGAATTTAATTCATTTGTCATTACTTTCTCTGTTGTTTTTGATTAAATCTTCTATTTCAATTATTTCTTAATTAAAAAAAAAGTCCATGAAACTACATGTTAGAATAACATATGGAAATTATTATAAAATCACCCACTAAATCAGATCTTAGTGATATGATGCAAAATTTTATCATTTTAGGAAATTTGTTACCACCATCTGAAATGCTTGGAAATTTATCACAAATTGTTAATGACAATTCACAGAAATCTCAATATCATTTGGGAGTATTAACTTGTCAGAATCGTGATAAGTGGGCAATGCAAAGACGGTACTTAGAAGAGAATGGTAATAAGGAAGCTTTACACAAAATAGACTCTGCTATTTTTAACCTTATTCTTGACGATGAAAACATAAAAGATGATAAGCATAAACTTTTAAAACATTTCTTGCATGGAGATGGCCTGAACAGGTAAATTGCTGTTTTAACTTAAACAAGTTCAAGAAAATAACTTCTTCTTTATGTGGTAGCAGTTGTTAAACGCTTTACACATCTTGTTTTGTCTTTAGAGAGGTGAATCAGTTCATAGGACCTTGAAATTTCTGGTAGTTCTTGAATGCTATAAAACTATGATCAGGTTTCCTTTTACCAGTAATTTTGGCTCATCAGTTGCAAGAGTACATTATCATGTCTCAGAATGCGATATGCAACTATAAATTTTTTGACTAACTTTTAATAGGGCTGTCTTGTTGGTGACTTGACTACAACTTATTATCATCAAATATCAAGTGCTGACTTATCACAAGATTAGCGGTGGAGGAAGACATTCTGAGAAAACTTACATATTTTCAAATTACTGCCTTCTCTTGTTCTTCTTCATCATGTTTTCACCCATCGTTAGGCACATGCTTCTTAATTCCCTTGTTCAGACTGGGCTTGTTGTATCCTTAATGATATAAACGCTGTTACTTTCTTTGTAATGGATAATCAAAAAGTATTGTAATGTTTTATAAGAAAACTGCAAGGAACATTAAAATTTGCTAGTTCATGCTAAGTTAAAATTAATTAATTGAACCTTTATGTGCAGTGTATGAGCACTTTGTAGCTTATTACTAAAACAAATAATCTACTTATTTATTACAGATGGTTTGACAAATCATTCAGTCTGATTGTGACACAAGATGGTTGCTCAGGAGTAAATTTTGAACACTCCTGGGGTGATGGTGTTGCAGTGTTAAGATTCTTTCAAGAGCTTTACACAGAAACTACTACCAAGCCTTTTGTTCACCCAGATAGCAAACCTATAAATAATAATATAACTGTTAAAAAACTTGGTAAATACATAACTTATAATTTCAACTTCTTTATATGAAAGATATTTAAAGCAAAATTCTTCACTTGTCTGTGTAGTGTGTAATAATGCAAAATTGTCAATTCTGAAAACTGTTTAAAAGATTATGCCAACGTAATTTGTATGTGGTTAACAAGTAAAATCAGCAAGTAAAATTCATAAAACTTAAAACATATTTAAGTCTACCATAGTTTGCTACATAAATTATTCAGTAATGTTAGAAAAATTATGTTAATTTAACATTAATTGCAGAGTTTCAACTTGATGATAAAGCCATTCAGTTTATAGAAAATGCTAAGAGAGAATATAAGGAATGGTGTGACTCATTGAGCATAGATTATATACTTTATGAAGGTCTTAACAAGGAGGCATGTAAGAAATTAAAAGTCAGCCCTGATTGCATAATGCAGCTAGGATTTCAGGTGACCTTGTATAAAACAATTTTATTTTATAGTTTGTCACTTTTATGTGCAGTCTACACATAAATGAATTTAATTAATTTTATGATTATGATATGATTTTCTCATGTTTAATTTAAATTTGCAGCAATGTGAATCTGTGAGTGTTAGGATGGATCATGTGATGTTTAATTTAGAATATTAACTGTCATAAAATAATTTCTTTTAATTAACTTTATCAGATAAAATAAAGTAAAATAAAACAGTCATATGAAGGCAATAATTAGATACTGCACTATTAGTGATTATAATGAAAAATCTCAATTACACATCAATATATTATAATGTTCAGTTTACTAAACATTATATATTGAGTATTACTAATACAAATTTCAGGCAGCTTATCACCTGCTTCACGGAAAATATGTTGGTACTTACGAGTCGTGCAGTACGTCGGCATTTAAACACGGTAGAACTGAAACTATGCGGCCTTGCACCGAAAAAACCAAGGTATAGTAAAAAGTGTACTGTGATGTTCGGCAAAATTTCCAATTTATCTTTATTTATGTCAAGTGGCAAGCGAACTGGCGGTCCACCCGATGATAATTGATAACTGCTGCCTTAATGGGCAGCAGTTATTTGCAACACCCGTAGGTTTGCAGAAGCGTTGCCACCTTTTAATAAAGGAAAGTAGGTCCCGACTACCTCACTCAGGCGAAACGCATTGTTTTACAAAGTTCCACTTGGCCATTACGTGGCCATTCGTGTAACAAGCCTGCTGCGAGGCCCTACTACAGTTCTGTTTTCATTCTTTATTTTTCACTCTTTCTTCATATATTAGTGTTAAGTGTAGCAATTTCTGTAAATTACACCTGAAATCAAAACCCATGATTGATTTGCCAAAGTGAATGGGTAACCCATTGAGAAATCCCTACATTTCTTTGTTATATTTTTTGGTGATTTTTTTTTTGTAAATATTTTTTTTATTTACCAGTTAATGTTTGTTGGGTTTTTTTATTTTTATAAGTAATTTCAACGAAATATTGTTGTATTTTTTGAACGTAAAACGCAACAGCTGGAGAACAATCTATCAGATAATAAACCAACTTTTCATTATTTCAAATTCTTAACAAGTCTTATATTTTATATTGTTTTTAATTTTTTTTTTAAATTTTCACCCTAAAACGAAAATTAATCATTTATGAACACGAAAAATAATTGTTTTATTTTATTATATAATTTTTTGATTAATTTGTTTATTTTCCACGTTTTCTAGAATATAATAAAAGATTAGAATCGGCGTGTCCGTACATTGAATATATTTATGAAAAAATGAAATAGGGTATAATAAATAGAGTTATAGGAAACATAAAATCCATTTTTGGAATTTTTGTCTGTTTGTATGTTCGCGATAAACTCGGAAACTACTTATACTCACAAAATATAGGACCGTTTTTACGGAGTTTTGGACAGCGTGTCAGTACATTTTCATTGCAATATTTAAGTATCGTTTGATCGTAATCAGTTTACTTAACAGAATATATACGTTAATAACTATTGGATCAATTGGAACAGTTTTTATTAGTTCAAAAGACATATTAGCTCCAAAGGCAATAAATTACCTTCCATACAAAATCGACAACAAAGTATGCTGGAAAGGATATAACAATAGATGCTCCAAGTATTGCTTCAAACGCTAAATAATAATATAGAAAGAAGGCGTTTAGATTTTCGTCGCTGTGGCTATCAGCCGTTTAGCTCAGTGGCTAGAGCGTCAGGCCGCGAATGCCGAAGACGTGGGCACGATTGCGGGGTTACCCCTCCTCCGCTTCCTCATACTTCACCATAATAGGTACTTGCATTATTGCGACTGTAAGTTAGCCTACAGGTAGGTAAAACTTTGTGTGGTGAAATAATATGACATTGGCAGGGCCAGATTTAGAGGTCTGGAGGCCTCCGGGCAACAAAGGAGTGGAGGCCCCTTAGCCCCAAATTATTTTCTACTGATTTCTGTTAATATTTAATGAAATCGTGTTTGTACAAAGTACTGTAGGTAAAAGTAAAACGCGAAAAAAAATATGAAAGGAAAAGTTGTTTACTATTGTTTATTAGTCTGAATTTGAATTTTATCGAGCACGAATAACCTTACCTAAAAAAGTACATTTTATATTTATTTGTTAATAACTTATTTTTTAAGAAAAATGCGATTATCGACACAGTCACCGCCACAGCTTATTCTTAAACAAAATTTGAAAATTGACTTCAAATTTTTTGTTTTAAACTTATCGAACAAAATGGCGTTCTCGCCTAGTCAAATGACGTTTTCTACGTTCGTTTCAGCTATTCTGTGACTCGCTACACTCGAACAACCTTTCAAAGGGGGAGCTGCGTTCGATTATGCAAGAGTGTTCAGCATACCACACGGAACTAGTTAAGCAGGCGTCGATGGGCCAGGGCTTCGATCGCCATCTGTTCGCCCTGATGAAAGTAGCCGAGGAGAACAATATGAGTCGTCCAGAGTTTTACGATTCCTACGAATATAAGTATCTGAATAAATCTGTGCTTAGCACTAGCACTCTGTCAGCTCCCAGCGTGATGGCCGGAGGATTTGGTCCCGTCGCCAAGGAAGGCTTCGGTATCGGGTAAGCGTAAGGGAAAAGTATATACAGGGTGGCTTTTCTGAGTGTATCCATTTTTTTATTAAATTCTAGACATAAATAATTTTATATAAAAAATTATAAATATTTGAAATCACTCGTAAGTAAATGTTGGGGTGACCTTCGATAGACAGCGGAGCTGGCCTGGATTTTCGTCTGGGGACTCCTCAACCGCTCGCTTCGCTCTTCTCGCTCAATTCGAGTCTCCCAATGAGGCCTTTGTCCACAAGACCACAAAACCAGCCGAAACAGTAATTAATTAAATTCATTTGAACTTTTCTTAACAAGTGCGTGATATATACGCAACTCATTTATTTTATGCGCGATCATTCATAACTAACTCGCAAACAAGTTCGTGCACAGTAAAATTTAGGTATTTATGAATGTTTACCGCATTGTCAACACGTTCTGTTTTTTAGGAAATAGAATGGCATTTTTTTGGAAAAAAAACTTTCATTTTATTTCAATAAACGATTATACTGCCGAGTCCGAACCTCCTGTGTAAATTTGTGCACTTCTCAAAAAATCTCACTTCTCAAAATATCCCTGTATAGTATACATAGTATATGTATGCTTAGATCTTTAAAACTACGCAACGGATCTTGATGCGTTTTTTTAACCGACTTCAAAAAGAAGGAGGTTTTCAATTCGGATGTTTATATTTTTTTATGTTTGTTCGTCATATATCGCCGGATTTGCAAAATTCTTTTTTGTTCGAAAGAGTTTCAATCCGAAATGGTCCCATACAAATTTCATATAGATCTGATGATGGTTTTCGGAGATAGCAACAGAACTCTTCGAAATATGACAGGAAATCAACTGTGATTACTGCTATCGCATAAATATGCATTGTTTTGCATGTAACGTTGTAATAGTTACGTACATCATTTTATTTGAAGTCGGTTCTTTTTTTGTTAAAAACTTTTTATTACTATATAGAGTGATTGAAGATAAAGGTTTATATGTATTTACTTTTAAAATAAATGAATACATTAAGGATAATAACCCCTGCGAATGAGTTGATAATGTAAAGTTCATTTTTATAGAAAAAAATACACGATACCTACGTAGTTTCTTTCGCCTGTCTCTTTTCCGTTAGAGTAACATTCATCATTGCGAAACAGTGTTAAATTTTAAAAATTACTATCCATACATGAAGTGTACTTTTCTTATTTATACGAATAATTGACCGGCAAAACAATTTGAGTATAAGCGGCAATAAATTTCTGCGCGATCGAATTTATTTTGGATATTTGCCATTCACACATACATATACAGCTCACAAATCTTATTCCACCTCTGAATTTTGAGTCAGTCACATTGTGTTAGTCTCATTATCTAGTACAGTAGTTTAAAAGAGGGGAGTATGTTACATGCTTGTTTCATGTTTCTGAACAAAGATTCACTTTGGTTTTGTGAATTTTATAGTAAAATTCGCAGATCTAACTATAGTCAGGCATCGTTTAATTTTGTTTTGATCGGCTCTAGGGTTGCCAACATTACTTTGGCCGTTTATTTGAAAATAATCTGTAAAAGTATTAAAAGATTTTTTTAGTATATTACTTACAAAATTGTATTCTTTCATAGATATCTTGGTCCATGCTATTGAAATACAGTATTTTTCCGTATATTTTTTCTACAGTACATGGAGGATCCGAAATACAGTGCAATGCTGTACAATAAATATATTGTAGTACGATTGCCAATCATTATCGGTCCACAATATTAGTTAATTATGTAATAGTGTTTCTATAATATGCAAACTATTAAAGCGATTCCACAAGCCACTACATACTGCATGTGTAAAGAAATGTTTTACATTTAACCATTACCAGCTCAAATATGAGCTCTGTTGATAAAAACAGTATCACATAAACTTAACTTGTTGATAATTTTTCAGATACTCCGCATTTCCTGACAAGCTGGGAGCAGCGGTGACAAGTTACAAGGCGCATAATGATAGTTCCCAGTTTATAGAAGCATTGCAACGTTCATTTACGGACATAACTGATATACTCTCGGGTTAAATTTATATATAATTTCGTAAAGTAATGACTGCAAAGTAATTTTTCGAGGAGTACTGTTTGTTAACTAAAGATTCATTCAAAAGTCTGCCTAGATCATTTAAACTCGTCGTGGTTTGGAAAATTACTGAAGCGTATATTATGGTGCGTTTTTGTCTTGTCTGTTACTTTTGTTATGTAGGTACCTATGTGTATGTTTCAAAATATGGACTTTAGACTGATAATTTCTTAATCACAACCATACCTATTTCCTAAGTGCCTTATAAGTCCTTATTGAATATTTACTATTTGTTCGTAATGAAAAGCCAATTTCGCAATTAAATAATAATAATTGTGGACTATAATTATATTATATATAAATAAATATATACAGTGTAATTTATTAAGAAATATATTTATACTTTTATACCACCCGTTATATCTTTGCCCGAAAGAACACAAACCCGGACCATGGCGCTTCTTTTTTTTACGTGGGAAAAATCCTTTATGGACTTCCGCTGCCTTGTGGGTAGACTGTTGGCTATACGACCCATACGGGGCTGCCGGACGATCTCCGGTGAGAAGAGGCCTAAAAGGACGCCGCGCTGAATGTTTCAGCATATCGTACCTTCTGGGCGGCTAGCGCTAGCAGGGTTGCGGAAGTATGCGAAAGCGTTCTCAAGGGAAAGCGGCCCTGCCGATATGCTCTTTGGATGAACATTGTGGGGGTTTTAGTCGTTGCAAGTCCAACATGATCGGTTCTCACAGCCAATAGCGGAATGCCACTACTGCGACCTCTGTGGGCCTGCGTGCATTTTTCCAAACGCGTTTGCAAAAAATATGAAAGTAAGATTTTTACGCTTCGCGGTATTACAATGGCAACCAGTAACAACGTTTTTGACATTAATCTGGAATTTTAGGTTAAGTTATAAACTTATCTATTATTATACTTAGTTATCTTTTATCCTTTAAACGAGCAATATATATATATATATAATCGGAATCTCGGAAACGGCTCCAGCGATTTTCATGTAATTTAGTATGTGCGTAGATTCGGAGACGAAAAATCGATCTAGCTAGGTTTCATTTTTGGAAAATGTCCTTTTAACCCTGTTTTTTTTTTACCCCTCTAAGTTTCGGTGTCGAAGTCGTCTTCGCGTCGCGATGTGACTCGTGACAAATGAAGCGCCACAGAGTTATCGAAATATTATGTTCTATGCTATAATCAGTAACCTAATGTTAAGTGATTACTGTCGCCCGAGGACATCTATAACAATTAACAGGTTACAGATGCGTTGAAGTAACGCGCCCTCACAGAAGACGGGCGTGAACTGGAAATGTAAGTCTGCCGAGTGATGAAAACGGTGTCCACTCTAAAATTTAGTAACTATTAGCTCTAGCTCTAGCCATGGGCGGCAGTTATCACTTTACATCAGGTGAACCACCAGCTCTTTGCAACCTCACATAGAAATAAAAATTTTCCTCGATGCTAAATCTATAAAAATTATCTACGATTTTGACTCGGAATCAAAGACATCACCACCTGAGGGCGCAAGTTTTGCGTTAGAAAATCTACGTTATCACATCTCAATTCCTTCTAATCGACCTCCGATGTTGGAATGAAAAACGCAGTCAAAACGGCCTACATACGACCGATATCAATATGAACCGAACCCGGTCCCACTAGGAAACCTCCAGGAGGATTTAAAGGGTATCCATAACCTAGCTCCTGGCAATTAACCTACTCTAGTCTGAAAGGCTGGCCTAACCGATTGCCTTTGATGAATGCGAAGCACGGTGCCTCTTCATCCATGTTTTGGGCAGATCTCAATTCTTACTGATTACCAAAACAGTCGACATTTATCAGGGTAACGCACAGAGTACATTTGTATATGGGTGACAGTCCGCACATTCATCTTGGACGATCATATTATGCTTGACTCTATTAGCTTACGGTCCATCCAAATCGTGGAAACTAATTTCTCCACGGAGGCAGAATTAAATAAAGCTTTAGATATCTGTCTTACAAAATCCGCCTTGTAAAATTCAATATTTCTGGTAATATTAAAAGGGTTTTGTAAGACATTTCCTGTCATTAAACTACTATTTTACTATAACATTTATGATAATATTAATATTCAAACATATATAGTACCCACTTCTCTACGGTGGCGCTTCAATTTACGAGCCTCGTTATCGATTTCATAACGTTGTCCATCTTATGCCAGCCGTATTCGTAGTGGAAAGATTTGATAAAAGTGTAGCTAAACAAAAAACTCAATTTTTACTTCACATAATGTTATCTAAACAATATAAATTGCCAAACAATAGTTTGATGCTATAATGTGTCAGTTTTTTATTAACTACGGATTTTAACATACTCGGTAATAAATTGTGTCTCTACTATTTGTATGGGTGCCAAATTGCTCCTGAATTGTTTTTCTACCTTGAAAATATATATACATTCAGTATTAGTAGTAACCTTTAATTTTAAACAAGACCTTTAAAAAAAAAGTAACATTTATTTTATGTCAAGAACGCTAGGATCGATATGACTATGAATAGGGTGTCACTGCAGACCACCGTTCCAATCTACGTTCGAACGCAAATGAGAAGTTTACTACGCCAAGTTTTTCTATTGATTATTCTAAGAATAGAATGAAGCCATCGTTTATAAACATTTAATACATAAAAAGGAAATATATTTCTGTAATATGGGTGAGAAGAATAGGATGAAATGGCATAAACAAAAATAGATTTAAAATATTGTTCAGAAATTGTGATGCATGATATGAAAGGAATAAAACATAAGTCATTATTCCATTGAAGCCTACGAAAATGTCAAAGTTCACCAGTGGTCTCACCAACAGCAACAATCAGTTTTAAAAAAATAAATAATACGTGTAAGGTGTAAAATTCACGAACTAATGCATGTTCGATTTTTTTATGAAGTGTTCACGATGAGATTTCAGGTAAATAGTATTATTGTACATTATTCATTCTTAGATTAAAAGCAAAGTAAGCTTAATAAAATTAAAATAAAGAAAGAAAATTTGATATTTAGTAATTAACAGTGATCTACAAATTGATTAAATTCGAGAATATTTCGTTAAATATGAATTACTTAAATTAAAAGCAATTTCTCAGTCCTACGGTCTAGGTATCGATGATACCGTACGGACTATGCTATAATATTCTTATAAAACTAAGAAAATTTTATTGTTATTAGTTTACTTTTATCATTACGTACATCAATTAAAGTCATTTGGTAGACATCAAATTTTTCGCGGATAATAAATATACGGCCAGGTAGGAAAATAAGCTTAAATATGTTAATGGAATTATGAAATAATACTAATAGTATTATTATATTACATAGACTCACATTTATATCATTAATATATCCAGCTTTGGCTACTGCTTTTCAAACATTTTGATACCTGACTTCCTAGTATTTAGAATTATGCATTAAAATAAACAAATTTCACACATCTTTATTGAACTGATGTTTTAGCTAAGGTAGAGCCACACAGCATCCTCTGTAGCATCAATAGGCAGGCAAGATTGATTGTGAATGCGGTCTATCGCATTTGGGACAAACAAAGAAAGCCATCAAAACCGTATATAAGAACATGTAGCTGAGATCAGACATAACAGGTGAAGTAGTCTGAAGTAGCCTTCCTTATGGCTACCCTAGCCATCTGTGCATACTTCATTCTTGTGGAAGGAGTGTACAGGAGGTGTACACTTCTTCCAAAATTGGTAGCCAGATGTGAGATAATTTTTGAGAAAAGATGCATGTTCCTCATGCATGTTGTTCTCTTTGAACTGCTTGGTTATAATGGGTATACAGTCTCCCATTAGGGGGCATCTATTAACTATGCTAGGTAATTTTTCCTGTAAATAAGTTAATCTGTGCTTCCTTACATTAGATTTATTTAAAAAAAATTATTTATAAAAGATTTATATAAAAAACAAGACTATTTACTTATAATTTTTTTTATTTAAGGCTAGTTAAGACTAGTATTTAAGATATATAATAACGTAGCATAGAATGACAGTGAAAAAATTGACTAATAAAATACTTAAATAGAAACTACTAAAATTTGTAACAGAATATTCACTCTAATTCAGTCCATGGAGTGTCATGTATGGTATCAACAGTGACTACTCGAACCAAGATGTCCATGTAATTTTCAGTAAAATCATCTGCTCCTTCAATCTCACTCTGCTTTAGCCATTCTAATCCGTTATTGCTTGCACACAAAAGCTCAGTAGCTCGACTTGTGACAATCCGCACTTTGCGCGCTAGTGCAGCTGGTGCACTATGAACGGCACGCCGATGCTCTGCGAGTCTTGTGATAGATGAAAAGTAGATACCGTATGTACTGCAACATCTCTTTTCTAGATCACCATGTACACTTAGGCAATAGAGATCATAGGGCATGCTGATGAAGGCGTGCAAAGGTTGAATCGGTAGGCAATGGCAAATCAAGAAGGGAGCAAATAACATTTTACGTCATGCTCTTCAGGGTCTGAGATTGTCGGCTGCCCATCAACCTGAGTGATAGGGTATGGAGGTGACAGAAAACGGTCATGAAGAAACATATGTAGAGCACTGCGGCGTGGGCTCCAGCAGTCCCGATCATTTCACAACCTAAAATAATAATTAAATAAAATTCTTCGTTTTTGCCTTTTTTTTTTCAATTCTGCTGTCAGTGTATAATTAAATCGCGATAAATATTATAATGCATGATTAAGTCATATTTTAGTGGAGAAACATTTTTTCCTTAAGTTAATCCAATTTTCTTGAAATTTTACACTGTTTCTTCTGAAAAGAAAATTACGTGATATTACCCTCTCCCCCACGTGAGATTGAGTGAGGTTTGGCTTGACCCCCTCCCCCCTCCCCTAAACGCCTCACGTAATTAATGGATGCGCCCTTAACAGTGCTTATAAACAAAACTAGAATACTATTATATCCAAAATTTCATTGTCAGCAAGATATAGATGTTTCATCTACTAGCAAAGTTTTATGAATTATTTGTGCACACCCTTGTGTCCCCTATAAGTGTTGAGATAATAAGATAGACTCAGTACCTTGATTTTTTTACACCTAATAGCGACTATAGACCTCAGTATCTGCTATAAATAACAACTTGCTAGGGCCACCCGTTCCTGAGAAAATCGGTAGTGATATACAGACAGACAGACAGACGAGAGTGATCTTATAACAGTAGCTTTTTTTTACTCTTTAAGGTATGGAACCCTACCTAGGTTCTACTATGGGATTAGGATTATGTTGTGAATAATATTACATCCAGACACCATAACTTCAAGATACATTTAGCATTAGCTGGATGTTCAACCGTATGCTTATTTGCAATCTTCTTATATTAAAAAAAATGCATAAAGCAGGATTTTGATAGAATTTATGAAATTATGTATATATGCTCAATATTAGATGAATTGCTCCAGCTTTTCAGATATAGATTTGTCTAAGTGTCCATATGACTAACAAATAAAAAGCCTACATGCTTAAATATTGTGCTCTTAGAAATTATTTTTTTTTTGACGTAGGGAATGAGACTACCCTTTCTTTTTAATGAATTATATGGCAACTTTATTATGTCACATTTAGACTATGAATATTGCAATTACTATTTATTATACAGCGTGTCGTTACCATCGCGACAATAAATGAACACACGTCTAACGCTACTTGCCAATAATCATAAAAAAATATTAACGTTAAAGAAAATTCATAATTAAAAAAAATATTTTTCAAACAAACTAATTAAGTAAAAAAGAAACAAAATTTGTAACATCCTATACAACTCGCGCCACAGCGTCGCATTACAAACCTCTCCTTCTAACAGTATGTTTTGTCTCTTTTAATTTCATTCAACCCATTCATATGCTTTGTGACCTTTACAAATGAACTTTAAGTTACAGTTTTATATGGAAGGGTGTTCTAAAATTCTTCGTTTTGGAAAATTTTATAACTCTGTAAATATTGATGTTTAAATAATGTAGATGTTTAATACAATTTTAAAAAGTTATCCTCTATATGTGTGTTCATTTATTGTCGCGATTGTAAAGACACGCCGTATATATATATATATATATATATATATATATATATATATTTGGAATCTCGGAAACGGCTCCAGTGATTTTCATGAAATGTAGTATGTGCGTAGATTCGGGGGCGAAAAATCGATCTAACTAGGTTTCATTTTTCGAAAATGTCCTTTTATCCCTGTTTTCAGGGAAGGAAAAATATCATTCGAATATGACGGTAAATTTCGCCGCAAAAAAAATGTTATTATAATAGCTCGGTCGGTAATCGAGCGGCCCCAAAACAGACGGCCGCGGTTCGAATCACGATCATTTACACACTTATTTTTTAATTTTTTTTCGATTCCAGATCATTTCTTTCTTTATTTACCAAAAAAAACATCCCTCCAGGTACTTTATTATTATTTGTAAATATTTTCGTTTGATAATTGACAACTTAATTAAGCTGTATAGATTCATGCAAGCTAATTGAGATTTAATATGGATAAGAAAGGCTTAACCATTCTCATGCCTTATTAATATAATAGTAAATTTCATTTATGTTTTATCAGTAAACATATGTTTTGTTTGTTCCAGATTTTATTTCAAAGTTACATTCAATAGCTGCAATATAAACCAAACAGTATGTTGATCAAGGAATATCGAATACCTCTTCCACTCACTGTAGAGGAATACAGAATTGCACAGCTTTATATGATTGCAAAGAAGAGTAGAGAAGAGAGTTCTGGTGAGGGAAGTGGTGTAGAAATCATTGTAAATGAGCCTTATGAAGATGGTCCTGGTGGCAAAGGTCAGTACACTCAAAAAATATATCATGTAGGAAGTCATTTACCTGGCTGGTTTAAAAGTTTACTTCCTAAATCAGCCTTGACAGTGTCTGAAGAAGCGTGGAATGCTTATCCCTACACTAAAACAAGATATACATGTCCATTTGTTGAAAAATTTTCCCTTGAAATTGAAACTTACTACTTTTCCGACAATGGCCATCAAGAAAATGTATTCAAATTATCTGGCAGTGATCTGAAAAATCGAATAGTAGACGTTATAGATGTCGTAAAAGATCAGCTCTATGGTGCTGATTACATAAAAGAAGAAGATCCAAAACTCTTTGTATCACAAAAGTGTAATAGAGGTCCTTTGTCTGATACTTGGTTAGAAGATTACTGGAGGGAAGTGAAGGGAAAACCACAACCCTTACCAAATGGAAAATCTCTAATGTGTGCATATAAATTATGTAGGGTCGAATTTCGATATTGGGGTATGCAGACAAAATTAGAAAAATTTATTCATGATGTTGCATTAAGAAAAACAATGCTTCGAGCTCATCGTCAAGCATGGGCTTGGCAAGACGAATGGTACGGGCTTACTATGGAAGACATCCGAGAAATAGAAAGGCAAACACAGTTAGCATTACAGAAGAAGATGGCAGGAGAAACTGGTGATGAACAAGATGTTTCTGAAGAAAACTCTAAATCGCTGGCAGCAACCATGAGTAGTTTGGAAAAGAATGAAGATTTAGCAACGCCTTTAGCAAATAAGAAAACTAATGTTGAGAAAAAGAATTCAAAACACTTGACACCTGAAGGCACGCCACCGTCAGATCAAAAGAGTTCCTTAAAAAGCAATTTAAAGTCAACATCCTCAGGATCTATAAAAAGTTTGCAAGCACAAGTTGCTAATTGGCGAATGGAAACGCTTGTGAGGGAATCTGAAACTGAAACTGGGTCGGAAGACGAATTCTATGACTGTGAAACCTCTTTCAATAAATGGTCATCCATGTGTTCTTTGGATGAAGCAGATCTCGACATATCTCCAACACAGGGAGATCATAGCCAGGATGACAGCATTTTTAATCCATCATTTTTAAAGAGAGTAACCTCAGAAAGAGGTTCTCGCCGCATCATCACCTTACAGAGCCATCAGAGTATTGATGGTTGCCCTGAAATACCGGTGCACAGTTCTTGTCCAACAACCGTGTTAATTCTCGTTTTCCACGCAGGGAGCGTTCTTGATGCAAACGTTGATATGGCTGCTAAGAAATCTGATGTAACAACTTTCAAAGGTGCTTTTGAATCCGTAATGCGGCAACACTATCCAACACTAGTAGGTCATATTGCAATAAAGCTAGTATCGTGTCCATCTATTTGCACTGAAGCTCTTGGTGTTCTATCTACTTTAAGTCCATACAGTTTTGACTGCTCACCCTCAACAATGGAAACCCCTTCACTCACAAATGAACTTATACCTATTGGAGCCATTCCATTAATAGCAACAAGCTCTCCCGAATATGTCGATTCGGTCACAAAAACAATTGTTTCAGCCAACACAGTGTTTAATGAATTTCTGAAATCGGATGACGGAAAAGGTTTCAGTGGCCAAGTGTGCATTGTTGGGGACAGTATGGGTTCGGTTTTAGCTTATGATGCGCTATTTCGCACGTTGCAATATCAATCACGTCATGATAGTGAAAATAGTATTCTTGATACAGAGATCACTATTCCAAATGAACCGACAGAAAACTATTTAAATAAATCACATTTGCAAGCACCGACTCCTCGTAGGCGATCATCATCAACTAGTGATAATCAAACGAAGCTGGAGTTTGAAGTGTCTGATTTTTTTACTTTTGGTAGTCCATTGTCGCTTATATTGGCTTCAAGAAGGATAGCTGATGATAAATCACGAGATATTATGAAACCACCCGCTCAACAGGTGTACAATTTATTTCATCCAACGGACCCAGTTGCGTGTAGATTGGAACCTTTACTATCTGCCAGATTCACTAACCTGCCGCCTATTAACGTCGCACGATACGCCAAGTATCCCCTCGGAAACGGCCAGCCGTACCATTTGATGGAATTGATTCAAAGCCACCCCCAACTTTTTGGTGACCACTTACAAATGCCGCCCACTCCAATATTACGGCGACTATCCGAAGCTTCGGTTCAAAGTACAGTTAGTGGCTTGGTTGATAATATTCCTTTAATAACGATGAATGCATTGCAACAAAAATGGTGGGGAACTAAAAGACTAGATTATGCATTGTACTGTCCAGAGGGTTTAGCCAACTTTCCAACAAATGCCCTACCACATTTATTCCATGCAAGTTATTGGGAGAGTTGTGATGTGATTGCTTTCATATTACGTCAAGTCGGCCACTTTGATCTAGCTTTGTATGGTCACGTTGAAGACAAAGACATCACTATGTTCAAACCTGGACAGGAGAGAGAAAAGTGGATGAAGAAACGAACTTCAGTAAAGTTAAAGAATGTCGCTGCAAATCACAGAGCTAACGATATTATAGTAAAAGAAGGTTGTCCTCAAACATTTACGGCGAGGTTTATGTACGGGCCATTAGATATGATAACGCTAACGGGGGAGAAAGTAGACATACACATGATGAAAGATCCACCGGCTGGAGAATGGACCTTGTTGTCCACCGTTGTGACTGATAAAACCGGTAGGATCACGTACACGTTGACAGAAAAACAAAGTGTTGGTTGTGGTATATACCCAGTCAGAGTTGTCGTAAGGGGTGATCATACAAGTTGCAATTTCCATTTGGCTGTAGTGCCACCGCAAACAGAATGCGTGGTATTCAGCATCGACGGGTCATTCACAGCCAGCGTCTCGGTAACCGGCCGGGATCCAAAAGTAAGAGCAGGAGCAGTGGACGTTGTTCGCTTCTGGCAAGATCTTGGCTATCTAATCCTCTACATCACGGGCCGGCCCGATATGCAGCAGAGAAAAGTTGTATCTTGGCTGGCTGAGCATAATTTCCCACACGGATTGGTTTTCTTCTCTGATGGATTCTCCACGGATCCATTAGGCCATAAAGCTGCGCATCTGAACAGTCTTATTAACGACCACGGCGTACTTCTCCACGCTGCTTATGGTTCCGGTAAAGATATAAGCGTGTATCACAACTGCGGCTTGTCGCCCAAGCAAGTATACGCTATCGGTCGTATTAGTAAGAAGTATTCCAACATGGCGACCACTTTGAGTGACGGCTACGCGTCCCATTTGGCCGATTTGAAACAGCCGGGCGCAGTAAGAGCGGCTAGAGGCAACGCACGTCTACTCGTGCCCCGCCGGCTATTGGCGCCTGTGAACACCGCATCTACCACACGTGTTCGCCGTTAATCCAAAAGATTCTTCTCTATTTTGAACATTTCTAAAAAATATTGGAACTATATTTTCATATAATTTCGGAAGATTATTTTATATTTGCGTTATATCCGCGTTCCTACCTGTTTTATATTCCGATCTGCTTTTGACGCTTTATAAAAAGTGTTTATTCTACTTAAGACGTACACTTTAAGGACGCGTGAATAATACGAAAAAGTAAAATGTCAACTTTACCTATTTCGGTCTGGTTTACATAAAATATTCTAAATTGGTAATGCTTATAATGGTTGATGTATAGTATTTTAAAGTCACTGTGTACCTAACTAATTTATATTGACTCTTGTTGTTTCTGCCTCAGCGAGTATTGATGAAATCTTTTGTATAGTATTTTATTGTTATTTAGGAATTTTAGGAATCTCTATTCAATGTTTTTAATATATATTGTAAGTTAGATGTCCTTCAATGATCTGATTTCGTACTAATACTGCTAGTCCTAGTATAATGTATTTCGATCAAAACTATGACGCATAGGCGGATTTTTGCTCCGAAAGCACGCTTTGTAAAGCATATTATAAGGTCATCAAAATATTCGAATTAAAATGCATACTCGTGTACCTAAGATCTTACGTAAAATTAATCTGTCAACAGTATTTTTTTATCATTGGATTTTAAATATTTATTTCTTAATGTATTTTTCTTGTTTCCAATTTAAAATTTTATATCAAATATTTTCGTACTATCATATTTTTACAAACAAATGACATTACTAGATACATATTTATGCACATTGATACATGTACATATTGATCAAGAAAATGTATATCATACTCTATAGTAATCAATTTATTAGGTTCAGATAAATTGAAAATGAGTACGAAAACACAGTTATAGAAATTAACCAAAATTAAGGCAAATTAACTTGCAAAAAAAATAATTACCCTAAGGGTCTCTATTTATTTCATAATCTGATTTAATAAATATATAATATTAATATAACATAATAAATTTAATCAAGACTTTGGTATTTATTATAAATTACTATTTTGTAATTTCTGAGGTATGTTGAAATAAATAAATTCAACTGGAACAATCCATCACTTGAATTTGTTCCAACATTGCGTTTAAATTTTATAACTATTATCTTATTGTAACGTCATGCTCTCTACAATCCTTGCTATAAAATCAAACAGGGAATTGGTATTCATTGTTTTTCTTTTAACTTATCATAATCTTTCACATTCTCATACTATATTTATGTTTAGATTTAAGGGCATACAGTGAATTTCATAAAGTATTGTTGCTGGCGTGTTATTTAGAAGGTGACGTAAGCATTCCTTTAATTGGGTAAACATTCGCCGCTTGGGTCGGATCGGTCAAGGCTGTGGTCTTAATCTGGGACGATAGCACCTATTTACGAGGCGCACTCATTTCTTTAAATTATACAACACTATCGTCGTATGAAAAGTAAAGTAAATCAGTTTCGTAGCAGCCAGCTCGGATTGTTAAAGATTGCGATGAAGAAAATTATAAATGTTCACAAATGGGTTTGACTACCCATTTGTGAACATTTATTATCTTGACACTTTTTAGCTATGATTTATTTTAAAGTGATCGCGGTAATCCTATATTAACTTCCTGTTTTCATGATACACAAGAGTTCTATGTTACGCTATTTGTGTAAAGTTTGTATTTGAGTTAAATCCCAGTCGCCGGGTCACAATGAAGCCGTAGGAAACGACATTATTACAGTATGCGCCCAAGTACATTGTAATATAAACCATATTACAGTATGTTGCGTACTTGGGCGTAATGAGAGCATCGTCTGTTTCACGCGTCTTTCACCATGAACTGACTAGTGAATGCTTCTATTCTATTTGACCGTAATTGTCGAGGTCGTTTTATATGTTAAACATTTGGTAAAGGCCAAAATTTTATTCTTCTTGACATAATTTTAGACTTATTATAACTCTGCGAATTACTTTTTTACGTGAGAAGGTTGCAAACGAGCTGGTGGTCCACCTGCTGTTAAGTGATAACCGCCTCCCATAGACATTTGCGATACCAATAGGGTTGCAGTTGCGTTGTCACCATTTAAAAAGTGGGCCCTTGGTACATCACCCACCAGACGAAACGCAGAAATCTAACACTCCCACTTTACACCGGTCTTCTTTGGGGTTGTCATACTTATCCGGACGGACCTACCCATTCATGCAACAGCAAGTACTGTTGCGTAGTCTTATCACAGTATAATCTACTGTATGAAACTTTAACATCTACTTTAAATGTTATCAATATAAAATCGTATTGTAGACTCCTGCATTTCCCAAACTACATTTCATACAAATAGCCATGAAGCTAACGTAGTTTTAGAGATTTTTTTTATACAATTAGGAATTCATCCGCTCAGAAAATCGAGCTCGAAACCCATTTTGTGCTTCTGTAGTCCCGATAAGAGTAAAGAAATCATTATAAAATCTATGGCGTGGTTGTCTGTCATTGTAAATGTTTATATACATTTAAGTGTCCCAAATATCAGTGTGAAGCGTAAATAGGGCACGTCTCGTATTTACGTTCAAACTGAACTTTTATGCGCAATATTACAGTGTCCAATCAAAGAAAGGCTTTTGATTATTTTTTTAGTTTTATATCCACACTAAACCGAAAGTATTCATGAACTTAAAATGCGTATGACAACTAAATTGCTTTAGTGAAAAGAACAGAAATTAATGCGTTATGCGTTGTTTCCATTTGCGGTTGTTTCAATTTTTAAGATGGCTAAAATTTATAATATTCGCTTTTCATCAACGGGTCTTACAATTTTATTGCTTTTCCAGTCTTTAAGATCTTAAAGGTTTCAAATTGCCATATGCCTTGAAACTAAATCCACCGCTAGTTACTTCTATAATGAATAATTGTAAAGAAAAATGAAACAGGAAACATATTTTATAATACGTTTACGCGACTCCCAAATTGTTAGAGCGGTCTTTTTTGGCGCTGATCGCGTGCTAAACAGGCGGGAAACTTACAGGAAAACCATTACGCAGCTACCGGCAATGGAAGTACAACCGCTTTGGGGTATCTGTTCGCGTTTCGAAATAGAATATTGCAGCCAAACGTGCCAAAATAAACGAACGCCACTCCGCCGTTATAGTCAGCCCATTACCGCTTCTACTATAAACCGATCTATACCAAAAATATCACAAATTTTTGCTTCATGCAGGCATTCTTTTGCGTTAAAGTATATATACATACTTCAATATATGTATTATGTGATCGCTGTACACTATTATTAACACGCGAGTTATAACTTCGCTGTGAACTTTCGGTATGATGTACTAAACGCCGGAGTAGTACCTATGTTACGTATTTACAATAATATAAATTAGGTACTATAATTGGTAATTTACTCCTTCGATTCTACGCCTAAATGGTTACAAAATAAAACTTGATCTCTGTTATTTAATCAACGCAAATTTAATTGTAATTTTTAAACTAGTTTCCGAACACTGTTTCCGTGTACGTCAGCCTTTATTTTAAGATAAAGTCATATTGAAATCTTTTGAATTCAATTGTTATCGCAGTATAACGATAACTTCATAGCCATAAACAACAGAATATATGAATTCCTTTAAATATTCGTGATTCTCCAGAAATATACAAGATAGTCATGAGTTGTAATATATATTTCGCCTCTTTATCCACTTTTCTAAAAGCGCGCAAGTACAGCATGATTTAATTTAAAATAAAAGGTAATTAAACTGTTAGCTACGCGTTGGCTTTAACAGTTATGCGTTACATTTGCGAGGCTATTTGAATTCGCGTGATACATATGATAATTTTATGAAACCCTACGACTGTTTCCTACTTCCCGGAAATACATTTGCGATTTCGGGAAGACTTTATCGTAAGTATATCTCTTAGCTGTTCAGAGTCACGTTGTTGCTACTGTGTGGCTTCGCGCTCGAGGTCGGTCCGTTTTATATATAAACTTAAATTAATCTGATGTCTTGGGGGCTTGTTCTTAAATATCTTATATTCGCAGATAACTGTAATGTGCCTGTTGATTTTTAATGTATCTTTTGTCATTAAAAAGCTATAATATAAACTACAAAAATCTAAGTATTCTCTAGTCCATCTGTTAACTTGATCGGTCATTTTGGTACTTATGTTTTCAATATGCATGGAAAACATAATTTCTATAAGACTTTTTTATTATCTATACGTAGTACAGCGTGGTTTGGCAGTTTTTCCTGTTTCTCGCATTTTTTTCATCCTTAAATAATTATAACAAAATAATCGAATGTATATTCTATTAACTAAAAAGATAACGTAAAACATTTTTTGATATTAAAGTATAATTTCTAATTTAAAAACAAAATGGCTGATGTTTATATCTCATTGTATATTCCGCAGATTTTTCGGAAGGATCAATCGTAATCCAATGATATTTTATCTATAAACAGTTCTATATCTAATAATAATTATGATGTGAAAGTACCTATATACTGTATAGTGTTAATATAACCTTAAAGAATTTATCTTGGTTTACTTACACGTAAATAAAATGTCTTGTTGTAAAGTTCCATAATTATATGTTATTGTATAGATGTGTAATCAATTACCATAATCAAGTGCTGTGCTAGCTGCTATCGTTTACTTTGATCCAAATGTTCTATGTGTTAATAAATTATTGTTGTTGACTTCAATTGGTTTTTACTTTGTATCCCCTTTGCCTCGTAATCGTTAATCTAGGATTCAGTATAAATATGTCTTATCTATGCTAGGATTCAATAAAAGTCAGAATCCAATGTAGCAAGATTATAAAAGATTAATAATTTTCATTACTTATACTGATGGATTCATAAACTGCACATGACGACTTTCAAATTAATATGCAAACATTTTAAGACTCATTTAAATGAAAAATTTAAGAATGCCTAGTAATTATTGTAATAAAAAAAATTAAACTATCAGAAAACAAATAGCTGCAAAAAGAAAATTTTCGTATAAAA